GCTCACTCGGGTAAGGTCCCCGAATATGCAACATAGTAGTATAACAGAAGCACAACATATCCAGCCCGCCCATCATGCCATCAGAGACTCATCGTAGCAACCTGGCCCAATCCTCCCTCCGTCCACTGTCCCCTTCTCCTTTGCGGCTGATATCCCATGCTTCCCACATTGACAAGCTAATCAAACATACCTGATTAATACATACAGCCCTCGCACACAAGTAGCCGTTATCAACAAAGTCCCCCTTCGTGTTGTAATAGCAGCAATCATCCCACCGAAACCTCAACACAAAACAGCAAAACTCCACCCCGTCGCAAATGCACAATGCGTAGTACACAGTAACAAGTGATACTCCGCTTGGTACTCATCCCACACACACCCACACATCAAGTATTGCACGTTTCAAAAAGGCCCGAGACACACACAGTACTGTAGTTCATGACCCCAAAAGCGAGTTTCCCAAAACGGACCAGGTATGCGGGCGTGCGTGTCCTCTGTCCTCCAACACCGTGCTCTACGAGTACAAACAAGAAACTGCAAGTAATAAAGGAAGAGACGTCTCGATAAAGTTGCCGCGAAGCTAGACTGCCCCCAGCGCTTTAGATCAGAAACTGGCTCAGCACCTGCACCCTGGTCCGAGCCACCTCGGAGTCCTCGGCCATCTGCTGCATGATCTGGATCATCCGAGCTGCCGACGCCGTTAGCAAATTGAATTGGGCCGTGTCCATATGCGTGACATGTAGTTGATGGAAATCCACTTACTGATGTCTGCCTTGGCCCGAACAAACAATGGGTCTTTAGCCAAGAGCTCCTTGCCCAGTGGCTCCTTGGCCGCTTCTCGCAAGACGTTTCCTATACACAAAGCCTCAAGAAAAGCCCGGTGGTTGAACACCCACCAGACGCGGGCCTCGCTCTCGAGCAGGTTGAACAGCAGGAAAAAGGAGCCGATGGCATCGTGAGCAGCCTCCAGCGTGCCCCGCACGTTGACCGGAACGTCCGGGCTCTCCGAGGCGTGAACCAACATGAGGTTGTGAAAGTAGTTGCTCGTAAGAAAGAGCGTTTGGCGCACGACTCTCTTGTTTGTCCCGGCCAACGCCGTCAGGCTCTCAGTGTCCCACGAGCGAAACACGTCCGGAAAGGACCGGTACACCGCCCGGAAGTCGGCAATGAGCTTCGACTTGTGTCGCGCCGTCGCGCAAATGGGCACGTCGAGAGACCGAGGGGAGCATATCGTCTCCTGCACCAGGTTGGCCAGCGTCCACGAGCCCCGGATGTAGGCGTTGTCCGTTGGATCGCTGCTAGCAATGGACGACCCGTGATCGAGCAGGTCGTCGACCGACACGTCAGTGTGCGTGGCGGACGGCGGCAAGGACAAAAGGACCGTGAGAAAGGTGTCCTGCAGTAAGACTGCCTGCCAGACCTTGCGTCTCTGCTGCTTCTCAAAGGGACTGGCATCCGGCGTAACTGTGGGGGAGTGTGGTTAGTTGAGTGTCTAGCCTAGCACGGATGTCAAGTAGACGACATCCACCAAAGATGAGGCAATGCTACAGGCAAGAAAGGAGCAATCGCCCCCCCGCTTGGGGGCGTGCGGATCCGACGTACCAATGTTGGGGTCACGATGCAAGCCCATGGCGTAGGCTTGCCGTATCAATATTCCAGCGAATGCCCAGCCATCTGAAGCATGGTTGTCGTTGATGAGAAAGTACGTCATCAGAACCATGGCCTGAATGGACCGGATGGATGCCGTACTAAGGTAGGAGAACATCCGGAGGGCTTGGTTGCTGGCTGAAGCGTAAAACTCGGCCGTCTGCTTCCGCTCCTGCGCCGTTGTCGACGTGACAAACTGGGTACCCAAAGCCAACATGACAAAGATTTGAGCGATGAAGGCGGCATCAACCTGATGCTTCTCCGCCATGCTCATCTGCCAAAAGTGCTCGTAGTCGGCATAGAATGTCTGGCGGTGAATCATGGGATACACTGGGTCGACGCATTCAAAGTATCGAGACAGCAGGATATCGGCCTGGAGCTTCTCAGGAAGCACCGAAATGACCTCTGGCAAGCCACCTTCACATGTCCAGTAGTTGGCAAATGGATGTTCTGACCCAATGCCAAAAACATTGCTAGCAGTGGCCACAGAATACGGGACGTTGGATAGCAAGCCGATGGAGAGGGCGACAGCGCCTCTGGACGGAGTGTCATCGTTGCTGTTGGCGTTTCTGTCCGCAATATTAGGAACGGGCAGCTGTCCATTAGCCCCGGGTTTCTTCTTCGGAGGCTTGGTCATGCGGCGTCCATTGGCAGCAGACCTCGACGTTTCCCTGCCCAAGAGGTCCTGTCAGAATACAAATTGAAGCTCTCATCACGACCGAGTTAAACAATGAGCTACTCACTCTATGACGTTGGCAACATGAGCATATATGCACTCCGTCTGCCGCTTGATGCCTGCGAGATTCAGCGTTAGTCGGCATGCCAGGTTGAGATTCAAAGCTGGACGCGACTTACACGCAAGGCAATGTGGTCGCCCTCGATCGCACTGTCGGGAAAATGTCAGCCATGATTCTCGTGTGCAACACACCCAAGTACGCCGTCAAGCAATTCCAAATAGCTGCCACGGTGGACGTGGCCCGAAATAGGGCAACTGATACGAGAACAGGCAGAGGAGGGAGAAGAATGCAGGGCGGTCGTCGCACAGCGGACGGGCAGCCGCAGGTGAGGACAGTCAAGAGACAGTACCACGGCCCTTTTCATTATGCGGCAGGTACCCGCGCCGGCTTGGTAGCTGGCACAAGACGCACCCGTGAGGGAGATCACGACAAGCGAGTAGACAGACGGCCAGTGCTTCGTACTGCAGTAGCAGTGCTCGCTAGGTAGTACCTGGGCGAAAGGGAGAAAGAAGTGAAAGGGGAAACGAGGAACGGCGACATCATTGTCTCGCATCAAGGGCTGGCCAAGGCCAGTGGCTGACACAGGCGGGAAAGCACGCACCTTTGTCTTTCGCTCGACGCACTCGTGGCACGACAGCGTGGGCTTGTTTCGCTTCTGCTTCTTCTTGGGCGGCCCACCCGCTTGAGGCTCCGGCAGCGTGGCCTCGGCGTCGTGGGACACCATGCCGCGGTAGTCGAGGCCGCCGAGGCCTCCGGGATTGCCGCCGCCGATGACCGGCAGACGAAGGTTTCCCGGGACGGAGCCGGAACCGGGCGACGCGACGGAGGCGTTGGACGTCGAGGTCAGGGCCGGCGGCATGGAGGCAGCGCCGCGTCCAACCCCGACGGCGACGGGCCTGCCGTGCTGCTGGAACAGCGACAGATCCATCCTAGCACTGACGTGACTGGAGTCGCGCACTTCTGCAACTAACGTAATAATCCCCAACAGGACAAAGAGCCGCCCCCTCCCAAAGGCTGGTCCGATGCCGCTGCCGATGCAATGATGCCCCCCTTTTTTTTTTTAGGGGAAGACGGGCCGACGCAGCGACAAGAGCCGCGCTCTCTTTGCCTTGCCTTGCCTTGCCTTGCCTTGCCTGGCCCTGGTCTTGTTCCCGGCGAGCAAAGGCTTCGAGGCGCTGCGGCCCTGCTGCTCTGCCGTCTGGCTGGCTGGCTGCTTTGTCTCCTGGTGCTGCACACGGCCGGCTGAGGGCCTGCTCTGCTGTGTCAGCGGCTTTCGATCCGAGTCGCTCGCGCCGCGGGAGCGCCGGGAATAACAGCGTGGAGAAATCGGGGTCAGTTGCGCGAGCTGTGCTGCTCGGGGAGGGATTTTGTCTGGCGGTGGCCTCGTGGGTGTCGGATTTGAGCACTGGGAATAAACATGGCCGTTCTGTGTCAATGCTCAAAGGGGGGCGGATAATCAAATAGGAGCGGGAAGGGTGGAGGAGCCGCTCTGGATTGGATGACGAGATGCAGCAAATGGGGGGAGGCCAGCAGGAAAATCCCAGTCCGGGTCGTCAGTTGCCTCTCGATCTCAGCCGCAGCGCACTAGCCATTCCTGCGAGCTGGAGACGAGGCGGGATTGAAGGAGGGAGAGGAAGCGTGGGATATGGAATTGATGGTTGGTGAAGCAAAAGGCTGGCTTGCTTGCTTGCTTGCTTGATGCGACTATTTCTCGCGGCAACAGTTAATCCGCATGCGGTCGACACTGAACTGAGGAATCAACGGCTCAGTGGCGTGCCTTCCTTCCCTTACCCAAGCACGTTGTCGTCGGTATACAGTACAAGTTGTTGATACGAAGACGACGCGACCTTGTTCGATCCGATCTAGTCCTTGGTACGTACGCCAGCGCCTGCCAATGGCGGGGAGAATCGGCCCAATTGATGCACCGCGCAAAGGCGTCTTTAGCTGGATACTACCTAGACGATAGGTAGGAATAACTCGATGACTATCCACTTCGATCAGGAGAGAAAATAGAAGGATGCTGAACTGAACGATATATAATTACAGCGTGATCATTCCCAACTTGTTTCCCAGATGAATCATGGCACCGCTGATGGACTCGGGCGCAAGCATGTTCGCTGCTGTTACAGGGTAGGCAGCCGATGTATTATGCACCACTCGGCGTGGCATGTCACAGAGATGCCCAGGTCACTCGAAGTCACGTTTGCTGATGGTGAACAGCAGTTATAGAGTGGAGAGGTACCTATATATCATTGCCTCGAACTATGCAATAACATGGATAGATGCGAAATTGGTCAAAACAACAGTCGAATGTCGTCAAGATCGTGTCACTCCAGACGGGCCGAGGCAGAAGATACTTGTACCAAGCCTATGACGAGCTCCTCCATCGCCAACAGCTATAGTACCTATGAGTGGGGCTGGAGCTCTCCAGCTTCGATGACCAATTGATAACAAGGAAGGCAGCTCCTCCATCTTCATCTTCAGCACCTTCAACTTGTACAGCCTCGCCCTCACCCAAGAGAGACAGACTACGCCATTGCAACTTGCAGCCTCATGAGTACCCTCGCAGCGCCTGTCCGACGCACAAACCAGCTCCTCAACCACCTCACTCACACAATGACCGCCCCCGAAGCGCCATGGCGAGCTGCCTTCATGTCCCACATCCAGCAGGCCGGCACCGCGACCTTCACCCTGAGCACGCTCCATCCGCTCGAAGGCAACCAGTTCGTGCCCCGGGCCAGGACCGTTATCTTTCGCGGCATGTGGGCGTCCCTGCCGGAGAACCACAGAAACCCGGCGCCGCTCAACCCGGCCGCCTTCACCAGCGACATGCCGACCATCACGACGGATGTGCGCATGGAGAAGGTGCCGGAGCTGCTAGCCAGCAGACAGGGGCCGTCTGCATTGCCCGAGGCACAGTCTGCCGCTGGAGGCCCCGTCGAGGCCGTCTTCTGGATGGAACAGGCCAAGGTGCAATGGCGGATCCGCGGCCGGGCCTACATCATCGGGCCGGACATTGACTCGGAGGCTGCCGCGCCCGTGAGAGCTGCTCTGCAGCCCTGGATGCGGGTGCTCGACGAGAGGAAGAAGGATGGCTGGAGTTGGAGCAGAGAACTCACCGCCAGCTTTGGCAACCTGAGTCCCTTGATGAGAGGTTCCTTTCGAAATCCGCTGCCCGGCACGCCGCTGACGCAGAAGCCGGAGCCCGGGCAGGGACTGGGTCAGGAAGTGGACGACGTCAATGACGAGCTGGCGCGGAAGAACTTTCGGGTGCTGGTCATTATGCCTGAGGAGATTGACCAGATAGACTTGTCGGACCCGAAGAAGGGACGGAGATGGAACCACAAGGTTGAGGCGTCTGAGTCTGACATTTCGTGGAAGACGACGGAAGTATGGCCCTGAGACAGAGATACTCACGCAAGAGACTCACGGGCCTTGGCGGGCCTTCATCCTCATTGTTCAGGAGACTATCACGTGGCTACCCTGATGAGGCATTTGCTCGATTGGGTTGTTGCAAGTATTGATGATCTTACATAGACTACAGAAGCTCTACAGCATGATCGGTCTCCGCGGAGCATGCTGTGATAGAACCAACACGGCATCTAGATTCCGGATATCGGCTTCTCTAGCATGCGGCCAACGCAGTTTTGGCATAGCACAGGCAAAGATAGGTCCAGAACTGGACGTTGCTGTTGCATTGCATGGATTGCAAGTGTGGCTGTGGCAGAACATTACTCGCTAGTAGTTGATATCGTTCGCCTCATGCAGGGCTTGGTTGAACAGAGAAGATTGAGAATCAGGTGAAGCTGGGCTAATCAGCAAGTGCCCAATTGGACGTGTGGAGCCATGTCAGAGATGACAACCTCGTATAAGCTCCTGAGCACAAGTCAGGGCCCTTGCGGCGCCAATGCCAGATCGGCTTTTTAAGAAGAAGCTTGTTTTTTGTGCTGTACCTTGGCATTTTGGTGCTTATATTGAGTTGTCGGGACTTGGGAGTACGTAGTAGTCGAGGACTGTTGATCAAGGATAGGGTGAGGCTGGCTGACATCTCCTCAGGGAAGCCATGTCCTGCAGGCACGGAGTTTTGTATACACACTCTGGGGATAGTAGTCTTGTTTAGGCACTCAAATGACGACGTACGATAGCTTTGTGTGTGTCGTGACGAGTCAGCTCTCGTCTATCGCCTCTTTTGACGCACTGGTCTCTGCCAAAAGGACCTTGCATGTGCTTGAGCTGTCTGTCTGTATGCAGGGAGCACGATCAGATGCATAGGTAAGCGCACTGACACCCTCCCTCGGCGGCACATGCTTTCCGAAGACGTCGCCCTCTTCTCCGACTATCTACTACTGCTAGTATAGGAGAGGAGAAGAGAGGAGAGGAGAGGAGAGGAGAGGAGAGGAGAGGAGAGGAGAAGAGTGGGTTCTCTAGCTTAGCATCGTCGGTCGAGGCGGCGGCGTTACGAGCTCAGGCACTTGGTTCGTCGAAGCGGCGCAGCAGCAGCAGGAAGGGCGGTTCGGGTGGCCATGCCTCGGTTCTGTATATGAATCCTCTTGCGGCGGGCCACGATTCGTATTTCACGGTTCACTGTTTACTGTGTCTACCCTTTTGCATTGTAGTATTCGCTCTAGACCGACATATTGACTCTTGTTGTTGTTCAGACCTGTGCAAGTTGTACCCTTGGGTCATGCAGAGTGCCGACTGATGATCATCTTGAAGTAATACACGATAGAACTGCAAAGGAGGACCCGTAGACGCCGCCGGACTTTGAGACGCCCACTGATTGGTTTCTGTAAGACAGGGCCAGGATCGGGATTTCTAAAGTACATGTAGATGCCACCATGCTGCAAGGACCGGCTTCTCGATCGTCGGCACACGCGATACGAGAGGGCCAAGCTTTTTCTTCTAGAGCTGCAAGAAGAGAGGGCATAGCACATGCCGCCGCCTTTGCGCCAGGGATCGACTGATGCCTCCTCTTTCGTCTAGTCTAATAGCAGCAGCCAGGCCCCTAGCGAGCAGTAATAGTATAGAGCAGGTGACTATACATGATGTGAATTGCGCGCGAGGGAGAGAGAGAGATGCATGCATGTACAGTAACGGCGGGAACGCTGGCCGAAGCAGGGAGAGAGGGGACAGAAATGATATGTTTTCCTGTAATAATATATGTGTTGTGTTGTGTATTATAGTCAAGGTAAGGTAAGGAAGGGTTAGGTACAGTAGAAGTGAGATTTTGGCAATTGGCCCGGATGACGGATAGGCACAGACAGGCTACGGAAGTAGGACAGCGACGCGATTCGATAACGTGTAGTAGTACCTACAAACTGGATACTAGCAAAGAGTCGGTATGGATTGCATTTCTCTGGCTTGGGGCTATTTTAAGATGCACATTGGGTGCTGTTTTTGTGAGACCTTTGTTTGGGGGTCCATTTCAGCTCCAAGACAAGGATCCGGGGTCCGATGCCGATGGATGGTGGTGCTTGTTTGTCTGAGATGTTTGGCGGGAGGAATGAGGAGACTGGGAAGATAGGATAGACATGAATATAATACAGTACATACTCAACAGATCGACTCTATAGGTTCTATGAGCTGATCATCTACCCAAACAATTCGATCATCTCCTGTTTGCTTGACAGGGCACTTACACAGCCAAACCACACTCCCCCCGGTCAACCAACACAATGGAACCTCCTCCGCTTCCCGTACGAAAAGTCCGCGGCTGCGCCCCGTTCCAAGGGAGCTGCCCGGACGGTCGACTGAGCTAGAGTTAGCCTAGTAGAGTTACCTTGATATATTACATACGAGAAAAAAAGAGACGAAGACGGCAGACGCCGAGGACCAACATGCTACATCAACCCCAAAATCAAACTACAGTAATACCTACTAGATACTACGTGGAAGGATCTGTATGGAGGCATTGGGCCCCCCCCGACGACGATGCTGCTCTTTCAAGTAAAGCGCCCAATTTCGTCTTTTGAGTCAAAGGAGCGTTAGCCTCGTGCTGTTTGTGTAGCCAAAGGCATGTTGTAGCCAGCCGTTGCAATGCGGCCTTCAATTCAAGGGCATGTAAGACAAAAAATGGGCGAGCTTCTTTTCTTAAGAGACCAAGAAAAAGGTCTCACTTGTTTTTTTTTTCCCCTCTACCTTCTGTTCCGGGGATTTTCATTCTTCTTTTATTAGTTTTTGGTTCCTGTTTCTCTCCTCATTCCTCTCTCTCTCCTTGTTGCTGTTGTACGTAAAGGCGTTCCTCTCATACCTTACCTTACCTACAGGTAGTGGTGAGTTGGTCCAACGAACGTACTCTGACGCGCGTTCTCGTCAATGTCGTACAGCTTTATTGGTTATCACATTTGACTTGAACTTTCTTTCGCGGCGAACCAATTCTAGGCTTCTTTATTAAGCTTAATCATTTCTCTCTCTCTCTCTCTCTCTCTCTTGGCTTTTGTACTTTGTCCATCTTATAGTACCTTGTCTTTTTGTTTTTTTGCAGTTTTTCTTCTTCTTGGGATCCTCGAGTGGCGGAGTGATCGCATCACGAATTACACACAAGCGGCGGCGTTTCATTATTCTGGCTGCCTAGAATCGAGGTCACGACAATGCGCGGTCTCAGCAAGGCGGCAACGCTGGTATTGGCGCCGGCGGCGGTGTTGGCGAGGCCTGTGCCTACGAATGCGTCATTACGAGGTGCGTATTGAATTTGGAGCGGAAGAGAGAGAGTGTGTGTGAAAGAGAGAGGGAGAGAAGAGCTGAGGCGGGCTGGGTACACTATCCCGGGGGGGGGGGGGGGGGGGGGGGGGCACTGGACACTGAGGAGGGCATCACTTACACCAAATCATCTGTCGAGATACTGACCTTTTCTTGTCAACAGACATCCCGGCCGAGTCTGCCTTTTCCGTTGCCATTGCCGTACCCACGGGCGCCTCCCGAGACGCAAAGACGGCCGACCAGCCTCTGGTAAGACACCACAGAAACATCCCCGGCCACCACAATGAATTTTTCACTAACACACGCAACTTGGAAACAAAAAAAGGTCCTCAACCTCGACATCCAGGAGTCATCAGAAGCCTGCGCTCCCGCCAAGGTCCGCATCGACGGCTTCCTCCTCTCGCAGGATGACACCGGCGCCGGCCAAGGCACATTCGCCTCCCTAGACGGCCGCACCGTCACGGCGAGCTGGAACTTTACCTGCCGGGACCACGAGCACGAGCACGAGCACGCCGGCCGCCGCCGCGGTGGTGGTGGTGGTGTCCCCTGGGACCAGGACCTCGTCGTGACAATCATGTCCCTCGACGGCGAGGCCATTGCCCCCGAGGCGTCGTCGTCGTCGTCCTTTGTGACGAGCTTCCGGCAGCGGACGCCCGTCAAGGTGTACGACGTCGGGGGCGACTCCGTGGTGTACACGACGGACGGGCGTGCGCCGTCTCGGCGGCACCAGGAGAGGCTCTTGGAGAGGATCAAGGGGCTGACGGGGGTTGACGAGGTAGACGGGCGGACCAAGGCGGACGTGGGCGACATTGTCTCGCTCGAGAACCAGATGCGGGAGCTGGGCGAGCGCATCAAGGACAAGCAGAGGATGGTCCTGGACAGGCTGGGCATCAGGATGCCGCCAACAACAACGACGACGACGACGACGACGACGCTGCCGGCGCTTGGTGGTGGCATGCAGACGTTTTACCAGACGGCCAAGCTGGCGTCCTCGACGTTACGGGGCACGATGGAGCACTGGCTTGGTTCTGTGCTGGGGTTTCCTCCGGTCGTGCGGCTTGATTCCTACCGGCATTGGGATGAGGCGGGGAGTCGTGAGCATCATCATCATCATCATGGGGTCGGGCAACATGCTCATCCGGAACATAGGGATGACGGGGTGGTGGTGAGCATGCAGGTGGATGGACAGGGGGGACAGCGCTTCTATTACTATCGGGACGATGCCGATTCCAGCTCTACGCGACTTGCGCCTGCGCCTCCTCCAAGGGTAAGAAATACTGCCTCTTCTTGAAAAGCTGCCCATCTATTCTGTCGGGAATCATGAGTCTAATTCTGGGCCAACAGAACGTCGGCTACGTCCCGCTCTTTGCAACAATCTTCACCTTCCACCTCGGCCTCTACTTCATCCTCCGCTCCATCCGCCAGCGAATGCACTCACGCCGCTCACGAAGCCCCGACCACCGCCACCACCCGCAACGACACTCTCCTCGCTCCAGCAGCAACAGCAACAACACCAGCCAGGAACAAAGCACCGCCAGTCTCCTCCGCGAAAGCGTCCGAGACCTCTTCCGGGCAACAAGACACGTCGAGGTCGATGAAAAGACGCGGCTGATGACGATGATGACGATGCATGAAGGGGACGACAGCACTACGATGGAGGACGAGCTGGCGTCCTTTCAGGAGGCTGCTTCGCTGTTTAGCGATGTCGTTGTTGCTGCTGCTGCGGCGGCGGCGGGGAGGGAGGACGAGGATGGAAGGCTGCCGAGGTTTGCGGACGACGTGAGTCCGCCTGCGTATTTTGATGATGATGATGATGATGTGCAAGGGAGGTTTGATGAGAAGCGGCCTGATGGCTGTTGATTTGCAGTTTGTGGTGTTGTGATTTCAGCGAGGCGATGACTTGGTCTTGAGGAAAAAAAGACTCTAATGGCCGTTACGATGATTAACCACTTATAATATCGATTGGAGAGAAAATTCATCAACGAAACATGTGCAGTTTTGGACAAGGCGTTATACACACCCAAAGGGAAGGGGGATAGAACCCAGCAAGCATACAATAGACGACGAGAACTTGCGAAATACCAGCTACAAGAAAAATACCTAATTGATTGTTAGTCTTATATACTCTATCAAACGCATCAGAACACATTTCTGTCAACACATGTTGGGATCGCTGCTTCATGAAAGGTGTCGTCTACCCATATACGAACCGCCAAAAGTTCCCCCCTATCCTCTCCACCCCTTGCTCCAACCCCCACCCCTTGACCTCACAGACAAACCGATACATTTCCTCCAGCAGCGCCTCCGCCTCCTCGCCCGCAGCATGCATATCGCTCTCAACCAGGATCCTGTCGTCTGGCACCGCCCGCACGACGGCCGCAAGCTTGTCCTTGCCGCCGGCGTTGCCCATGTTGACGCCCGTCGAGAAGGAGGCGTAGATGGTTGACGGCACGGCTGGGTGGAACCACTGCCTGAGCATGTCTGCGCTGCCGCTGTACGAGTGGAGGCATATCCGCGGTGGAAAGGGTTTGCCGCCAATGTTTTGCTTCTTCTTCTTCTTCTTGGCTTTGCTGCCGTCGTTACCTGAAGATGCTTCATCCTCATCTCCATCGTCGTCATCTGAGCTTTCTTCAGCTCCAGGGGCGATTCGCTTCTTGTCTCTGCGGGATAGGACCTTCTTCTCGTGGCCCTTCCAGCAGGCTGCTATTGTGTCGTACAAGACGCCGTGAGCCTGCACGCCATGGACGCTGACGGCCCTTCCCATCTCCCCTGCTAGACGTAGCTGTGCTTTCAGAATGGCCTGCTGATGCTGCATCTGCACTCGAAAGGGACTGAGAAGCCGACCCTCGCGTCCTCCAGGAGTGATACTCTCGTCTCGGGAGTAGGCATCATCGTCGGGAAGTCGTTGTTGAGGGAGTCGGAAGCCTTTGTCGAGCCCGACTTCGCCGACAAGAGCGAGGGGGAATCTGGTGAGGTACTCGCGGGTGGATGATAGCAGGGATGACAAAGGGGTTGGTGTAGGGAGGGAGGAGAGAAAGGATCGATCATTGGGAGTTGGAGAGAGAACAGCTCGGTAGTGGTTGATTCTGGCGTCTTCTTCTGCAGAAGCATCGTCATTATCGGTGCTGGAAGGCTTGTAGTTGTACGTGGGATTCGCGACGGTGTCGTCGTAGAGCTGGTAGGAGAACCAGGGATGCCAGCCAAACGCCGGAACGACTTTGCAGGACTTGGCCGTTGAATCTGACTCTGAGGAGCCCGAGTATGGGTTTGCGTGCTTGATTCCGTGCTCGGCTGCCACGTCGGCGACGAGCTGCTGGTCCTGCGAGCGAGTGGCCATGATGGCGAGGACGCGGGTGCGGAGAGCAGCGAAGGAGGAAGGGCAGAGGGAGGACATGGTGTCTGTTGGGTGGCAGTGGGCATCGTAGGCGCCGAGATGCCAGGGAAAGGGATCATTGTGGGTTGTTGTTTTTGGCGGTGGTGAGGAGGTGTTGTCTGTGTCTCCGTCTCTGTCTTGGTGACACATGTTGGCGATGCTGGTGGTCGTATCACTGGATTAAGCAGTTGATGAGATGCCGGTGGTGGTGTAATCAAGGTGAAGAAGTTGAGGTCGTCGCGAGCCGAGCCTCCTCACGTAAGAGGGATATGGGACGGGTGTTTTGACAAGAGTCCAGCCCTGTGTTGTAATGATGACTGAACTGATGACTTTGAGCCAGATGTTTGATTCTACTCGTCCACAGTTGCATCATCAAGTCGATCAACTCCAGACGTCGTTGATTCAAAGCGGTGGAGAAAGCGGGGAGAAGCTGCCGTCTGCCGGCGATCCACTCTGACCACAAATCCCCATCTCATCTCATCTCGGAGGATCTTGTACTATTATCAGTATTATCGATCATTTTCACGGCAGTTCTCAAATCATCACCATCACCATCACCATCATCAGATGCATCAATCCGTCCAGCTTCATAATCCTCATTGACTCAATTCCAACCCAAGCCTCGCTAACTGCTTATCCTAAGCCAAAAAAAGCTTCAATCCCTCCCTCCCTCCCCCCTGAAATAGAGCTTCCAGGCCGCCACGCCGCGGCTTTTTGGGCGCTTCCCCGCACCCGGGCCATTGAATCACGGGCGAGTGCCGACGACGCAATCTTTATTGATTGTTGTGCATGATATTATATTTGTAGATATATACTGTGCGCATTAGCTGCGAGAGTCTCGTCTCATCCAGCGAAAAGCCCTTGCCAGTGTCATCTCTCTCTCTCATCCGAGTCCAACACAGCTCAATAATAACAAAGAATATGCCCAATTAAGCATGTGAATCTCACATGCCATCTCATCGCCACTCATCTCTATCGTATCTATCTCATCCATCATCTCATCAAGCCAGTCTAGCGCCATCCCCTTGACAATCCCAGCCTCCCATCATATGCCACACACACACACACACACACACACACGCACCTTGACGCCTCCTAAAATCACATCAACCACCACCACCACAACCTTTCCACCCAACAAGCAAGCCACATATTCATATAACCAGATTCTCAGCCTGTTTCCCGTTCGCCTCCTCCTCCTCCTATTGTCCTGCAGGTCCCTTATCTCTTCTGCCTTGACCCACTACTTAATCCGAGCTGCCTTCTCATCGTCAACCCGCTCGTCTCTCGCCCTCGTTTCAACTCCACCCCCGGATTTCTTGTCTTTGCTGCTGCTGTGCTGCTACATACACTTTTACTTTTACTTTTACTTTTCTTTACCTTCATCTTTTCTCTTCTCTTCTCCCTTTTGCCGTATCTTCTCTCAATCCTGTTATTTCCTTTGTGTCTTCGTTCTCAGTCATCATCAGTAATTGTGTTTTTTGTCCTGGCGTGTCGCGTTCTGCATTCAAATAATACCCTTTACTGTCTTGAAGCCACCAACCCACCATTTCTTCCATTCCTCTCGACCCTCTTCAACATCAGCATCAACAAGAACAACAAGAACAACATCAACAACATCAACAACACCAAGTACCAGACCAGCATCGCCATGTCATGATCCGCCAACTCTTCTCCCGCCTCACGTCCATCCTCCTCCCTCCCATGGCGCTCCTCAACCCCCTCTACGCCCTCGTCGTCCCCTTCCTCCTCGTCACCACCATCCCGCTCGCCATCTTCGCCGGCATCACCACCACCTTCGCCTTCTCCATCCTCATCCTGCGCGTCTTCATCGTCTGGCTCGACATTGCCCTCTCCCTCGTCTCCCAGTCGCTCTCCCACCTGACTGAGAGCAGCAGCAGCAGCAGCAGCAGCGCCGCCTACAAGTTGCACCTGCGCCCTCCCCGGCCCTCGTCGTCCTCGCCCTCGTCCTCGTCCTCCATCCACAGCCGCACCAACAGCGTCAGCCCCTCCGCCTCGTCCACGCTGCTCAAGAGGCATCGCCGCCGCAGGCCCAGCTCCTCCGTCTACTCCGCCGCCGGCTCCGCCACGCCCGCCAGCGACATCGGCCTCGGCCTCGGCCTCATCCCCAGCGTCGGCCCCGAGCGCGACTTTGAAGGCGTCGGCGGCTGGCGCCTGGGCGACGACAACGACGACAACGACGACGATGACCGGCTCTGGACCACCATCAACTCCCGCTACGAGCTGCCTGACCGCATGCACGACCGCAACCACCGGCGCAGCCTGTCCGGGGGCCCGGCCGGAGCGGCGGACGGCGGCGGCTTTCTCATGATGAAGGGCCGCGCCAGGAGTCCCGAGCAGAGGCTGGTGACGCCGGCGTCTCCGAATAGTTCCAAGGCTCGCGCGCCCTCGGCTCCGCGTCTGATGGGCGGCGCCAGCCAGAACGACGGCTATTTCCCCATGAGTATATCTTCCAAGGCAACTAAGCGAAACATCAACTAGCTCTATTGATGATGATGCAATGACTTGAGACTGAAACGAAAAGATGGTCGAATGGGCTGTGATTTGAAGTCACATTTGTTGAGGCATCACAATGGCATCACAACGGCAGTTGGCTGTCGTGTTACACTCATTTTGGCTTGGACAATTCATCTGCTTTTGAATGCTTGTGACACGGGAAATGGTTGGTTATGCAATTCGGCGTTTCTAAAAGGACATGGCATGCGATTCGGGTTGTACATTCAGATTGTGAGGATATTGCCGCCTCTACTCTTCTTTGCCGTCATGATGAGATTTTATACATACATGATCGTCTTGTATCTGATTTCCTTGACCCATAATGCCGTCACAACCGTCCGTAAAAACACAAGTCCCCAACGCCGTGTCCAAACATTCCTTTTCAACTCCTCAAGACGAATGGTATCTTCAAAAAAGCAAACCCAACAATTTCCGAATCCAACAAGTTTGATACCCACAAACTCGACAGTTCCCCCCCATCCCTTCACAGCGTCTGCCAAAAGTAATTTGCGTAAAAGTACCGCGAAAACTTCTTATCCAGATTCACCACATGCACATCCCCCTTGCGATCATTCCTCACCACGGCCCTCGCCCACTCCCCATCCTTTTCATCCCTCTCAATCTCAATCCCGAGACTCCGATACACCTTGAGCCGCAGCAACACCTCGTCGTCCACAGGATCCCTCCTCCTCCCTTCCTCGGACCCGTCGACGCCCTGCAGCTCCAGCTCCTGCAGCCGCGCCGCGAGATCGGCCGCCTGCTGCGCCAGGCGCTCCGCCTCCATCTCGGCGTCGGAGGCGGCCTTTGCGACGCGGAACTTGTGCGTGTCGAGGCGCGCAATGGTGGACGCGTGGTCGGCCGAGGAATGGGACGACGCGAGCTCGTCGTGCTGCGCGTTGATGGTGTTGAGCTGCCGCGCGAGCCTCTTGAGCGTGGCGTCGCTGTCGCGGAGGTGCAGCTCGCGCGCCTGCTGGAGCGTCGAGAGGGATTCCGAGATGCGGCTGACGGCGAGCTTGTCGGGCTGGATGTTGAAGTTGTTGATGGTGTGGTGGATGAGCTGGGCAGCAGCAGCAGTCTGGTGTTAGCATGTATGTGTTTTTTGCATGTTTTGCGGTTTGGAGGCATCGGTTGATACGTACAGTGGCTGGATCCTCGGCGAGGAGCATCGTGGCGGTGTTTCAATGAATCCAAGAGCTTGTATATGTTGGTCCTCCAAGAAAATCGAGACGGTTGCTGTTCGTGATTCAATTCGTGGTGGTGTTGGTGAATCCTTTCCAGAATCGAATCAATGTCACCAGAAAGAACAAACCTTCCTTCTCCCCCAAGTTCCGTCGCCCGGGACAACCCCCCTTCCGCCCAAACAAGCCACACCCCGCAACGTCATCAGCTCGCCTCAGCCACACATCGGACCACGCTGCTTCCACCAGCCACACAATACGATAGTAGCTTGGCAGACAAGGGCAACAACTTGAACTTATGACCTCTGATTTCCCTTTGACAACAAGCTAAATCGCCAGTTGCAAAACCTCACGAGACCTGGCAAATCATACATCTGATCGACCTCTTTTTGCTTTTCCTGTTAAATTCACTCAACTGTTTCCTCTTATTCCCCTTTCTCTTCGCTTCTAGTGTACTCTTTGCTCTGGACGGTCCTTGCCGAAAGCGACTACGACCGACATCGTCATCTTGCGCCTCTACCTCGGCTTCCATCAATCAGCTCGAGACGACCTCGACTCACTTGCGCCTCCATCATCCACAACATCGCCAGCCGCCCAACATGGTCACAGAACTTCCCTGTAAGGCAGCTCTCCTGTTCTTTTCCTAGCATCTACGCCCGCCTACAGCATCCTTCTTCTCTTCCTCCGTCATGTCGAAATGCGCAACACATCACACAAGACCAGTCGGATTATAGGTCGGCTAACTGCTTGCTTCATCTACAGATGCCCTCGACGCAGAGACGTTCGTCCTTCCCCCCTCAAAGCAGCCATAGTCGACGACGCAGCCCAGCTAAACACCGCACAGGCCTCTGAACCCCTCAGAGCTCAGCGTCCTGCGCGCCCAGTTCGAAAAAGAAGGCGAAATGGTCGGCGTCCAGACCAAGTTCAACTACGCCTGGGTATACCTCTCCTCCACACTTCCTCTTTGCCTCTCCCCCCTTCCCCCCCCCCCCCCCCCCTCCATCCCGTCACCTCCTTGCTCTCTCAGTGTAAGACGCCCAAACTCTCAGCTCACACGAGTGACCAACGCGAAAAATAGGGCCTCGTCAAATCAAACAACCGCAACGACCAGCAACTCGGCGTCCGCCTCCTCTCCGACATCTTCCGCGTCTCCCCCGAGCGCCGCCGCGAATGCCTCTACTACCTCGCCCTCGGCAACTACAAGCTCGGCAACTACGGCGAGGCCCGCCGCTACAACGACCTCCTCCTCGACAAGGAGCCCGCCAACCTCCAGGCCACCGACCTGCGCCAGCTCATCGACGACAAGGTCGCCAAGGAAGGGCTCCTCGGCGTCGCCATCATCAGCGGCATCGGCATTGCGGCCGGTGTCGTCGGTGCGTTCTTGTTGAGGAATGCAAAGAGGAGGTGAAAAAGCATGTTCATGGTTCTGGGCATGAAGTGGGACAAAGGGCTCGTCTGCGATGAGGAAGATTGGGCAACGAACAACAACAGACAAGACGAAGAAACAAATAAAAAAAACTGCAAACAAAATGGACAAATGGACATGTCGAGGGAAGAGAGGGTGGAAAGCTGGTGGGGAGATGAAATGTTTACTTCACCTCCCTGTGCCTACATAGGGAAATTGTCATGGCGGGATCGCAAAGGGGAATCACTCTTCTCTCCTGATTGTCACTTCAAACCACATACCTACTTATTCATATACATGGGCGATTTTAAATGGATGTACAAAGCATATAAACTACCTACTCCTCCCCTAAGAAGCACCCGGTGTCTCATCAATAGCCAAATACCAATCAGATTTAGCATTCTACATACTCTTCAAAGCACATCACATCACAGCATACAATTCGCACGCGTCTTTTGGTAAAAAATGAATTAACAGACACAAAATCAAAACTAGCTAGGAAATTACGACAAACAAGCCTAGACATACCATCGCGTGTTGGAGACGTCAAGCACGCGACTAAAATACAACAGTTGCTGATTCAACCCTCCTCCAGCCATCCATTTGCTCCAGTCAAATTCAAATCCGCAGTCCGCCGCTCCATCCAGACAGGCAACCAGGGTACGGGTCTATCCGAAGGCATGGCGAGTGGAAAAGACGGAGACGCAGGGTATTTTCGGCCATATCTTGCCCGACATAGATTTCAAAGGAAAGCGTACGTGTGACGATCGTAGGAAATGAATAATGAGTGACTTTTCGCACGGCGGCCCCAACCCTCCCAACAACTGCACCAAAGAGCAGGGGGCAAACCCAGCACTGCTTGCGGCCTCTCCTTCCCAGAGCAATCGCCCTGTCCGATCCTTGATGACCCATGGGACGCCAAAAGGTGTGAGTGATTTTGGGGGGGGAAACAAAAACCACCCAGAGGAGCTGCCCAAGCCGTGCTTGGCCGCGACCACCATACCAAGTCAAGATTTGAAATGCTCCATAGTCCTGCACTTCTCCATGCTGCATGACCAGTTATCATAACAAGGTTCTTTTCCTTGCCCACCCTTCCGGAAGACAAAGCTTTTCTTGGCGGCGATTATACGAGTTTATGATTAAAATAAAGTGACGAGAAGGAGGCGACAAAAAGGAAAAACAAAGAATCGAAAAGGGGAAAAGGAAAGGCGTCGAGCAGATATTGTATGGACATCATGGATATTCTGATATGGATCGTGCGGGTAGCGAGTCGCGACTCGGGGGCGATCGGGCGGGGACCACTGGCCGTCGTTTATCGCAGTGAGAAGCCCTTTCGCTTGCCCTCCTTCTCTATCGGCCGCCCGCTCTCGATGCGCTGCTTCTTGTCCTCGAGCTCCAGGCGCTGGCGGTCGAGCTGCTCCTTCATCTCCCGGTGGCGCGCGTAGAGCTCCTCCTCTGACTGCTTGAGCTTGCTCTCCTTCTCCGCCACCTTCTGCTGGAAGACCATCTTCATCTCGGCCTCCATCTTGGCGAGCTTCTGCTCGTGCAGGGCGCGCTCCTCCTCCTGCTTGACGGCAGGGTTGACCTCCTTGAAGACGCTGGGATCTTGCGAAACACCCATGGCCAGCAGCTTGTCGGTTCTGTAGTTCTCGTACAGGTTGTTGTTGGTGTGCTCCTTGAGCTCCTCCATGTGCGTGCGGATGAGCATCTGGCGGAGCTTGACAAAGTCGCAGTGCTCCTCGTTGTCGACCTCGATGATACCCCAGGGGTACTCACGTCCGCGGACCTTGCGGCCGTCGGCAGTCTTGATCTCGTTGGTGGCGCCAACAACGGCGAAGGGAACCTTGGACATGATTTCGTTGTTCTCGGCAATCGTCTCCTCGTCGTCGAGCTCATATCGGGGGCCCTCGAAAATCTGGATGCCGTGATACTTGATGTCGGCCAAGATCTGGTGTTCAAGTCAGCAACTCTATTCCGCTACAGACCCATGTTGAGGGGAAAATCTTTAGACTTACTCTTGCCTTGAAGGCGACAATTTCCTCGTCCGTCAGAGTGTCAGACTTGGCAATGACGGGGATCAAGTTGACCTTGGTGTGGAGGCGGCGCATAACCTCAATGTCGAGAGGCTTGAGGGAGTGGCCAGTGGGCTGGATGAAGAAGACACAGGCGTGAATTCGGTTGTCAACAATGTTGACTCGGTTGACCTTGTTCTCGGCATCCAGGTAGGCGTCGAAACGCTGCTCAATGTTGTCGACAATGGGTCGCCACGACTCATCGTTGTTAACGAAGTCGCCAAAGCCGGGGGTGTCGACAACGGTCAGGCGCAGACGAACGCCGGCCTCCTCGATATCGGCGCTGATGGACTGGATGGTGACAGTCTTGGGGATGATGTCGAGGCTGGGCGCCTTGCGCTCCTTGGGAGGGTACAGGGAGGTGTTGAAGAGAGTGTTGACCAGGGTCGACTTGCCCAGACCAGACTCGCCAACAACCATCACGTTGAAGTTGAAGCCCTTTCGCACACTCTTACGGTGCCACTGGTTGGGAAGGTTGGCGAATCCGACATAGCCGGTCAGCTTTCGTCGAACAATGTTCTTGTTGTCAGAAGCAGCCGCGCCTGTAGCCATCATGTTAGAACTGCAGCTAGCGGTGGGTAGACGCGTCAAAACATACCGGGAGCTGGCGAGGCGGCGCCCTGTGGTGAATCGGCACCGTTGGAAGCTATTCAAACCCATATGTTAGCTGCTGGATCCCCACTACTATAAGAACTGAGAAGCAATGCATGGCAACGAGGCAGGAGGGCTAGGCGCTTGGCATCTGACTGGACAACTCAGTTTCTTGGCTCTCAACCGTATTTGGCGGGTTGGTGTTCCAAGAACATGATCTCGTCGACCGGTCAGAGCTCAGGATGTCGCCGTCCGAGACCGCGGCCGATTCCACTGGGCCTGAGTACAGCTCTTCGAATGACATCGGGTTCCACGGTCCAAGTTTGGGCGGCTCTTCGACCTCCAGCATGCTGCGATAGCGGCGAATGGCAGCGGGAACAAAGGAAGGCACCGAGAACTGGACAGAGGGAGTCTGTCCGTCTGGCAAGCTGCTCAGCCGCTTCGTCGCTGAAGCCTGAGCTGCCACCTGCTCCAGGGCAACCATTGCCGGCGTCAAGGCAGTCTTGTCGAGCTGGAGGCTGCGAGCTCGCGCCCTGACGTGGTAGACCAGATCGAACGTCATGCCGGGTTGCAAAAAGTCGGATATAAGGAATTTGTACTTGAAGCAACGGAAATGGTGTTTTGCCAAAAAAAGCGACCCAAGAAACAGTAGATGGCGAGCAACGAATGCGGTTACGGCAGGGGAAACGCGAAAGTCTGGTTGTGCGTGGGATGAAGAAGAGAAGATAGGAGGCGCCCGTGTTTTGTGTTGCTCAGGTCCGGTGCCGTGGTGAAGTGCCTCGTGGCACGCCCAGAATGCCTCCTGCCCCCTCCTCGCGTCGTGGAGACTGGCCACGCAGGGCCATGCAGAGCTTCAAAAGAGAGAGTTATCTTACCCATATCGATGTATAAGGAGCGGCCGAAGGAAGGTTAATAAAGAATGGTAAGAAGGCTGGAGATTCTGCGCGATTGGTTAGCCGTGATGGTCGTCTCGGGGGCGGAGAGCGAGCAGGAGAGGAGAAGAGGGCGCAGCCAAACGGCCAGGAGCCACGAGTCGAGAGAGCAGCTTCGTTTGGCTCTCAGGGCACATGGCAGCTGGCGCGCGCAGCAGGTGGAAGCGGGCGAATGCAGCTGGCAGCAGACAGACGGACGCTCCTCCGCCGATTCGCCGCTCCGGCAAACGCCGTGAAGGCATCGCGCGGTGGGATCTCGACTCGAACTCGAGGACAGCCAAGGCAGCGGGAGATGACCTACCAAAGGAGAAAATGCGCTGCGACCCTAGCAGATAACGACGCGTGTCAATGGATTCGAAGAAAGAGGATCAAGAGGCAGAAACGACCGCGGTGAAGAGAAGGGCAAATGTCAAAGGCGCTCAACCAGCTGGAGAGGAAGTAGCAATGACGGAGGGAAGTGAAGAAGTGAAGTGAAGTGCAAATGAGGCCAGTTGAGGACGAGCAGGAGGAAGATAATTTCGGGGGTGATGACGGGGAGGAATTAGTGCTGGGCAGAGGCCGCTGGCTTCTGGGCTCTGGCCAGCGTGGTGCAGCAGCTGCTGGCAGCGCCGTTCCAGGGGGCGATGCTCCACCGCGCGCGGTACCCGGTACCTGAGGGCCCGCTGTGGCCGTCACCGGCCGCGGCTGTCACTCGTACTGCGCGCTGCCATTTCGTCGGGGCACCTCCAGCGCTGCTCCGGGCAGCTTCCAGTGGAAGGACATTAGCACTCGACCGCTAGCAGCTGCTTGCTCGCTTCAATCTGGAGTGGTCAATCTGGCAAAAGGGGGTGCATGAGCGGGCTATGCCGCAGCGGGACTAGCGCGGCCAGGGGATCGATGTCCTGGTGCGCTGGTCAATTAGCAGAGGAGCTTCACAACAGGGCCCTGGCCCGCCGTTGGCCGCCGCTGATTGGCCGCAGCCGCTGATTTCCCACGAGCCACAGCACCACCCGCGCTGTGGCGCTGTAACGGATCGGGCTTGGCCCAGGTACCGGGTACTTTTCTGGACCAGACGCGGTGCTGAGGGCTTGGAGCTTGGATGGAGTGACTTTGACATCAAAAGTGCATCAGAGCCTTGACGAGTTGAATATTGGGTGAAGCAGCTGCTGCAGGTTGGCTGCGATCAAGGCCTGGGCCAGCTTCAGGCGCGGGATCGGACGCGCTGTTCACGGCAAATTTGGTTCGTCTCGGAAGGTCGAGTCCAATCTCAAGGGTCGCATGACGGACGGCTTGGGGTATCTCGCTGAGACGACCCGACAGGACACGACAGGCATGGCATAGCATGAGTACTGGTACATCCCAGCGTGGTAGCAGTTGATGGACACGATTTAATTTCAGGAGCTCCGGGCAGTGTCTCTTCGGATTGCTTCGCACTCTCGCTACTCCTGCGTTCATATCACCGCACTGCCGAGCATCTGGGCAGCTTTCGAGGCGAGTACCTAGGTAGGTACTTGTACTTGCTGTACCTGTACGAGCCCTCGTGTCTGCTCCGTGCCCAAACAGTTGCTCGGCCTATTAATAGGATGGCGAGGAGCTCATCTTCATTTGCCGCAACAGGTGAGATTGCTCTGTTTGCATCCCTCCAGGGACTCGACTCGACTCGACACGAAACGACACGACACGCCGCAACGGCTATCGACAGCTGCAGTGGAACAATCACCGGGAGATTTTCTTTGCCAGCGGAGCGACGCTCCGAGGCGCTGGAGATGGACAATTCAATCCCGAAGGCTCGTGCAGGCTGAGACAAACCTCAAGTCTCCCTGCCTAGCGTATGCACTTGACGGCGTTGGCGCCGGAGCAGTCAATGGAGAACCGATGACTATCACAGCGTTGCTCACGGCGTGACTTAGATGTTCAGGATAAGAAGGCGTCGCAGCTGCTGTGAAACAATTCGACAATCAAAGCGGCTCGCTGGCAAGGCCGGTCGCTGCCTGCATCCCAGTCGAGGCTAATATCCGACACGGTGCCTAATAATAAGACGAAGGGGGCAGGACATTGCCCGTTTTAGAATTGTAGGGTAATTCATCTCGTCAGCTGGGTTGTGTTCTCAGGACAAAAAAAAGTCTGGGGTTTGTCAGATATTCTGTTGATATTCTTCAATTTGTGGTCATTAAAGGTTTCTGTAAGGTGGGTGGGTAGGGTCGGAATGCGGCTGGCGAGAGCTCACTCAAACACCATCCCGATTCGCTTATACGGTAATAAAAACTGTTTGAACCACATGCACACAAACAGATGGCATCAACTGCGATAACCAACCCATGCAGCCACTGAACAAGCTCGCGTCCTGTGCCTACATATAGATAAGCATACATATCGCCGGCATGATAGAACATGACGCCTGCAGCAATACAATAATCAGTACGAACATCACCAGCCACTGACAGACGGCCTCCTCGTCGACTCCCGCCTCTTGTCGTGAGACACACACATGATCGACACGCGCGCAAGATTGGAGCTGTCTGGGAGTTGCCCCACACGGCAAACAGTGCTATTCACCCCCACATGTCGACGAAAGAGAAGCTTCTGGGCATTTGTGGGTTGACGAGAACTCCGCGAGGACTCTTGTACATATCCTCTGCCTCTATGCGTCTCTGCCGAGGTACTACTATGTACAGAGTGCCATCGTCTCAAAAGCAATGTGATATCAAGCAAAAAGTGATCACAATTAGATGAACCCCTCCAGCCTCTCCTTTTCCTCAAAAGATCACCGGAGCATTCTCGACATGACCACCGCCGGCCGTGACTGGCCAGCGTTGCCCGTCGTATCTGCAGCCAGACGTCAAGCCAGACCAACCACCGGAAAATGATGCGTTAGCCTCGCCTGTTGCTTCACCCCGTCCACTGCAGGCCGCCCTCACACATGCTTCTCACCAATTCGTACGGCTCTCTGAATGCATGTATGGAACCTTTTCGCCGGTGGGTCTGATCAGGGTGCCCACAACTTGAAGCATGACGATAGCCGAGTCTGTCTGCTCTCCCCAGCTGTTAGTATTACTCCGGATCTGCTCTGGAGGGATCCTCGCTGTGATGGCAATGCCTGGACGGGGCTGGCCATGCGTACTTGTGATTGGTGAGTGTCACATATCCAGTCTATCCAAGTCTATGCGGGCCAAGTTTCTTGCCACCCAGCCCTATTCACAAGTAGGAACCGAAGCTGTTTCAGAGGTGCGTGATGTGGTCTATATATATTTCTGATCCGAATCACCTATAGGGGGCCTATACGTAGAATAGGCCGGCGAGATATATTACAGATGCCATGCTCTCCCTAAAGCCCAATGCATGTCCGTTTTCCTTTTCCGTAACCGTCGTCTCAGGCTAAGCCGATGATAGCGCAGCTTGTTGGCTGGCAAAGAATTTCTTCGACTCAGCACACCGTTCGCTCTTACAGGCGGGACACCGGAGACCCATCTGAAGCGAGCACGCCTGGCCGGAGCCGAGATGTGACTTTGCAAGGTCAGCGAGCGCCTTGATGAAGACTGGGCTGCCGTTCAAGCTGTCCACCCGCTTGACGGTATCTGCGTGGCCGCTCTCGCCAATGACCTCAATGTCGAGTTCGTATAGTGTTTCGATGTGATCTGATGTAAAGGCAATGGGAATAAGGACGAGGTCCTTCTGGCCCTTTGCAATGTAGTTCTCCACCGTGTCGGACGTCTGAGGACCCAGCCAAGCCTTGGGCCCGACCTGCGACTGCCAGCATAATCTGTAAGGGTTGGAGAACTTGAGTCGCTCCATGACGGCTTGAACGGTTGCAGCAACTTCGCCGGGATACGGGTCGCCTGGGGGTGGGTTAGCTTGCAATGCCCACGGCAGCAAGATGCAAGCGGATAACATACCTCTGTTGACCACGTCCATGGGCAAGCTGTGCGCTGAGAAGAGCAGAATGGCATTGCGCCTCCGCTCCTCCGGATACTCGGCCAGCTTTGCCTCAATGTTCTGCGCAAATGCCTCCACGAGGCCGGGATGCGTGGGCCATCGGTCAATGACACTCCACGTAATGGTGCCGTTGCCGGTTTCCGACGCCGTCTTGCCCTCCAGTCGCTGCCGCCATTTCCACAGCTCGTTTAGACTGCTGCCGGTTGTGGAACAGGAGTACTGCGGGTACTGGGTGAAGGCGACCGCTCTGCCTCCCTTTCCGTTCCCGAAGCCATCTGCCAGCAGCTTGTGATACATCTCCTCGGTCAATGGGTTGGCGTAGCGAAAGGCGACGTAGGGCTTGTGCGGCGCCGTCTCGGGGCTGATCTTGTCGAGGATCTTGCACATCTCTTGGCTCTGGTATTCGGACCATTTTCGAATCGGGGAGCCGCCTCCAATGGCGTCGTACTGCTTCTGGATCTTTGGTGTTCGTCGCGCGGAGATCAATGGCCCAATGTAGGACTGCAGTCTGCCCAAGGGAATCAGGTCACCGTCGGCCTTTTGGCATCAGCCCACCCTGTGATTAGTACAACGCATATACATCAGACAAGTGCTGCTATTCAAACGTACAAAGAGTCGACTTAAAAAGTCTCCGACCTCGTTGAGGGTTGACGGTCCGCCCATGTTGAGAAAGACCATGGCGGTTGGACCCTTGGATCCCGTCGCATCTTGCGTCACAGGATGGACGGGCGTCGCCAGGTGTCTGGCATGGCTGGCAAGCTGCGACAGCGCGAGAGGAGACGCTGCGCTCCGTGACAGCCCCCTGGAGAAGTGCTGTGTGGTGAGCCGTACTGCCATGGTGAGAAGCCGGGTTCGGGAGGATTAGAGAAGGAAGATGCCGGGCATTGCGGGAATCCAAAAGGCAAACAAATACCCGTTTGATGCTGTCAGACACCGATGCGCCGAGATCACTGAGGCAAGCTCCGAGAGTGGCAATCGAGCACGGAGGTGACGGCGCAATAGAGTAGTACTTTGAACTTGGGTGGGATGGGCACTCGAGACATGCTCGGTGGCAGGTACCCTGCTATTAGACCCTGATCGAGTTGTCCGCCAATAAGGCCGTTCGTAATGGTGATGAGCTGCACGTGACTTCGCGGATCCCTGTCGCATTCTGCCTAGGCTCGTCGCGTTTGCGGGAGCTTGGCGGCGCATCCACTCGGAGATGCTGAGCTGAGCGGCTGCCTGGCAGTTTGACTCTCATCTTGCAAGTGAATGAAGCCTCAATCCATTTCTGCCTCTTCAACATAGAAGGGGGGAAGAAGAACTGTGAAGGCTGAAACCCAAATCAGACATAATGACGGATGCACAAAAGAATTGGAGGAGAGACGAAAACGACGAGGACGATGAAGCAGAGCAGGAGCTCGATGAGGCTGTAAGTCGCCGCGAGTCGCATCTGGTCTGACAAGCGTCGTCTGACACTCTTTTCTCCCATCTAGAGCCTCAAGGCGCAGAAAGATGCAATTCTTCTAGCCATTGAAGTCAGTCCGTCGATGCTTGAGCCTCCGCCAGTCTCCAGCTCTAGGAAAGCTGATCGGGACAGCCCCGTTCAAGCTGCGCTGAAATGCGCCCGCCACCTGATGGAGCAGCGCATCATCTCCAACCCCAAAGACATGATGGGAATCCTCCTCTTTGGGACAGAAAAGACCAAGTTCCGGGACGACAATGGCCGCAGTGGGCTCGGGTATCCGAATTGCTACCTCTTTATGGACCTCGACATTCCGGCAGCTGAAGACGTCAAAGCGTTGAAGGCGCTGACCGAGGACGAAGACGAAGACGAAGTGCTGAAGCCCGCCACCACCGACACAGTTTCCATGTCCAACGTGTTGTTTTGCGCCAACCAGATATTCACCACAAAGGCGGCCAACTTTGGCAGCCGGCGACTTTTCATTGTGACGGACAATGACGATCCGCACGCGTCGGACAAGGCGGCGAGGTCTGCTGCCGCTGTTCGGGCAAAGGACTTGTACGATCTGGGCATCACGATCGACTTGTTTCCAATCACCACAGGAGACTCCAAGTTTGATCTCAGCAAATTTTACGATGTAAGCTATATTTCTTCGTTTCTTCGCTCTAAAATCACCCACCCTCCGTCGTGACATAGACTGACAAGGAACTAGGATATTGTCTATCGCGACCCGAATGCCGAGGCCAATCGCACCGAAGTGCGAGCCTCAAAATCGGGCGATGGACTGTCTCTTCTCAACTCGCTCATTTCAAACATCAATTCCAAGCAGACGCCCAAGCGAGCATTGTTCCATCTGCCATTTGAGATTGCACCTGGACTCAAGATCACTGTCAAGGGCTACAACATTGTGCATCGGCAAACGCCGGCGAGAACGTGCTACATCTGGCTGGAAGGGGAGAAGGCTCAGATTGCAACAGGCGAAACGACGCGAGTTGCAGAGGATTCTGCCAGAACAGTCGAAAAGCAAGAGATAAAAAAGGCCTACAAGTTTGGTGGCGAATACGTATACTTTACGCCCGAGGAGCAGAAGAAGCTCCGGGATTTTGGCGCGCCCACGATCCGGATCATTGGATTCAAGAAGCGCAGCATGATTCCCGTCTGGGCCAGCGTCAAGAAGTCGACCTTTATCTTTCCCAGCGAAGAGGATTACATCGGATCGACACGCGTCTTTTCAGCCCTATGGCAGAAGCTTCTAAAGGATGACAAGATCGGCCTCGCTTGGTGCGTGCTTCGATCTAACGCGCAGCCCATGTTTGCCGCTCTGATTCCATCAAGAGAGCAGTCCGAAGACGACGCGGGGACACCATATCTACCAGCTGGCCTGTGGCTGTATCCTCTCCCTACGGCTGACGACCTGCGAGATATAAATGTCGAACGAAAGCTCGACTGCTCGGAGGACCTAAAAACCAAAATGAGAGTCATTGTACAACAGCTCAATCTCCCCAAGGGCATATATAACCCACTCAAGTACCCGAACCCGGCTCTGCAATGGCACTACAAGATCCTCCAGACCCTCGCCTTGGAGGAGGAGATGCCGGAAGAACCCGAAGACTTGACGGAGCCCAAAAACAAGGCGATAAGCAAACGCGTCGGAGGTTACTTGGAGGAGTGGTCCGAGACTCTGAAAGACGAGGCGGACAGGGCCACTCGATCCAGGTCCTTGAAGCGAGAGATTGAAGATGATGCCCCGGAGCGCCCCGCAAAGCAGAGAAAGGTAGCTGGAGAGCGGCCCAGCGGATCGAATCTTAGCATGGCGCAGCTTAGGGATGCCATTGAGAGCGGGAGCATCTCGAAGATGACAGTGGCACAGCTGAAGGATGTCGCTGGCGCCAGAGGACTCAGCACGGGTGGTAAGAAGGCTGATTTGCTGGAGCGGATAGAGCAGTGGGTTGAGGAGAACAGCTGAGATGACGGGTTCTGATGTTGTACAAGCCAACTTTGTGTGATTTATTATCTTGGACCGGCCGCAGGCGAGAATTGCATTTTGTTTGCTTTCATTTTGAAATGTATACCTATTACTATGCGGAATCGAAATGGACGACTGAATGATGCTATCTTGAGGATGCACTCATATTCACTTTTATGACGACATGGAGGTCATTGTCCTCACGGGACTTGGATACTGCTGAGTGATGAATGGGTGATTCAGAAGCATTCACTACCTTGATGCTGTCGGACGTTACCATTCTTCTGATAAAGACGCTCTTTATAGCTCCTTCTAACATAGGTACCTACCTGATAGTAGGTATCTTTGAAGTAGAAAAGTCATCCTGAAGCAAAAACAAAGCCATGTACCATGATGGCAGCTGTGCCCGCAAGCGCGCGAGGAGAGGGCGTGTACATGTACCTGACGCGTGATAGCGCTGGGCGCACGCCCCCTCCGACTTGGGGCACCCCCGGCACTTTCTTCCAGGATCGCAATCCAGCATCACCACCACCACCAAATCCGCCATGGTCACCACCAACGTACCGCCCAGACGCTGATACGTGCACATATCCAAACCCGCCCTCGCCGCCATCGAATTGCCGTGCGTCGCTCTCGCCTCAGCAGCAGCTCGACCCGGCCACGTACCTGCAGAGCCGCCGCAGCGCGCAATCGCCCACGGCCTGGGGCAGACGGGCTATGGATTTCCTCTCCAGCTTCAACTTCCGCGACGAGGAACCGGCCGGGCTCGAGGGCCGGCCGTGCGGCTCCGTCGAGGAGCTGCAGTCGCGGCTGCGGGATGCCTTCGACGGCAAGGTCAGCGAGACCCGGGCGGAGCGGGTTGCGACACGGCTGGAGCTCGCGGCGTCGGTCGAAGTTACGATTGGGGCCGCGGAGGGGGACGGCGGCGGCCGGGGGCTGGAGGCGCTGAGTGCCCTGGATCCGTCGCTGGGAGGAGGAGCGCCGTCGACGGGCGCGCATGGGGCCGCAGACGGAGGACAGGCCGGCCGCGTGGTGCTTGTGAGCGAGGCGCTGATGAACCAGCCGGCCGACAACCCAGTGCTGCAGCGATCCATTGCCAACCAGCTCGTGGCGGGCATCGGGCAGGTCGACGGGAGCGAGTGGGCGGTGCGGGAGATGTCGCGGGCGACTCGAGACTGGGTCTTCTCGTACGTATGCAAGGGCTCGATGCAGCACTGGCAGCGACAGCACAAGAGCCAGGCCAAGCCGCTGGTTGCCGAGTATTCACAGAGGGAGATTGACCCTCTGCTCGCAAGTGAGCATCTCCCTCCCGCAATGATCCCAGAAGGTAGTTTCATCTGGATGCGCTGCTAACATGTCATACAGGTCGGCCTGCGTTTGACTGCCGGGGGTCGCTCGTCATTTCCTTTTCGCGAAATACTAGGACCATTTCCATTGACTATGACCACATCCCGCTCCATCGCACAGTCGCTGATCTCGCGGCCCTCTTCAAGCCCCCGCCCCCCCGGCGTCCTCTCCCCAACCCAGAGAAGCAGCCCAAGCAGCCCAAGACGCCCAAGACGCCGAAGCAGCCAGGCTCGTCGAGGAAGAAGAAGAAGGATGCTGCCGATCAGACACCGGGCGGCGAAGGTGTCAGCAAGCCGAGGAAGCGGAAGCGGAAGGCAGACGACACAGGTGCTGCAGGGGAGCAGTCTCACTCCCAGGGTGTTGCTGGCACCCAGGTAGGAGAAGATGGTAGCACTATTGACCTACAGCAGAATGGTCAAGCTGGACAAGCGGCTGCCCAAAGCTCGGGTGCCGGACTGCTCATTATCAACGTCTCGCCCGAGGAGGCGGAGCGACGGCGGAACGTCGCCATGCTTATGCTTCAGGGCGCGGGTGTCGACCCAGATTCGCTCTCGCCAGAACAGTTTAACATTTTTGCAAACCAGTCCCCGGAGCTGCAGAAAGAGTCGCTCAACATGCTCGTTAAGTATGGCGCAGAGCGGCTCCGCATCGTGCATCCTGGTAACAAGGAAGGGTCTGCTCCCCCATCGGCCTCCAACGCGTCTTCTGCTCCTGCGACTCAGAGCAACATACAAGGGAGCTCATCTGGCCCCGTCACTACGAATGAGCTGGTGCTACAGACACAGAGTCCCGCGAAGAAGAGTCGGAAGAAGACTCAGGCTGCGAACAATGATGCCGAGGAGGAGAATGCGGACTCAACCGCCAAGCAACCGAGACGCAAGGGACCGAGCAAGTCGAGGACTGCCTGTGCTCAATGTAAACAGCGCAGAGTCAAGGTGAGCAGCAGTCCATCGCTTTTTAATAGCTGGATTCAGGTTGTTGCTAACGGTGATTTGCAGTGCCCGAGGGAATTGCCTCTTTGCAGCGGTTGCCGTGAAGCAGGTTTGATATGCGAATATGCACCTCCCAAGCCAAAAAAGCAAAAGTCCAACGCCATCATCACAACAGAGGACGAGCAGGATGAAAACGAAGACGACGAAGCAGGGGTTGAAGAACAGGAGGAACCACAGCTGGACGACCAGCAGCTCCAGGAAGATGCAGAGGGCTATCCTGACCTGGCTGATGACCCCGTGACACCCCAGCTGCCGATTGGAGATGGGTTGGGGAGCAACATGGGCGTTCCCGTGGCCGACTGGGAACATGGCCATGCTCCGCCGAGTTTCTTCCATACCACGACCGTGGGAGTACCCGAGACAGATTCCTCACAGCCTCCGCATCAGACCACCAGCGTCCCGCTGTCGAACCTGATTCTACCAGCGGGACGCACATACTACCCCAATGTCTCAACGCCAGATATACAGGAGCAGACATTGACGCCGCCAGTAGCTCAGGAACCGAAGAAGAAGCCAACCAAGGCCGCGGCAAAAGGATCTGGGCGTAGCGCGGCAATGAGGACAGCTCTGCCGACGGAAAGCCACAGCTCCTTGCACTCCACAGGAGGTTCGGAATGGACTGGCAACAGCAATCCGGTCACGCAGGCGGCAGCAGTTGTAGCAGCAGTCGTGACGTCTATGGGTGACCAATCCACCCGTGAGCCTACATATGGAATGGCAGACTCTAGCCGGAACAATGCTTGGCGTCCTTCTGCAATTCCGCACACCCTCGATAATGCACAGCAACAGACTGTGGCTGGAGCATCCCTTCAGCGTACTAAGACGGCATCGCCAATGAATGACGGCTCGCGTTCACGGACGGCTAAGCAATCAAAACAAGGCATGGTCCACAAGTCACCTGCGACTGCGTACCAGAGCCCGAACATGGCACAGCAGCATCAACAGCCACAACAACAACAACAGCAGCAGCAGCAGCAGCAGCAGACTGCCCACGGGTCAGGGCTGCAGGCGCCAAGCGGCATGGCTGGCTCAGGGTCATACAATAACTACGATCGCTATTCCGGCTCTAGAGCACCAGATGCGTCCTCGAACGATAGGATTACGTACGAGCCGTACTCGTACCAGCGAGACACGAATGGTACTACTTCGTACGCCAGCTATAACCACAACTCTCACTCGACAACGACGACAACGACGGCCGCCAACATGTCCTCGGCGGCATTGACGTCTGCAGAACGCACAGGTTCGCAGACGTACGGCTCCTATTCGAATCCCCTGTCTCGGAATGCCTCGCAGGGCAACCAGTCGTCGCACGTGGGGACAAGGGGAACTGCACAAGCCCCAAGCTATAGCAACAACAGCTCCGATCTGTCACGCAATTCCCGACAGGCGTTCAACATGCGACCGGGCCAGAATGCGGTGAAGCAGGACCGCGGCTATTCCGCATATCCGTCGCAGATACAGCACCAACAACAGCACGCACAGCAGCAGCAGCAGCACTCTCAGCAGCAGCATACTCAGCAGCACACACAGCAAGCGAGCCAGCACCAGGCGTGGTATGGTTTCAATGGCCAGTCCGGAGCCCCCTTTGCGTCTTCCGGTGGGCATGGATCAAACTACAGCTGGAATATGCCGGGCGATTCATAGCGTGGAACTGGTGACCATGACGCCGGAAGTGGATTGATTGCGTTTTCTCGTCCCATCTTGCTAAGGGGGAGAGCATTTTTCTTGCACATGATTGATTGTTTGGCTTTCCTGACGTGGAAGCAGTCTGGGGAATCAGGGCTTACATGCCTGAAGGGGGTTTCCACTATTATTTTGACGGCGCAACGGCTGACTTGTCTCTGAGAACAAGTCTTTTCATTTTTCGACTCTTTTTCATGCTGGCCTAGCCCAACTCTATCGCTCGTCGAGAGCTCGCATAGGTTGTCGGCCTTTGGGAGGTTCACATCACATCACTTTGTTTGCCCGCCTGCCCCCCTTTTATCTGTGCTTTTCGCATGCTGCAAGGGGACGTCGAGCGCAATACCTATTTGTGTTGTATCCAATTAAAATTTCATGTCGTCTAAGGAGGGCCTAGGTCATCAGGGGTGACAATGGGTAGGAACGATAATGCTGTGAAATGCGAACAATGACACGGCTCACGGTTTTAACCTCCTTCATCACTCTGATTTCTGTGTGCAGTGGACAAGTCTCTTTGTCGTGATATTACTACCTATGCTCATATTCTGTAAGTCTAACTGTAGATTAAGATGACTTTGCAGCCATTAGAAGAAAACGTTTCCTTTCTTTCCCCCCTTTTCAGTATGAAACGGCAAACCGAACCGATGAAGCCGTGAGTATGCGTCGAGTCTTGCTCCCTCCCTATATCACACGACCCCCTATTCAGAAGCCGTGTTGCATCCTCCTCCTCCTCCCCTTCTTCTCCTCCCCACTCAATGCTTCTCCTCCGCAACAGGCTCCTCCGCCGGCTCCCCATGATCAGCAAACTTACTCAACTTCCTCAACCTGGCACCATAAAAGTACAGCAACCAAATACCAATGATGCCAATGACGCTCAACCCGCCCAGCAAACTAACTCCCCTGCCCACGCCCAAATTATGAAACAGCGGGTGCGCAAACAGCACGCTCCCACACGCAAGCGCGCTCCTGAAGAAGTCGTTTGCGGCAAACAAACTCGCCGCATACCGCGGATAGCTCAGCGGGATGTACACGAAAATGGCCTGCATGACGATGAAGACGGTGGCGCCGTAGATGGTGATGCCAATTGTCGGGACGATCCAGTGGATGGACGCGCGAGCCGTCCAGGCGAAGAGGAAGAGGCCAATGGTTGGGCCGACGGAGGCGGGCAGGGCGGGAATGAGGCGGTCTTCCTGGACGGGCCAGCCGTACTTTTCGATGCGAGGGTTCATGTAGAAGTAGAGGTAGGCGGTGTAGATGACGATGCCGATGATGCAGGAGACGAGGATGCAGAGGAAGACGAGGCCGACTTCGCCGAGGTTCATGCCGTAGAAGACGGGGTAGACGAGGGGGAAGACTTCGAAGACTGTTTGGAGTGGCGTTAGACGTGTTTTGTCTTTTTGCTCATTGTGTTGTGTGTGTGAAATAGGAAGGGGAAACAGGAGGGGAGAAAGGGAGGAGGAGGAGGAGGAGGAGGAGGAGGACTTTACATGAATAGTAGATGCCGTAGATGATGGCGGTATACACCTGCACGAACAGGACGGCCGGATCCTTCATGGTAATCTCCATCGGCTTGATGAGGGCGTCGAGGAAAATGTCCTTTGCGTGGACGTTGCGCTGGTCAATCTCGCTCTGGGACATGAAGCGCGCGTTGCCGGTGAGCTTGCGCAGGCGGCGGGCGCGGCGGAGCAGGATGTTTGCGCTGCTCGTCTCGGGGAGGAAGAGGAACATGGCGACGAAGACGGGGGCCGACGCCCAGAGGGACTCGAAGAGGGACCAGCGCCAGGACTCGGCGGGGACGGCGAAGCCGCTGAGGAGAGGGCCGAGGGCAGCTGTCGTGATGATGAAGAAGAAGAAGAGTGTCAGCTATGTATGTACATGTATTGAAGGAAAGAGAATAGGGGGGAGGGAGAGAAATAGGGGGGAGGTGGAGAGGGGGGAAAAGATTTCTTACGTCCACAGTATGCGGCCGCAACCCAGGACATCATGGCATACGGCAGCGCCATCAGAGTGTACATGTCTCCCAGCGAGGCGCCTCCCGATGCCAGACACGGCGATCCAAAGAAGCCCTGCAGGAATCGCAGCACCATCAAACCAGGGTAATTGGGCGCAAACGCCGTCGGGATCGAGATGATGACAAAGAGAAACATGGTGACAATGTACACCGGATTGCGCCCAATGATGGGAATCTCGCTCAGGGGGGAGAAGATGAGGGGCCCCATGCCGTAGCCGAGGACGTAGATGGACAGGCCGAGCGTGGCCTTGATCTCGCTGACGTGGAAGCGGTTCTCGATGCCGCCCTCGGAGGTGGTGTAGATGGCCGACGTGGTGTAGACGACAAAGGTGTAGATGCAGATGATGAAGTTGACCGTGAGCCGCTTGTTGCGCGTCCAGTTGTATGGGTTGTCCGGGTCGTCGGTGTAGTACCAGTCGACGAGGATGGCGCCGTCCTTTGTCGTCTGCGGGACGATGGGTATGGACTTGGTCTTTTCCAGCTCGTGCTCCTCGTCCTCTTCCAGCCGGCGGGCCGTCATGTCGCCGAGCTCCGTGCGCTGCGCGTGCTCGTGCGAGACGAGGTGCTCTTCGTGGTGGTGCAGATGGTCTTGGGAGTGCGTCCGGCCTCGTCGGCCCCCGGAGGCTGCTTCTTCTGCGTGTGACGCTGATTCTTCTAAATCGTCGTCTTTGGGGGCTCGCGAGGGGAAAGGGGACGAGGCTCGACGGGTGCTCCCGTTGGAAGGGGATGGCGTGCGCAGGATGCCGCGCGTTTCCTTGTCCTCGGCGGCGGTGGAGGCGTCGGAGCCGGAGTTGGAGCCGGAGCCTCGGTGGTCGGTGACGGACTCGCCGTTGAGGAGCTGGATCCAGGGCTCTGGGAGCTGGAAGTCCTCTCTCTCTTCCGGGTACTTGAAGTATTTGTTCTTGGTGACCCAGCGGACGACTTGCCCGAGGGGGGCGTCGCGGATGAGGTCCGCCATGGCTAGGAGGGGGATGTAAGGTGTCTTATCTAGTGGTGTCGCTCCGGGCTATTTGGCGTTGACGATATACTTTCGTATTTGTATTAAGAATGACTTCTCAACCTCGTCGGCAGTCAAGGGCTGGACGTGAGTAAACACAACGCTTGATGGTGGTGTATAAGTTGATGCTGTATATGTTGTTGTGTGTATATCAAGCCGGTGTAAGTGAAGCAATCAGGGGGCACAGAATGTATACGAAGAAGCCCTCGCTGATATGTCAAGCCTCTCGCCTGCCTAAGAGCACCAAGAAGACAGAGTTTCTGGAATGCTTTTGTTCTACCCTTTCTGCAAGCCTCCCGGAATGTAAACGGCCACAAGCCTCGTCTTATATCTCCCCGTAGCCCAGCTTTCCCAGGTCCTGACACTAAGCAGACCCAGCTTCTCTCTTCTTGCTGTGTAATACAACAACCCAGCAACCCCCCCGGACTAAGAGTCCAAGATCCGGATAGATTCGTACAGCCATGCTCCATACCCTGGTCCACACGGGCAATAGCCTATTTCCATAGCTTTTGCTTGGCTTTCATCAGCCCTAGAACCGACATGGCGGGACACATGGGGGAGACATGACACTCCCCCCCTTTGGGCACTCACACGGCAAGTACACTCTCACACAACATAAAATCCGATACGAGTCAACAGCTCCAACAGCTCGGACGCAGTTCCCACTAGGAGCCAAGACGCTGGGGCCGTAAGCAGAAGATCGCATAACCCCGAGGGAAGTAGGCGTGGAATGGGGGCGTATTTTTCATATCTTTTTTTTTTCTTTACAAAGCAATGGACGCATCATAACATCATGGCTTGACAGCCATCCGTGTCTGTGCCACCCCCCTAAGTTGAAAGGTATCAGACGCCGCGTTTGCCGCAGATAAGTACATATGTAGGTAGCCTTTCCCTAGGTACCTAAACAGAGCTCGATACTAGGTCGATCGATAGCTACGTCTAATGGAGAAGTTTCTTACACCCCCCCCCTTCCGTCCCTTCGGCATACGGAGTTTTGGGGGTTAAGCTTAGTAAAGCCCGGCATTTGATCGGACGCCGGAGCTATCATGTCTGTCTGTATCTATCCAGTCTTTCATTCTGCTTGTGAGGCTGAGTGAAGATTGATGGATGATGTACGTGCAGATTCTATGACTCCTCCTGCTGGTCTTCTTACTTGGTTCAAGGATCCTGCTTGTTAAGCCCGATGGTCCTTGCTTCGGACTTTTTCATGTACAGTATTACAGAGCAACTTGGAATGGCTGTTGCGTCGTCTTTGGTATGAATGGCGTGTCCCTGAGGAAAAGGATCGGCTGGGGCTATCTTGTGTAAGTGGTACTTAGCTGGAAAACAAGTGCCGGAGTTGAAAGGACCCTCTCTCGGAATAATGCACGACATGAAAATAAAAAAGATTAAAACCAAGTGAAATCTCAAATCAACTGGAGCGTCAACAAGGCAGAGAGGCTTACCAACCAGATCCTTTGGCAGCGACAATCCGTCAGAATCTAGTCTGACCTTGTTCTCCATACTAACGGCAGTAATGATACGCATTCCAGCTTAGCCGCCACCGATCCTAACCTAGATCATCAAATCGAGGAAATAGTAGTCGTTTGTATTACTATTAGATTTCGGAGTAAAGACGATTCGTTTGCAGATTCGCACTTCAAGGATCCCTTACCAAAGCATGCAGGATGACGTTGCTGCTGCCTCCGTTTCCGTGGTCTGGAATCTGTTGGATCTTGTCGAAATCTGGTGTAACCCTGGTCACTGTTGCATCCGCCCTGATAGCAGAGACAACCCTTGCTCTATCACCCACTAGGTACTAATTTCTTGAGCTTAAGAGAGACAAAGGCAAGCGAAGAAGAAGAAAAAAAAGTAGAATCCATTATATGACAAATAATCAAGATTTCTTATCCCCAATTTGATCATCGTTTCCGTCTCGTCACTCCAGAACTCTGCCTCTCACCCAAGGTACATACACCATTGTGTCAGATTTTGAAGCCCTCCTCAGCCTTGAATCCGTCGAAACTCTGTTCATCATTGCCTCGTCTTGTCTTTTATACGACACGACACGACACCAAGCAGGTTGTACAACTTCCTTGTTTGTATGAAGACGGTTAATTTGCCCCAGATGGCGTTTTTGCGAGTCCCTCGGCTTCCGCTTCGTTTTTGCCTTCTTACCCTCGCTTTCTCTTACTCTTTTCCGTCTCTTATCCTCCTGCTCCTGCTCCTCCTCCTCCTCCTCAGCATCATCATATTATCTCGCACTCGCTTCGCCTCAATGAGTCCACCCAAGCCGCGAAACTCAAACCATCCACAAACAAAGTACCTTCGTAACCCTTCTCATAAACCCCGAGCCCTCCTCTCTCTTCTCCTCTCTCATCCCCTTTTCACTGTCCTTTCCGCAAACAGCCAGCCATCATACACTAGGTAGCAACACCAACCCAATCGGAAAATGAGGCTTCTCCTCCCCCAACATCAGCAGCCACCCACGGCATTAATAATCGCCTACGCGCACTTGTCAGCGCCACCGTGCCGCTTCAAAACAATTCTCTTTGTCACTATTGCTCTCCTCATCCATTATCATCTGCGAATCCTTTCAGCCTTGGTTTTTCTTGATTACTATTCATTCATTCAATTCATCCATCCCCCTCGGCCACGTTTGCTCTTCGCCCTGCCTTGCCCTGGTTGCGTGAGCCGGTGAGTCACCTCGGAGTGACAATGCGCCGCTTCTTCGTCATCCTTTCATCCTCTCTCGATCCTTTCCATGTCGCAATTCACGCTCTCTGCCCATTGTCTCCTAAGGTAGTTTTTTCACTTATCCTTGTTCAGCTCCGGATTAGCTCCAAGAGCTTCAGGGCGCCGGCTCCCCGTGCCGCCCGACTGTCCCGGAGCTCAATTCGTGTAACTCTCTCGCCGGCATCGAATTGGCTCGTTCGGTTTCCCGTCGTTGCTTGACCTTGATATGCTACATGAGCCGATTGGGCACCAACCGACCTCGATGATGTCCTTTCTGCCTACTCTATGCAAGGCATGTACTCGTAGTATCATCTTGTCTGCCTGTGTCGTAAAGATAGATCTCGGAGTTCTGTTCCCGGGTATCATCGACGACTTTCCGGTTCGGAACCGGACCTCGACTTCAGCCTCCATCCCTATCAGTTCAATACTTCTCTATCGCCTTTTAGCATTGGCCAGTATCTGGCGTCGGTTTGGCTATCCAAGATCTAGACCTGCAGCCAATCCTACCCATTACAAACGACATTTCCTTAACAAATGTGTTTATCCTCCCCCCTTCTCTCCGATCGGAAATACGTGCCTCTTGCTGATAAACCCTCATGACCATCACAGAAAACAACTCCCAGCTTCCAGTCTGAGGGCAATGCAATGAATGCTTATACGTAGATTCAAGTCTATTCATTAGATGACAACAACAGCCGCCGCAACTCCCAGCTTTGACCGTAATCTCCTCATCAAATACCCTAAACATCCTCAAGGCGCCGTCATCGACGTCCCTGCCTTCCACTGCGAGGCTAGCTTCGAAATCCTCTTCTGCTGCAGCATCCTGCGCACAGTCCTCGTCATGTCCTCGTTCCCCGTGCTCAACAGCTCGTCCACCACGGGCCACACCCGTCCGTCCTCCCTGGCCATCGCCTGCTCAACCAGCACGTAGATCCATCGCGGCGACAACCGACTGCTCCTCGTAATTCCGCCGGCCAGGGCCTGCTTCGTGAACCGGAAAGCGAGATCCATCTCGCCGGCCTCTGCGCACTTTGTAATCAAGGCGCTCAATGACAAATTCGTCTGCTTCGGGTCCTCGCTTTCTGAAATCTGATCTGCGTACTCCTTGGCAAAGAACTTGGCCGTCGCCTCGTCAGCGCTATGGATGACTAGAGTCTGTATCATCCTCGCGTTGGGCGGCTCCACGCCGCAGAGTTTGGGCAGATCCCGGTACAGAGGCAGGGCCCTCGCGCTGCCGTGAGTCTGGGCCAGCGCCTCGATGATGGCGGCCGCGGCCGCGCGAGGCACAGGGCGTGCTCCAGCCGCCTCCCGCACCGCCGCCTCGGCGCCGTCCAGGAGCTCCGAGCGGCTCCTGAGTATCGCATGCAGCCTCCTGGTCTGGCTGCGTCCGATTCGCAAACCGCCGTCTTCCATGATGCAGAGCGTTCGAATGGCTGCTGCCAGGTCGCCGCTGCCGACAAACGCCTCGACAACGGCCTCGTAGTGGTGCGATTGGGCCCTCATGCGCTCTGATATGATGGCCAGCGCTTCCGATGCGAGCCGGGCATCTGCGTTCCTGGCCGCCGTCCCGAGCACATTCTCAAGGATGCCGTCCGCCGGCTGCACCAGGTGGTTCTGCACCACCGACAGCCAGCCAAAGAGGGTGCCCGCATGGTGATATGCCTGGCTGCACACGTCCAGGGCGTAGTATGCCAAGCTGATGACAATCGGATCGTTGCTGCTGCCGCCGCCAATATTTTTTCGTCGATAGAGAAGCTGCAGCATTTCGTCCAGGAACCCGTGCCTCCCAAACACCAGGATGAAGATGTCGTACACCCACGTGTCGAGCTTGGCCCCTTGCTCAATCATCTCCGTGAGCCTTGCGTACGCCAGCTCATACTGCTCGTCCCGCAGCAGTCCCACCACCACCGTCTGCTTCACCGGCGTGTCGATGGTGAACCAGTACTCTTGCATGATGCCGAGAATCTCCATTCGCATGACGTAGTCCGGATGGTTCATCAGCGCTCTCAAGGCGCCGTTGCAGAATTCCGCCGTCGGCTTCATCCCCTGCTCGACCATGTCGTCCAGCAGCCTCCGCAAGCCGTCGACGGAGCCACGAGGATCAGCCATGGCGTCCATCATGCACTCGTAGATGAGGGGCGTAATGGGCCGGTTCTCGACACGCAGGAGATGCTGCACCAGTTGGACGATTCGTTGATGCTGGTCCACTTCCTGGCCGCTGACTGGCCTTTCCCTCTTCACCTCTCGCAGCCAAGCCAGGGCCGCCATGATTTCGTCAACGGTGCTCGCTTTGAGTGCTTCCTCTGAAGGTACTTCAGGGGAGAGCAGCCTGTCTTTCCAGGACCGGGACTTGACATCCAAATATATGCCTCCATCGTCATCCCCGCGTTGCGCCTCACCTGGCCGGGAATCCGTCTGAGATGGTGCCTGAGATAGATCCGGGTTTGAGACGCTGCCTGTCGATGCAAAGCTAGAGCTCGTCTCATAGCACCGCACCTGCACCGGCCTCACCCTCGCCCTGGCAACATTCTGTCGCCATCCCGTCGTCCGCGCACCAGGCAAGCTCAAGCCCTGTCGCTGGATCGCCGTCCGCAGCGCCAGCTGATCAAACGACGGGCACAAGCAGCGCCACAGCCCGTCATACAGCAGTTGGCCGCGCTGCATAGTCAGTCGACAGAATTGACTGATGTCGGAACAGCTGCAAATTGGGATATCAAAAAGACGAGGCTGAGGCTGATGGAGTTTGAGGCTTAGGTAGGTAGTAATAATTTTTGGCGCGGAAAGCCTTCCGAGACACAATGTACCCCCCCAGCCTCGAACCGGTACAGCGGTACCTTGGCCACGGTCATGCATGCACATGGCGGGGTTCTTCCACCAGCACCAGCACCAGCACTTCAGTACCTACCCAAGCTTCGATTCTGACCTCACCACCGACTTGGCAAATCTCCAGCCTGACCATCTCATCAAAGCGAACAACCCTCACTCCTCCTCGACGCGACACCCGCCCTCACAGCCGCCAGACAAACACAAAACAGTCACATAAAGCACTACTCTAGCTTACGAATCGCCCCGTCCAGAGGCGCAAAACATACCAAATCATGGTACGCCTCGTCCTTCAGCCTCGTCACCCTCTACCCCCCCAGGTCTCCTACACATATACAAACTAACCACGACGCACACACACAACGCTCGCAGCTTCCCCTCGGATTGCTCAACGCCGCCCAAGGCCACCCCATGCTGGTCGAACTCAAGAACGGAGAGACTCTGAATGGACACCTGGTCATGTGCGATACCTGGATGAACCTCACCCTCAAGGAGGTCGTCCAGACGAGCCCGGTGCGTGCTCTACTGCCCCCCCTCCCCCCCAAGTCAACAACAACAAGTCTCTCCCTTCAGTCATTGCTCATCCTAACATGAACGCATCGGAAATAGGAAGGCGATAAGTTTATGCGTCTCCCAGAAGTCTATGTCAAAGGCAACAACGTACGTCCTCGTGTCCTTCACCCCCCTTCCCAAAGTGATATGAAACGTCTCTAACTCTCCTTCAAAAAGATCAAATATCTCCGCGTCCCCGACGAAATCATCGACCAAGTAACCGAACAGCAAAAGAACCAACAAGGCGGCTTCCGCGGCGGTCGCGGCGGCGGCGCCCACCACCAGTCAAGAGGCGGCGATCATCACCACTCCGGCGGCGGCGACCGCCGAGGAGGCGGTGGTGGTGGTGACAGGGGACGCGGCGGACGCGGCGGAGGCAGAGGGCGTGGTGGACGGGGACGCGGTGGCCAGTAAGAAAAGGGGGAGATCTTTCCGTTTGTGTGTGTGTGTGTGTCTGTGTGGCAAAGCGAACGACATGCGAAACGAAACCGATGAGCGAACAATATCAAACGACGATGGGAACTGGTATGGTGGAATGGGCGTGAAAAGAGGTGCGAAGGCAACGGAGGGCTTTTGTGATAGTGACGGGTGTACTACCATGCGTCTACTGTGCATCTCGCTCCTCTCGACTCGGAGATGGATGGAGGGGACTCTCCACGCACGATTCGACAGCCGCAGACGGCGGGCAACTGCGACGATGAGCTTTACTCAGTACCGAGACGATCGATGCCCACCACTTTTACATACACGACATCCTTCGATGATCTCTTTGTCACCTTGGATACTAGAATCTGGTCCTGGTAAAACATCGTAATAGGTTTAGATTACATGGAGGCACTGCGCGTTGAAGTAAGTCGGAACAATTCAGTGGCGTCACGAAGAGGGTTTACAAGCGAACGATGGATGCCATTGACATGAAATCATATATAAGAAGAAAAAAACATGAAATTTTTTTAATCAACCGTCTACAATACCATCCATTTCAAGCAATGACTTGCCACTCATTAATGCCTCATAAATCTAGTGCAACTGCTTTCCGTTGCGTGTCATCATTCCCGGATACACATCAAAGTTGAACCCCAAGAGAGCCAATCCTGTTCCCGTGCTGAACCAACGCCCTTGAGTCAAGCCAGCCGTCCCATTTTACATACTATAAAAGATAGCCATCCATGACGGCCCTTAGAAGTGGGCAACCGCCACGGCAACGGCCTGCTTGTCGGCATGCGAGATGGAGACGGAGACCTCCTTCACGCCAGCTTGCTTGGCAGCAGCAGCAGCATCACCATGAAGCTGTTGAAATCATGTTAGCAGATGCTCTTTCTTACATAGAATACCAGAGTCATAATAACTTACAGAAACAACAGGTGCGCCGGTGTCGTCCTTGAGGATCTCAATGTCCTTCAGGGCAGCGCCAGCTCCCTTGCTGGCAACGCCAAGAGCCTTGAACACGGCCTCCTTGGCGCTCCATCGGCCGGCAAACGAGCTCTGCGGGCTGGGAGCGCTCTTGCAGTAGGCCACCTCCTGGCTGGTAAAGTTGCGCTCAATGAACGTGTCGTTGTCAATGTTGAAGGATGCAATGTCCTCGACATCCACGCCCACGTTGCTGTTCTTGCCCGCCACCTTGTGCGCGAGCGCCTCAATCACCTGCTGCGTCTCCTTGGCGACGGTCGGAGAGACAGTCTTCTCGGACGCCTTCATGAAGTTGGGGGGGAACTTGAGCTCCGCCGTCTTCTTGTCCTCGACCACACGAGCATCGGGGTTCATCAGAACCGCGCTGAGCTGGTCGTCAGTGTAGGGCGGGTTGGCCTTGGAGACAAACAAGGCGTTGTTGATCATGCCGTTGTGGAAGAAGCGGTAAGCCTTCTTCTGTCGGGACTCGACCTTGGCGCGGTACGCGTCGTACGTCTTCTCGTCCAGGGTGGCGAACAGGTACTTGGGGTGGACGGCGACCGCCTGGGCTCCCTTCTGTCCGAAACCGAACGAGGTGAGGGAGAAGGCCTTGACACCGTCGGTCTGGATGCTGCGGCTGGGGTAGACAATCAGGTCGTAGTTCTCCATGATGGGGTCAATGTTGTCGGCATTGCGGTTGCCGGGGACCAGGCCAGTGTTGAGGATCTGCAGGCCACCGTTCATCATCCAGGCACCAGCAGCACCCTTGGGGTGACCGGTGAGGTACTTCTGGAAGACACCGAGGATGGCGTTGCCCTTGCTGCGGCCAAGATGGCGCAGCTGCTGGCAGATGGCCGAGGACTCGTTCTTGTCGTTGGCGCCCGTGGACGTGCCGTGGAACGAGGCCACCTTGAGGTCGTCGATGGTGAGGCCCCATGTGGCAAGGGCGCCTCGGAGAGGAGCGATGCTGGGGTCGTTCTTCCAGAAGTTATTGCCCATGCTGCGGAGGAGCTCCTTTTCTTGTCGGATAGCCTCCTTCTGGATGTGCAGGATACGCTCCTGAGCGTACTCCTTCTCGTCAAAGACGCCGCCCTGGGCCTTCATGGCGTCAATCTCGTCATGAAGGAATTCCAGCTCGGACTCCTCCCACTGCTTGATCTGCTTCTTGCGACGCTCAATCTGCCTGCGGCGGTAGTTGATGTCAAGCAGGGGCGACGGGAACTTGCCGGGGTGCTCGCGCGCGGAGGTGAGAACGCCCTGGCCAGGAGCAGGGACGGATCGGCCAATCTTGTCGGAGGCGGTGGTGGTAAAGGCGAGGATACCGTGGATCGGGACTCCCATATCCAGGGCCAGCTGAGCAGTCATGATGACCTGGACACCGCATCCCTGAGACTCCATGAAGCCGTTTCGCGTGGTAGTGGTGGGACGTGACATCTCGGCGGGGGTACGGCCGTGGGCGAACTCGTCCAAGCTGTTGCTGGTGGCCTTCATGTTGGCAAACTCATAGGAACCCTCCTCACCAAAGTCGTCGAAACCTCCGACCAGGCAGATGCGGGCCTTGCCTTCAAGAATTGTCTCCACACCAATGTCAACAGACTCAATAGCAGTAGCACAAGCACCGACGGGAGTCTTGATAGGTCCAGACGAAGAGAGCAGCAGCATGTTGACCCAAGCAGACATGGTGTTGATGAAGGACTCCTGCAGGATGTCGTTCTGAAGAGGCTTGTCGAGGTATCGCGCCTTGTGCATGCCACGCAGAGCCTTGGCACCACCCATACCGGAGCCGACAATGTTACCAACCTCGGAGACGTGAACGTACTTGTAGAACTCGTACGGGTCGGTGATACCAGACGACAGCAGAGCCTCAGCAACCGACACGAGGAGGAACAGGGTGACGGGGTCCACCTGGCTGATGATGTCTTCAGGAATACCATATCGCTTGGGGTCCCAGCCGGTCGGGATCTGACCAGCGACCAGTCTGTCGAAGCGCAAAGCCTTGGGAATCCAAAGCGAGGCGCCCTTCTTGACCCGGATAATGTACTCTCCGCTCTCGGGGATCTCGAAGATCTCCACCTTGTCGCCATGCTCGCGGCGGAACTCCTCAGCCGTCTCCTTGGAGGCCTCGAACGGCTCAAGGTCCTCCTGGATGACGACCTCGTGCAGCAGCTGCTTCTTGTTGGGGTCGTATCCGTCAAAGAGCTCAGGCTCGATCAGGCGGATACCGGAGTGCTCCAGGATGTGCTTCTCGTACTTTTGCTTGACATCCTTGTCATCGACGGGCTCGCCAGTCTTGGCATCAACCCAGCCGGCATAGGGCTTGCCCTTGAGGGGACCGTTGTGGTTCTTGATGAGGCCCATGATCCAGGCCATCTCAATGCAGCCCTCGAGCGAAAACTCGCCATAGGCCTCCATCTCCCATCGGGTGCGGGAGTTGCCCCAAGGACCGACTTCGGCGAAACCAGTCACGACGACAACCTTGTCCAAGTCGACCATGCCCTTGAGCTGCTCGTTGAGAGGAGCCACCTCCGTCTTCCAGTCGGGAAGGTGGGGGAAGTCGCACTTGATGTTGGCACGGGGCTCGATGGTCTTCTTCTTGTAAAGAACCTCGGAGTCGGCTCCGTTGACAATGGTGTTCTCGATGGCGCTCTCCTTGGAGACGGCCCTGCGGATCTCGCTCGTCTCCATGATGTCCTTGCGGAGCTTGGTCATGGACTCGTTCAAGTTGGGGATGAACTGCAGGCCACCGTTCAGGTCGGCAAAGACCGGCTCGGACTGGCAGAGGTCAACGATGGTGGCGGACATCAGGCCCAGAAGGTTAAAGGCCATCTCTTGCTGAGAGAAGGTGCGAACGCCAAAGGCCTCCACGCCCTCGGCGACCACGTTGTTACCGGACATGAGACCAGTGCCACGAGTCCATCCAATGACAGCACCGCAGATGGTGAGGTAGTGGCCCCAGTCCTCGGAGTGCCATCGGTTGAAGAGGGTCTCGAGAGCCAGCTTGGACTCGGAGTAGAGACCGTCGTTACCAAAGGTACCGTGGTTGGGGGACAGGGGGAGGACGACCTGGGCGGGACGGGTCTCGAAACCGCGCTCAGCCTTTTGCGTCTTGACGCAGCCGAGCATGCGGATCAGGTTGGTGAGCATGATGCGGTGAGCCAGCTCCGACTTGGAGTCGATGTTGTCAATTTGTCGGCCATTCTCCGGAATGGCGGCGAAGGGGACGATGTAGTCGAGATCCCAGCCAAGGCCGTTCTTGGTGTCGTAGATGTAGTTGACGAGGGCCTCCACGTCCTGCTTGCTTCCCTGGTTGAAGGGCACGACGACGATCTGAGATCCGCGGGATCCAAAGCGGCTGTACATGGACTGGTAGTACTCGGTGACCTGTCGAGAGAATCGACTGGTGGTGACCACAACCTTGGCACCTCCGCTGATGAGACCCTGCAGAACCTCAGCACCAATGGAGCCGGCACCGGCACCCGTCATCAGGACATACTTGTCCTGGAACGTGACGCCGTCCTTGGCAGCCTCCTCAAGGCAGTTGAGGTAGACGGCCGTGAGCTTCTTGCTGTAGTCCCAGCCGTGCAGGGACTTCCTCTTGAGGTGGAGGAAGGGGATTGTCTCAACCCTGCCCTTGTTCGGGCTTGAGCCCTTGAAACCGGGCTTTCGGCCCTTGCCATTCTCCTTGGGGATGATCTGGCTCTCGTTCATGGCCAGGGAGCGCAGAACATCACCGTACAGGCTCTTGATCTCGAGCTGAGAAGTCTTAGACATCTTGTGCTGCTGCTTGATCAACTTGTAGATACGCTGCAGGTCGTTCTGCACCTTGGTGCGGTTGCCATACTCGGAGATCTTGCCGCCCTCGGCCATCTGCTGAACGTAGTGCTCGAGCTTCCGGCAGCTGGCGCGGGGGACTTCCTCGTAGTTGAGGTTGCCGCGGGCGTCCACGGTGGTGCGAGGACCAGTGGGGACAGCAACGTCCTTGTAAGCAGGTGGCAGGTTGAGAACCTCCTTGCAGTTCTCAATGAGCTGCTGTCCAAGCTCCTTGGCGAGCTGGTAGGTCTCGCCGCGCTCAGTAGGGCAGTTGTCGATGTGGTACTGCATGAACTCGAGGAGCTTGGGGTTGGACTTGTTCATGATGCGAATGCACTGGCTGACAATCTCACGATCGACCGTCTTGAGTCTGCCAAAGATGATGTCGTAGTACATGGAGAGCGCATCTTGGCGAGCCCAGTTCCAGGACGAGTCGTAAGATCTAGCTTTCAATGCGCTGAAGACAGGCTCAATGCCCGAAGCGTAGAAGTCGCCGTGCTCTGCAGTCCACAGATCCAGCTGGGCCTGAAGGACCTTTTCCGACTTTTGGGATTCGATGTGCGCCTTGTCGCCGGCTCTGAGGTCCATCTTGAGGTATCTGGCGAAGAGCTCCAGCTGCTGCTTGAACAGAGCGCGCTGGTCCTTGGTGAGAGCGTCAATGGCAGCGGGGTCCATCATCATGCCTCCCGCGCCTCCCTCAGAGCCACCAGATGCGGCCGCAGACGTCAAGCTGATACCGGCAGTCGCGGCGTATTTCTGGGTAACTCCGTCGAGGTAAGCCTTGGCATCACCATCGTTTCCAAGACGAGCAGGAGGCTCCATGGTCAAGGCCAGCAGCAACACTCCGTCTTGCCTGCCGGGACCGAGGCCCCATCTTGTTTCCAAATATTTCCTTGCCACGGTTATGTTGAAGCCACCAGGCATCTTGGAGGAGATGAGCCTGGCGATGAGGGACTGTGTGTGCTTGCCCAGGTTGCCATCGAAGGTAGCCTGCATGGAAGCACTGAGCTCGTCGAGGGGTGTGTCTTCGGGCTTCTCAGGCGTTGTGCCGAATTCCTTTCCGAGGTCACCGAGAATCTCATTCTGAAGGGTGGATTTGCCTATAACAGTCACAGTTAGCTGGTGAACCACTTGATTTATCTATGTTCCCCCCGCCTCTGATATTCCCTCCTTTTCTCATGTTCGGCCTGTTGTAGGTGGTGGAGGGGTAATTTGTAGAGAGGCGGGGCGAGGGGTTGTTCAACTTACCTCCAACCAGATCCTTGATGGCCTTGCTGAGAGGCACCTCAGCCAGGGACTTCTTGAGCTTTTGCGCAACCAGGGTGTGCACAATGTCGACGGCCTGCACAGGCTGGTCGGGGACCTGGGCTGCAGGTCCAGCGCTGGGAGCCGGAGCAGCAGCAACTGGAGCAGCAGCCGCAGGAGCGCCGGCAGCGGCCGGAGCAGCGGGGGCAGCAGATGAGCTCGCCGCGGGTTCGGGTTCTTCTTCCACGGGGTCGACATCGTAGTAAATCTCCTTGGCATCCTTGTTGTAGCAGAGAATCTGTCGCTGAACCGACTTTGCGGCATCGTAGGCCTCGTACTTGGAGGCCAGTGTGCGCTTGGCCATGACTCCAAGGGTGTCTGCGGGGCCGATTTCGACGATGCGCTCGGCGTTTCTCTCAGCCAGGAAGACATCCTGGGTCTCAATCCATCTCACGGGCGAGGCGAATTGGTATGCCAGAAGCTCGACGAGGAGCGTGTGGGCGAGCTCCTGCTCGACTTCGGGACGCATGATGGCGGTGGTGGTGGTGGCGGCGGTGCGTCGTGAGGGCGTAAGAGGGTGTTTGTTGTTGTTGTTGGACTGAGGAGGGTATCAATTAGGAGGATATAGAAGGGCCCGTCTTGCGAATTCGACTGTAAGGCCGCCGGCGATGACAATCGTGCTTCTCACGCGGCTGCTCAGGGGATGAATCTGGTATGTCCCGCTGCTCGAGCTGCTTCGGCCAGACGCTGATGACGATTCTGCACCGACTCTCCGTGACCTTGAGGGGCAGCAGAGGAGAGAAGGATGTGGGATGGCGGAGGGCAGAAAGGACGAGAGACGCCAGCAGAAGCGGGATTGGTTTGGCAATATGATGAGAAACGGGTCCCGCCGGCGCAGAGCGAGAAAAGCCTGGTTACAAGTACGGCGGCGAGGCACAAGCTGGTCATTTCCAAATGCCGCCTCGATGGTTGGACGGATGGAAGGAAGCGAGCGTCTTGATTGTTGAATCGCGCCCCACCGCCAGAGGCCGACGATGCAAAAAGCATTGGGGGGGGATGCCTGGAAGTACCGGGGTACAAGGGCGGTACGGCAGCGACACAGCAGCGAGACAGCAGGCACAGGGCAGTGACACAGCAGGTGCCAGGGTCGCTCCCTCCACGCGGCTGCTGCAGGTGCATTGGGCTGCTCAACCATATTTGCGCGCTACGCCGCATCGGGCAAGAACCGGTGGACCCGGCTCTGGGTGCCGTGGCGCTGGTCCCCCGAAATGAAGCCACTCTTGCAGCCAAAAAGAAATAATTTTCTTCTGAGCCCTTAGCGGGGTCCGTCTGGGCGCGGGCAGATGGAGTAGGTACTCGTAGCTCGTCTGTACTTCATACCCGCGTGTACATACATTGCCCTACCACCTCTTTAGGTGCCGAATGATTGACCTCGCAGGGCGCGTGGCAGCCCTCAATTGGCGAGGGGCAGCGCATGTCGCGCAGGAATTGCTCAGAAACACTGCGAAAAATGGACAGAAATGGTGCTTGATTCCGGTCGCTGCAACCGTGTCTCAACTGCCCTGATAAGAGCTTGCTTCTGCTGGACCCTGCCGGTGTACCTACTATCGATACGGACGACCCCTTGAACGGCCCTGTGTGCTAAGATAAGCGCAATCGCAATCTTTCTGCCCAAACAAAAGAAAAAAAAGTTTTGTTGCACCCCGCCACCTGCGGTTGGTGGTGTCGCAGATGGGAAGGGGGGGCAAACGCTGCCAGAGGTATGTACCGGTACCTGGACAGTCCCGAACAGCTGCTGGTTATACAATTGAACCTCTGGAGACGACAATCCACCGCTTCCGGAGCAACGATAAGCGGTTTCCCGACATTGACAACAGTAAAAGAGCAGGCTTATGGAATCTTTGGCCTTCTGACGCGTGTCTCCTCAAGGTATCGAGTCTTTGTAGCCTCTTTGAGTTGTGGTGCAGGGCGTCGAACATGACCTGTTATGTCTTAGCTTTGGCGTGCGAGGTTCTGGATTCTCCAGGGTCTCCAAATTTAGCTTTCTGCCTCTGACGAGATGTTCCAGCCAAAGAGGCTTTACGACGCAGATTATTACCTGGTGGCTTCGGAAGCGATGCAGAGTTGCCTGGCCGTTGCATCCTGCCGTATGCTTGTTTCGTCCCGTTCGATGAGACGATACAATCGCCGCTAACGGGCCGACGGGCCTCGATCAACATCCCCTTCGGAGTCCGTGAGCACCCTTGGTTGTTGTTAGCCAAAGTATATGAGGCGTTGTGGTGTTGTGCTCAGTAATCTGTTTGGTCAGAATAGAGTCGAGCTCGAGATTACTGAACGCATCTTGATTGCTCAGAGCAGGACAGCGAGAAGTCGAGTTGTTGAAGCCCCAAAGAATTGGTGAATCGATCTCGCATGTTTCTCTTTGTTTACTCATCCTCCCACTGGACACCGTGATATCGGCACTTGAGCAGTGGGAATTGCCTGTATAGGAAATGCCCCTCGCAGGGTCTATCACCACGTCCAAGACGAAGAGAAAGAGACGAATGCTCGACTTGAATAGGCACAGAGGCGTAAAAGAGGCCATACTCAGCTCGGGGAAATCAAGCACCCGACTCAATTGACTTTTTGCCATCCACCACCCTCCTCCACCTTGGAAGAGGCGTATTCCTACTCTCCGATTTATTCCTGCAAGCTGTTGAGGTACTTCTCCTACACTGCAGTCCAGGCTGCTCTCTGTCGACCCAAGTTCACCATTTCCTCTTCTTTTCACGCAATTCTCTGCAACGTAGTACTACTATCACTGTCTCTGCAGTTTGAGTCGAGACATTTCGCTCCATCAGGATAATGATACAAGACATGCGTGCCGTTTCTGCGTCGTCACTCGTCTCAATAATACCTATCTACCTACTGGCCCAAAAAAAGCCGTGATATCCTCCTCTCCCCCAAAAATGGACCCGTCGTCAATGTACCGGTACTTGCACGCTCTGATGGTGGGGTCCAGCCCAGCTGGGGCAAGGGGAAATTCTCACTGATCCCCAACAGAACTAAAAAAGTTGGCGATTCTGTTGCAAGCTCCCTCCATGAGGTCACTGCGAATGGCGAGCCTCGCCTGGCCCAAGTACTTGGCGAGTACCTGCACTCGCGAGCATACATTGCCTGACTGCTAAAGTAGCCGCTGTGTGAATTTTCATTAGCGCCGCCGCGATCCAGGGACGTTGAGCGGCATCCAGACTGTAGTCTCGGCTTCAACCCTCCCCCCTCCCCTCGTCCGGGCCTCTTGTCTTTTCCTCATACTAAGTGGCCTGACACTGCTGTTCTTCCTCTTCCCTCTTCCCTTCCTACTTTTCTCTTCGTTGTGCTTGCTGGGTGTGGTTGTGCGTTCATTGCTCCCGCATCGTCAAGCCTGCTTGCCCGATCCAATTGCCAACCCTCTGTAAGACTTTGATTCTTCAGGCAACCGAGTTTTCCTTTTCCCTTGGGTTGGGCTTTGCACCCCGTCAACGCTGCGTCGAATTGGTCTCCGTGCCGGCACAACAGACAAGCTGCGAGAGTGACATTCCGTCTCTTGTCTCTAATAGCCGATTTAATTGCCATTAGGTAGGTTACTCAGTGCAAGAGAAGACGAAGAAAACAAAAAACTGATCGTGTCTCTACCCCGCAGACGCAAACAACCCTCATATACCCTCTTCACACCGCCCACCATGTACGGCACTGGCACTGGCCCCCAGACGGGCATCTCTACCCCTCGATCCAGCGCCTCTCTGCGACCTCTGAACCTCTCCCACGGCTCTCTCGAAACCTCCTTTCTCGTTCCGACCAACCTCCACTTCCACGCCTCCGAGCTGAAAGATCGGTTTGCTGCCAGTCTCCCCCCGGCAACCGACGAGCTTGCCCAAGATGACGAGCCTTCATCTGTCCCCGAGCTGGTTGCCAGATACCTGGGCTTCGTTGCCTCCGAGGTAGAGGAGGGCGAGGATGATGCGCAGGGTTCGTACGAAGAGGTCCTCAAGCTCCTGCTTAACGAGTTCGAGCGGGCCTACCTCCAGGGCAACGAGGTTCACGCCCTGGCTGCTACGCTGCCCGGCATTGAGTCAAAAAAGCTCGAGGTCATCCGATGCTACTACATTGCTCGGGCCGTCTCAAACCGGACCATCAAGCCTCACGAGTCCGCTCTGCTGAGGGCTGCCGACGACCACTCCGCCAAGATCTACACCATCTTTGGCGGCCAGGGCAACATTGAGGAGTACTTTGATGAGCTTCGCCAGATTCACAAGACGTATTCCACCTTTGTTGGAGAGCTCATCACAAATGCGGCCGAGCAGCTGCAGACTCTGTCCAACCACCCCAGCGCGGAAAAGATGTTCCCCAAGGGGCTGGATATCCTGACATGGCTTCACCGGCCCGAGGCCACTCCGGATGTGGACTATCTCATTACTGCACCCGTCAGCTTCCCCTTGATTGGGCTTGTCCAGATGGCGCACTACGAAGTTACGTGCAAGGTCTTGGGCATCCACCCTGGTCTCCTGAGAGAGCGCATCAGCGGAGCCACTGGTCACTCTCAGGGTATCGTCATGGCGGCTGCGACGGCGGCGGCTGACTCTTGGGAGTCGTGGCGCGAAATCACCAGCTCTATCCTGACCGTCCTCTTCTGGATCGGCACGCGAAGCCAGCAGGCGTTCCCTACCACATCCATGACCCCCACCATGCTTCGCGAGTCTCAGGAGCACGGCGAGGGCCTCCCTACCCCTATGCTGAGCATCCGCGACCTGTCCCAGGAGGAGGTTCAGAAGCACATTGACGCCACCAACCAATATCTCCCTCCTCACCGTCATATCGGCATCTCCCTCATCAACAGCCCCCGCAACCTGGTCGTTACGGGTCCTCCCACATCGCTGTACGGTCTGAACGCTCAACTCCGCAAGGTCAAGGCTCCTACTGGTCTCGACCAGACCCGAGTCCCGCACACCGAGCGAAAGGTTCGGTTCGTCAACAGATTCCTTCCCATCACCGCCCCATTCCACAGCAAGTATCTGGAGGAGGCGACCGCCATCATCGATGAGGATCTCAAGGACATCAGCATCGACTCCAGCGCCTTGGGAATTCCCGTCTATGACACCAACACCGGAAAGGATCTCCGTGAAGAGAACAGCGGCAACATTGTGCCCGCCCTGGTTCGCTTGATCACCCGGGACCCTGTCAACTGGGAGAAGGCTACCGTCTTCCCCCAGGCTACTCACATTCTTGACTTTGGTCCCGGCGGCATCTCCGGTCTGGGAGCGCTGACCAGCCGAAACAAGGAGGGAACTGGTATCCGCGTCATCCTGGCCGGAACCATCGAGGGCACCATGCCTGAGCTGGGATACAAGCCTGAGATCTTCGACAGAGACGAGGAGAAGGCCGTCAAGTATGCCATTGACTGGGTCAAGGAGTATGGTCCGCGCCTCATCAAGACATCCAGCGGCAGGAAGTACGTTGATACCAAGATGAGCCGTTTGCTCGGCCTGCCTCCTATCATGGTTGCTGGCATGACCCCAGCGACCGTCCCCTGGGACTTTGTCGCTGCCACGATGAACGCTGGATACCATATCGAGCTTGCCGGTGGTGGTTACTTCAACGCCAAGATGATGACCGCCGCACTGGAGAAGATAGAGAAGGCCATTCCTGCGGGTCGCGGTATCACCGTCAACCTCATCTACGTCAACCCTCGCGCAATGGGCTGGCAGATTCCCCTCATTGGCCGACTTCGCGCTGAAGGCGTGCCCATCGAGGGCTTGACCATCGGTGCCGGTGTGCCCTCGATCGAGGTTGCTCAGGAGTACATTGAGACTCTGGGCCTGAAGCACATTGCCTTCAAGCCTGGCTCAGTTGAGGCCATCCAGGCCGTCATCAACATTGCCAAGGCGAACCCCACTTTCCCCGTCATTCTGCAGTGGACCGGTGGCCGTGGTGGTGGTCACCACTCCTTCGAGGACTTCCACCAGCCTGTTCTCCAGATGTATGGCAGAATCCGCCGACAGGAGAACATCATCCTGGTCGCCGGCAGTGGCTTCGGTGGTGCCGACGACACCTACCCGTACATCACCGGTGAATGGTCCAGGAAGTACGGATACCCCCCCATGCCCTTCGACGGCTGCCTGTTTGGTAGCCGTATGATGGTGGCCAAGGAGGCCCACACCAGCAAGAACGCCAAGCAGGCCATCATCGACGCTCCTGGTCTCGATGATTCTGAGTGGGAGAAGACCTACAAGGGTCCTGCCGGTGGTGTCATCACTGTTCGCTCAGAGATGGGCGAGCCTATCCACAAGCTGGCCACTCGCGGTGTCAAGTTCTGGGCCGAGATGGACCAGAAGATCTTCAACCTCCCCAAGGAGAAGCGTGTTGCTGAGCTGAAGAAGAACCGTGACTACATCATCAAGAAGTTGAACGATGACTTCCAGAAGGTCTGGTTCGGCTGCAACAAGGAGGGCAAGGCCGTGGATCTCGAGGACATGACCTACGCCGAGGTCGTCCGCCGCCTCGTTGAGCTGCTCTATGTCAAGCACCAGTCCCGATGGATCGATGGATCCTACACCCGCCTCACTGGCGACTTCATTCACCGAGTCGAGGAGCGATTCACCACCGAGGCTGGCCGTCCCTCTCTTCTCCAGAGCTACGCCGACCTTGAGGAGCCCTACAGCGCTGTTGACCGAATCCTCGCCGCCTACCCCGAGGCCGAGCACCAGATCATCAACGCACAGGACGTCCAGTACTTCCTCATTCTCTGCCTGCGACCTGGCCAGAAGCCCGTCACCTTCATCCCTGCCCTCGACGAGAACTTTGAGTTCTACTTCAAGAAGGACTCCCTGTGGCAGTCAGAGGACCTCGATGCAGTCATTGGCCAGGACGTTGGCCGAACCTGCATTCTCCAGGGCCCTACCGCTGCCAAGTTCTCGACCGTCATTGATGAGCCCATCAAGGACATTCTTGACAACATCCACAATGCCCACATTGCGGCCTTGACCAAGGATATTTACAACAATGACGAGGCCGCTATCCCTGCCATTGAGTACTTTGGTGGCAAGCTTGTGGAGACGGACATCCCTCTCGACGTTGAGGGCCTGACCGTCAACTACGACACTCACAAGAACACTTACCGCCTCTCCTCCTCACCCGCCAGCGTCATGCCCTCGCTCGACTCCTGGCTGTCCCTGCTTGCGGGCCCCAACCGCAACTGGAGACATGCTCTGCTCATGTCGGATGTCGTTGTGCAGGGACAAAAGTTCCAGACCAACCCCATCCGACGCATCTTCGCCCCTGAGCGTGGCCTTTTCGTCGAGATCGAGTATCCCAACGACCCCTCCAAGACGACCATTGTCGTCAAGGAGCAGCCAAGACACAACCAGTACGTGGATGTCATCGAGGTCAAGCTGAACGGCGACCGGGAGATCCTTGTCAACATGATCAAGGAGACAACCGCCCTGGGCACTCCCGTTGCCCTGCCTCTGAAGTTCATCTACCACCCCGATGCTGGATACGCACCCATCCACGAAGTCATGGAGGGTCGCAACGACCGCATCAAGGAGTTCTACTGGAAGCTGTGGTTCGGTAACGACCCCTTGGACCTGGACGCCATGGTCACGAGCAAGTTTGACGGTGGCAGCACCACCATCACGGCTGAGGCCATCAACGACTTTGTTCACGCCGTTGGCAACACGGGCGAGGCCTTTGTTGACCGACCGGGCAAGGTCACGTATGCGCCCATGGACTTTGCCATTGTGCTTGGATGGAAGGCCATCACGAAGCCCATCTTCCCTCGCACCATTGATGGTGATCTCCTGAAGCTGGTGCATCTGTCCAACGGTTTCCGCATGATCCCCGGCGCCGAGCCGCTCAAGAAGGGTGATGAGGTGACGACCACTGCGCAGATCAACGCCGTCATCAACCAGGAGTCTGGCAAGATGGTCGAGGTCTGCGGCACCATCACCCGAGATGGCAAGCCGGTCATGGAGGTGACTTCCCAGTTCCTGTACCGTGGTGCCTACACGGATTACGAGAACACGTTCCAGCGCAAGGATGAGACGCCTGTCCGTGTGCACCTGGCGACGCCCAAGGACGTGGCCGTGCTGCGTTCCAAGCCGTGGTTCACCCTCGACGAGATCCCTAATGAGATCGACCTGCTGGGCCAGACCCTGACGTTCCGCCTGCAGAGCTTGGTGCGGTTCAAGAACAAGACCGTCTTCAGCAGCGTGGAGACGCGAGGCCAGGTCCTGCTGGAGCTGCCGACGAAGGAGGTGATCCAGGTCGCCAGCGTGGACTACGAGGCCGGCGAGTCTCACGGCAACCCCGTGATTGACTACCTTGAGCGCCACGGAACCTTGCTGGACCAGCCGATCAACTTTGAGAACGCCATCCCGCTGAGCGGCAAGACTCCTCTGCAGCTGCGTGCGCCCGCCTCCAACGAGACATATGCTCGCGTGTCTGGGGACTACAACCCCATTCACGTGTCTCGCGTCTTCTCCGAGTACGCCAACCTGCCTGGCACCATCACCCACGGCATGTACAGCAGCGCCGCCGTGCGCAGCCTGATTGAGACGTGGGCGGCCGAGAACGACGTGGGCCGCGTTCGCAGCTTCCACGCTTCCCTGGTCGGCATGGTTCTCCCCAACGACGCCATCCAGGTCAAGCTGCAGCACGTGGGCATGGTGACGGGTCGCAAGATCATCAAGCTCGAGGCCATCAACTCGGAGACTGAGGAGAAGGTTCTGCTGGGCGAGGCCGAGGTGGAGCAGCCCGTGACGGCCTATGTCTTTACCGGACAGGGCTCGCAGGAGCAGGGCATGGGTATGGATCTCTATGGCAGCAGCCCTGTGGCCAAGGAGGTCTGGGACCGTGCCGACACCTACCTGCTCGACAACTATGGTAAGTCGATGAAACCCTTTTTGGCTTTTACACTGTGCATTTGACTGACTTCATCTTTTTTTTTTTTTAGGCTTCTCCATCACCAACATTGTCAAGAACAACCCCAAGGAGCTCACCGTGCACTTTGGTGGCCCCAGGGGCAAGGCCATCCGCCAAAACTACATGGCCATGACCTTTGAGACTGTGGCAGCTGACGGCACCGTCAAGTCGGAGAGGATCTTCAAGGACATTGACGAGAAGACCACCTCTTACACCTACAGATCTCCCACTGGTCTCCTGTCGGCCACACAGTTCACTCAGCCCGCCCTGACGCTGATGGAAAAGGCCAGCTTCGAGGACATGAAGTCGAAGGGGCTTGTTCCCCGAGACAGCACGTTCGCCGGTCACTCGCTGGGTGAATACTCGGCGCTTGCGGCTCTGGCGGACGTCATGCCCATTGAGTCTCTGGTGTCGGTTGTCTTTTACCGTGGTCTGACGATGCAGGTGGCTGTCGAGCGTGATGCCTCTGGCCGCTCCAACTACTCCATGTGCGCCGTCAACCCCAGCCGCATCTCCAAGACGTTCAACGAGGAGGCTCTTCAGTTCGTCGTGAACATGATCGCGGAGGAGACTGGCTGGCTGTTGGAGATTGTCAACTACAACATTGCCAACATGCAGTACGTGTGCGCTGGTGACCTGCGGGCCCTGGACACGCTTGGCGGAGTGACCAACTTCCTCAAGCTGCAGAAGATTGACGTGGAGGAGATGCGCAGCAACATCGAGGAGGCCAAGGATGCGCTGCGGAAGATTATCCGCGGCTGCGCCGACGCGACGCTTACGAAGCCTCTGCCTCTGGAGCTGGAGCGAGGCTTTGCCACGATCCCTCTGCGAGGCATCGACGTGCCCTTCCACTCGACCTTTTTGCGATCGGGCGTCAAGCCGTTCCGATCCTTCTTGCTCAAGAAGATCCACAAGACGACGATTGACCCGTCCAAGCTTGTGGGCAAGTACATCCCCAACGTGACGGCCAAGCCGTTTGCGTTGACCAAGGAGTACTTTGAGGATGTGTACAAGTTGACCAACTCGCCCAAGATTGGCGCGGTTCTGGCCAACTGGGACAAGTATGTGCAGGACGAGGAGTCCACGGGCAGTGAGAGCGGTGCCAGCGCCGATCACGAGGGCGCCGGACTGGCTGCTTAGGGGGCTGGAAGAAACGAGGTGTGACGAAAAAAAAAAAAGGAAAAGAAAAGAAACAAAATAGAGGTGGGCGTATGGGAAAAGGATTACCAGTGGTTAGGGTATAATATACACATGATGGGACGGAGGCCAAAAGAAGCCTGAGGATTGTTTGATACTAGTTATGAATTTCCATGATGATAGAAATGTAATGCAATGAGTTACTTTCATATATATATATATATATATATATATATATATAACGTTAATCTTGTCATGTGTGTGATGGGTATATCCTCAGTTCTTGTGTTGGCTGTTCTGGATGGTGGTTTTTCTATGTTGAAGTGTGGCCACACAATGTGTTACATAGGTCTGTTGAACCACGAGCACTGCTTGTGCCACTGATTCCCAGCCACTGAATAGGCTTCCCAGCTACATTGACCATGTGGCTAATCAGGTCCAGTAAACAAACTGTCATTATCTAGATCAATGGATAAATAGATGAGATCAGTATGTAGTACAGGGACTCACCCAAGCTGAAGCCTCTCGCCATTTCGTCCCTTTGCATCACCAACCATCCTGTCCTTTACCAAGCGAGGCGCTGACTAATTCCGCCAACGAACGGTAAGCCGGTGCGAACCGGGACCCGCTTTGTCGGTCAACGGCGACCGCCGCCCGTTTCAGGGACCCGATCCATCACTTTTCCCGCCTTTTGCTTGTCCCCTTCTTTCATGTTTGCTCCTGTCTCTGCGATATCTATTCGGGGCTAGTAGTAGTGGGTTATCTATTACTTACCTTATCTATGGATTGAATATGGGGAAGGGGGGAAAGCCGCCGCACGGACGGGGGAAAAAGCTCAAGGGATCTATATCTATCTATCACTACTATTTAAAGAGAGCGCTGACGGCATCGTTCCTTTAGCGTTTGGACTTTCTGGGTTCTTTGACTCTTGGTGTTTGTCAAGGTGAGTCGCATTTCTGTTCTTCTTGTCTTGCCTCGTGCCCATGGTTTGTGTTAGCTGGATACTGAGACCCATGGGCGTACAAAGGTAGTTCAAGATCTTGAGTCTGATGAACTGCTGGGCATGTGATACTGCTGCTGTTGTTGTGGGGGGGCTTGTGCTGACGATTCTCGGTTAGGTACTCGTGGTAGGGACTACAAAGTGCCCTATAATAAAGAGGCTGATCATCCCTTGGAGAGATTGAGAGCAAGAGAAGGGAGGGATTCCGACTGACAAAGAGTTAAGAGGCAAGGGAAACCGAAAGAGAAGGATAGCTTGCTTATTTAACAGGGAGAAGACACGGCCAAAACAGAAGACCAGAAAAACAAACAATGTCACCGCAGAGAAAGCTGCTGCTGCTGGGCACATTCGTGCACTGCAAGACGCAGCAGGACCTCGACATCTTCCACGGCGCGGGCATCGCCGTCGACGCCGAGGGCAAGATTGCCGCCATTGAACGGGATGCGCCGGATCTGGACGAGGCCAAGGCGCGGCTGCTGACGAGGCTGGGCTGGGACGAGGCGGAGGTGGACGTGACGCAGGCTGCGGACGGGCAATTCTTCTTTCCCGGCTTCATCGGTGAGTCTATCTCTCTATCTCTTTCTCTCTCTTTCTCTCTTGCCCCCTGAAATCAAGCATGTTCACAAACGACTGTCATGGAGGCGGAGGAAGAAGAAGAAGAAGAAGAAGAAGAAGAAGAAGAAGAAGAAGAAAAAGAAGAGGATCAATGGCTAAAGGCAAACACCCCAACAAACCAGACACGCACATCCACGCGGCGCAGTACGCCAACGCCGGCATCTTTGGCAAGTCGAGCCTCCTGGACTGGCTCGAGACGTACACGTTCCCGCTGGAAGCCAGCCTGTCGGACCTTTCCAAGGCGCGCCGCGTCTACGCGCGCTGCATCCGCCGGACGCTGTCCCACGGCACCACGACGGCGACGTACTTTGCCACGCTCGACGTCGCGGCGACGAACCTGCTGGCGGACCTGTGCCTGTCCATGGGCCAGCGCGCCTTCGTCGGCCGCGTGTGCATGGACCGCGCGGACGAGCTGAATCCCGCCTACTACCGCGACGCGTCGACAGAGGCCAGCCTCGAGGCGACGCGGCAGACGATTGAGCACGTCCGGCGCATCGACCCCGGCTTCGACATCGTGTCGCCCATCTTGACGCCGCGCTTCGCCCCCTCGTGCACGCGCGAGGTCATGCGCGGCCTGGCCCAGATCCATCGCGAGACGGGGCTGCCCATCCAGACGCACCTCTCCGAGAACACGGGCGAGATCCAGCTCGTCGCGCAGCTCTTCCCCGAGACGACGTCGTACACGGACGTGTATCGTCGGCTGGGCCTGCTCACGCCGCGGACCGTCCTCGCGCACGCGGTGCACCTCTCGGAGGAAGAAGCAGACGTCATTGCCGGCCACGGATCCAAAGTCTCGCACTGCCCGTGCAGCAACACGTCCTTGACGAGCGGTGCGGCGAGGGTCCGCTGGCTGTGGGACAAGGGCATCGATGTTGGCTTGGGGACGGACGTCAGCGGCGGATACAGCCATTCTATTCTCGAAGCGGCGCGACAAGCTGCCATGGTGAGCCGGCACGTGGCCATGAACATTCACACTGCTCACGAGAACGACGACAACGACGACGACGTGGCTGCAAAGGAGAAGGAGAGAGTCAAGTTGACGGTCGAAGAGGTCTTGTATCTCGCTACGAAGGGCGGCGCGAAATGCGTTGGTCTGGAAGATAAAGTCGGCGGGTTTGAGGTGGGCATGGAGTGGGATGCGCAGCTCGTTGCGTTGAGCCATGTGCATGACGACGGGGAGCTGCATCACGATGCTGAGCATGAGCATGAGGAGGAGGATCATGGGTTTGTGGACGTCTTTGGGTGGGAGAGCTGGGAGGATAGAGTGGCCAAGTGGCTGTACAATGGAGATGACCGCAACACGAAGAGGGTCTGGGTCAAGGGCAGGCTGGTGCATAGACGGCGGTGATTGGGGGGGAAAAGATTTTCCTCTTTCTCTTACACACACCCACACAAACACGAACAATACAGAAAGGCAAGAGAAAGGATAGGGCAAAATAACACGATGGAGAAACATATAAAGGGGGGGCAACACACAATGCATAGAACTGGGCAAAGAGCAGGACAAGAGATCACTTTAGAATTCTTGGAGGTTTAGAGGGGAGACATTTCCATTCCGTATCTGCGTACCTAGAGCGAACTTTGACGAGAAGAAGAAAAGAAGAAAAAATAGATACTCTGACACGTTATCATCAAATTCGCGAAAAACACACAGATCCTTTCAAATACCATTCCGTTTGTTCACTTGTCCCTTTGAGAAAAGAAGTTCCCCTTGTTCTTTGGTGTGTGTGAGAGATCTTTTTGCAACCCCCCCCTTTTTTGCTTATAGATCCCCAAAAACATCACCGCACTCTCCGCACCCGCAGATAAACACACGCTCTCCGTCGGCATCAATCTCGTGCCGGCACCTCGTCGCCTCCTCGACCAGAGCCGCGTCCTATTGCTGCTCAAAAGCTTCTCCGGAGCCGTGCAGATCCTGCTGCAACTTGTGCATGGCCATTTCACCCCCCAGAGACAACCACTGAAGCTTCTGCGCCGCAATCTCCTGAGGCTCCTGCTGTGCCTGCTGCTGCAGCATCATGTGCGCTCCCATGGCCATGTAATACTGCTGCATCGCTTGCTCCCGCTGCGCCTCGCACTCCTTGTACCCCATCAGACGATGCTCGGTCAGCTGCCTGTCGGCCTGTTGGAGATGCTCGTCCAGCCGTTGCCGCCGCCGGGCCACTTCTTGCTGCCGGGCGAATTGTCGCCGCTAGGGCAATTGCTGCCGAGCCATCTCGCGTTCCTCGGCAGTCGGCTGATGGCGATGATGATGATGATGCTCCTCGGCCTGATGCTGCGCAGGCTGCTCCGTCGCGGGCTCTAGGAGACCCTGCGTCTGGTGCTGGTGCTGCTGGTTCTGTTGCTGCTGCTGCATCTGAGCCGTCTGCTCGCGAGCCTCAGCGCGGCGCTTGTTGCGATCCGCCCGCTTCTTGGCCTCCTCGGCCTTCCTCTCGTCCGCGGCCTGCTTCTCCTTGTTCTCAACTCGGGAGGCAATCTCCTTGACGAGGCGCGCCTTGACATTAGCCGGCACTTGATCCCACTCCTCGGTGCTTCCTCCCAGCGCAACCACCTTCATCCGGAACCAGAAGCACTCGGCCGACTTGGCATTGAGCAGCTCGCGCGTGTTCCAGAGCGACTCGAGGCGGGCCTGGCGCGACTTCTTGGCTGCTTGGTTGTTGCGCTGGCGGTCGACCAGCTGGTGACGTGCCGCAATCCGGTTGTTCTGGGCCTCCATGTCGCGACGCTCTTCAGCGGTGGCGTCCTCCGGGATCCGGACAAAGTCCTCGATGAAGGGCTTGGGTGGGAGATCCTCCACCTTGGACGGGGGCAGAATAGGAGGATGGCTCTTGTGGAAGTCAATCTCGATCCTGAGGGCTTCGTTGCGGCGAGACAGCTCGGCCGCGACGAGGCCAGCGGGAATCTCCAGGCGCAGGTCGCCGAGGGAGCAGCTGTCCGTGCGGAGGGCATGGCAAGAGGCCGATCGGCGTCTGTTCGCCTGAGCTCGGAAGGGCGAGGCCGTTGCCTGCAGTGCTGCCGTCTCTGCCACGCCCGGCACAAGTGCTTCGGTCATTTGATGATCTTGAGCTGGTGAGTTTTGTTAGCAAAATGGCACGCCGTGAGGGGACAAAGAATCTGGGAGCCAACACCCTAATGGTGCTAGAATAGTCATACCCATCTGGAAGGAAGACGAGAAGCCTTCGCCAACGTCATATCGATGAGTGGCGGCAAGAGAATTGTGAGTCTCCTGAACGAGAGCCGTAGCTCGGAGTCTCTTTGCCCGCACATCTCCGGTCGAACGCGGCGACAGCGGGAGCGAGCGTTTACCCAGAGGCATTTTGTTTCAAAGTTGCTTCTCGGTCTTGCTTTGATGTTATTGTTGTTGCGTATGGCGTGCGTGCTTGAGTGCCTTTTTGTTTGGAAACGGGATGCAAACAAGCAAGCTGGTGTCTCGAAAGTTTGCAAATACGTGCAGTGACAACAACAGCTTGAGGCGTAGGAGTGAACAATCCGAGGATTTGAAACTTGAAGTATCAGAAGGATAGTAAAGAGTCTTCCTAGAAGGCATCGTCAGTGAACCCATCCTGAACAGCGAGAGCATATATATCAGCAAAGATCACAGGAAGGCTCAAGACCTTTCAGAGGAATCGAAGTTGGAAATACGTAATCAGTAACGGCGACAGAAAGGCAAAGACAACAATGAAGTAATATATCGACGATCAAAGTCAATAGACGTCAGGAGAAGAAATAGAAAAAAACAAAAACAAAGGTCGTCAGTCCTGCTCGTGCTGCTGCTGTTCCTCGCGTCGTCCGTGTCCACCCTGCCAAAGGTGAAGAGAGGAAGCAAAAGCTCTATGAAAACCCTGTAAAACGAGCATGGTTCTTTTGAGGTGGTATCAAGAAGATCCCTTTTGGTCTTCTTCTACTTCAAAGCTTTGGCAGTTTGTAACGGAGTACGGGGGAAAAGTCTCAGATGCAGGCAGGGGATGATTCTTTTGATGGTGGTGGTGGTGAAGAGGTGAGTGTTGTGTTGCGTGCGGGTGAAGAGGAGAAGAAGAAGAAGAAGAAGAAGAAGGAAAACAAACGGCTTGGGGGGGGGGGAGGGAAAATAAAAACACAAGCGAGGGGTCTTTCTAGGTACTCCCGTAAGTGGGGGGGAAAGCAAAAGGTAAGGTAGAGTGAATTGAACCTCTTACTCACATTCACTTGACTTGCGCTTTCGGGGCGAGGCGGCCGAACCTCTTCTCCTGCTCGTCAGATTCTGTGATATTGGAGTGTTATTTTTCCTTACTATGCTTTGAATGAGTAGAACAAGTAGTCCAAAAAGCCTGCACGCATCATAGAATCGATAATTCCATCAAAAAAAGCCATATATCAACAATCTCACGAGTGCAAAACACAGCAACGAAACATCCTCCCATCTCCAAACCCTCCACCTCCCACGCGAGAACGCGCAAATCACAGATGCAGACCGTGAATCACTGCCAAACGCACAAACACAATTCCCATGGCCAAAGCATTTCAGACAATGAGAAGACAAAATCTCGCTCTGCTCTCTTTGGGGGCCACTCGTCACACTGGCTCTCGTACTTGTCGTTTCCCACCTTCGTTGCTCCGAGCATATAGTACCTTAGACATGATATTCTTGCCCCCATCATTGAATCATTCTGTGAATCAAGCCCTCTTCACTTTCAGCAAATTCTCTTTTTACCATCTCCTTCATTCTTGTCCTCGCTCTACCCATTACCGTGGTTATCTGATGGGTGACGACCCCCGAGCCTGCGCGCCTGAAGTGAGCAAACCAGCTGCCAAGGCAAGGTGACGAACAGCTGGCGAGCCACCGACACGCGTCACCCTCAATTTCTACAGCCATGCTCATCGTGCACTTGGAAGCTACCTTTGCAACAAGTCACTTTTGTTTCTCTTCATAAAAGTTTCATATTACCTAGGCATACAGCAATTTGACATCGTATCCTCAAAACCGAACATAGCCCAACCCATCATCGCGACAAAGAGATTCCCGCAGTCCCAACCAATATACAAAACATGTCGTCCGAGCCAGTGCCTGCCGTACACATAATCAAGGGGATATCTTTTTCGTCATAACCATAAAGTCGCTCATGATCCTACCAGCCTTGCCCGGCGCCTCAGCCCACCTAGACCATTCTTCAAGACATCCCAAAGTATTAAGATAGCCTCCAACACCGTGAACAAATCAAAACCAAAACACACCCTTGCCGACAAATGAAAAGGATATTCATATTTGCCACAATGTTGAAATATCGCAGCAGAGGCGGCCCCCTATGTTGGTCGCCTTCGTGTTGTGTAGTCCCCCAATCCAACGTCATACGATTGAGTGGCCTCCTTAGAGGGCCAGACCGGTTCCGTTACCAGTCCATCGGTATAGTGCAAGAAGCTCGCGTCGTCGCTGCTGCTGCTCAGCTAAATCTTCCGGCACACGGCCCCGAATCAGAGCCAGCGCGCTTCGCATAACCTTGCTAAAGTTGCGCTGATGTCCAAGTCAGTCTTTGATTCACAGCAAGATAGACGTTTGAACTGATAGGGCTTACCTGATACTCTGTGCTCAGCGTCACAACGCAAGCTTCGTGTGCCCTAACAATGGTCTCGCAAGCCTTGATGACGCTTGGAGACGCTTCGGCCTGCAGCTTGTCGGCGATGAGCAGGAGGAGGAAGGAACCCTGCAGGAGATAGACGCCGTAGAAGAATGGCATAAACTCCAGGCCAGGGTCAAACTCGAGAATCTGGCTAATAGCTTCGGCAGCCGATACCGCGTGGCTCGTCGCCGTCACGAATCCTTCCGACGAGATCCACAAGTCGTCGTCGTCTAGAAGGTTGATGGGATCCCACTTATCCGCAAGGAGGATGTGGAGGACATGCATCACATGGGTGCTGTAAGCCACCACGATGCTGGCCTGGATCTCGCTCTCCGTCATGCGGCTGGACGCGTTGGTCCGCACCGAGAGTGGAGATTGCATGTCTGTTACCGCTCCACTGTCGTGCATCTCATGCTGCTCCTTGTCCTTTGAGGACAATGGCAGATGCTTGGCCACGAACCTCTTGAGGCTCTCCTCATACATGTCCAGGTGTCGGGTGATTTCAGCAACCTGCTCGTCCCAATCCCGCGCGGAGCGGAATCCAACGCCGAACCGGGGGTGGCTTTTAGCATGGTGGACATCGACAATCTCGCCCAGGATTGTCATCAAGGACAAGAAGTAGCCAAAAATGCTACGACCGCGGCACTCGTAGTGTGCGCCGCGAGCCGCCCGGGGACTATCGCCAAACTCGTCCGTCATGGAGCTATCGATGTTGATGCTGGAGTTCCCTGCATCGTGGCTGCGAAATTTGCCTGCCTGCCACTTGATGTCGTCCATCGGGTGGTACAAGTCGCTGCACTCGCTGTCCAGAAGAAACAAGGGGCGGTTGTAGCAGAGCGCCAGGTGCCTGTCGACGATGTAAACGAGCCACCATGCTCGCCGTCGCTCTTCGCGCTCCTCTTCCGTCACGAAGCGAGTGTTGTTTCTGTTCAAGTCGTGCTCATCCACGTCTTCGCTAAGGCCCTCGCCGTCCTCCTGGTTGGCAGGTGGATTGCCAGGCGGCAGCTCACGGCCAAGCTTGAGCTCTCTGGCGAGAGACCATGCCGCACCCCACCACCGCAGGCTGGCGCCCTTGTACTCGCTGGCCGAGACGACCGTGGCGAGGTGCACATAGGTGATGACGTCGTCAAGGCTCCCTATGGCCCCAAAAGCACCCGTTTCGCCGGCCAGTGAATCCATGTTCAGCGAGCCCGGCATGGCCACCCCAAGAACTCCCAGGGCAGCAGCACCGACGACGGGGCTAGTCTTGGGAGACGGGCTGTTGGTGCCGGTGTGGATCAGGGGCTGAAGAAGCCCAACGGTCAGCTCGAGCAGCTTCTGGCAGACCTTGCTCCTCGCCGACGGCAGGCTCGTCAAGAAGGACGCTTCGCTAGTCTGTGCCGCCACCCACAGCATGCTCGCAAGCAGCGCGGGCTGGCACCTTCGTGGGTTCGTGGGGTGCAAGAAGGAGCGCTTCCGGAAGACGAAGCCCAGAACGTATGGGGACATTGGGTGCATCTGTGCTGATGAAGACGAGGAGAAGTACAGGTCAATCAGATCGCACGCCAAAGACACGGGGAGGATGTTTCCCAGGTGAGGCAGCAGAGGCTCAAGCACAGGATATCGCAAATCGCTTTGCTTGAAGATGGGCTGCGAGAGCTGAAGCTGGAACTGGTTCGAAGGCGAGGCCAGCGAGACTCCCCATGAGGGCGAGCTCCCATTTGCCAGCGGGTAATCATGGATGTGACCGGTGAGTCGAAAGTTACCGTCGCTGCTATACGTAGCCGGACTCGGGGCTTGCGCAGCATACGAGATACCGGAATACCCGGCCATGGTGGTCTGCGCGCCATACGACGGGGGCACCATCACATGGCCATTCATGCCGGGGCTCTCATAGCCGGGGTGGACTTCACCGTATGCGCCCAGGCCCATTGCTGATGACGCTTCCAGCTGAGTTCGGCCCAGGGCAGGATCAACTCCGACGTGGCCATGGTGATCTTCCAGGCCATCCATGCCGCCCATGGCAGCATGCTGGGAAAGGCCATTGTCGCTGAAGGAGCTGACAGAGCCCTCAATGTGGCCATGAGGCGGGTCGTGGGCAGGCTGGGCAAGCTCAGCGCTGCCACGCGAAGATTCGCTTTGCTGGCGTGAGAGTTTGCGATGTTGATCCTCTGGACCATCCTGGACCTGGCCGGAGTGTTGTGCTGCAGCCGCCGCGGCTTGCTGGGCAGCAATATCCTTGCGCGAAGCTTTGCCACGCTTCTTTCTCTCTCGGACATATTCGCATCCAAGGCCGAATTCTAAACAAGATCGATCAGTACATGTGCTTGAGCGCAGCATCACTGTGTAGAGGAAAAGGGACATACCTATACAATGGGCACATGGGTGTAAGCCATCGCACTTGGTACGAAGCTGGTTGCACTGGTCACAAGCGCGACTGATCCTCCGCCGAATGGGCCCAGCAGTACCCGTTGAATTCTTCCTGGCAGCAATAAGAGAGCCCTGGCGCTGCTTTGGCTGCACCGGACTGGCCCTTATCATGCGTGAACTCGAAAGCTCCGCATGCTGTGCGAGGTGCTGCATGGGATAGGGGTGGCTGTTGCCGAATGTGTTGACGTTGATCGAGTGGAGATGCGACTGTGAGCCATGGTAGTTCGGGTCAAATGACGCCGAGGAGATGTCGGGGTAGGCAGAATAGCGACGGAGAGGATTGGACAACATTGTGGCGCGCTGTGTGCGATGTGAAGCTGTTGAACGTATGGTTGACCAGTTGTTGCAAAAGGGGCGATCAGGCGGCGAGCGCTTGATCCGGCCGTTGAGTATAAGAGACGAACGTCTGAGCGGTATAGCAGACCGCCTTCGATAGCAAAACCGAGAAACTCAGAGCGACCTGATTCTTGTCGGTTGTATAAAAACCTGACTACTGCTGCTGTCGGTGCAAGCTTTGTGTTTTAGATGAAAGCTGTGTTGAGAGAAGGGGGGCTATAACCCTCACAGAGGAGCAAACCACAACAGTAAACTGTAAGGGCGCAGAAATCGCGCCAAGCTCTGAGCAGGAAAAAGGTTGAGGATAGGAGCTGCTTCTGCTGCAGACTACCTAGGTAGGTATCCAGTGGAGGAGAGACTGATTGACTGTTCGTTAAGTCGGCATCCTTCTAAGATGAACTGCTCGGCTGGAATCAAACCGTCGCCTCTTGACGAAGATGTGACTCGCCGGCGACAGCTCTCACGGGCTGGGGCCGAGGGTATAAAGAGGGGAAAAGAGAAAGCAGGCGAAACTCCCTATCGCGAGCGCGCCTTGACAAGCTACACGGCTGCCGGCCACGGCGACAAACCAGCAGACAATGACACAAACAGAGAGGATGCAGCAGAAGAGATGGCAGGTTGGGGCAGAGACTGGGGGTTGTTAGTTAAAAGACACGACCAGAGAGCTCCATCATGGAAGCAATATATGGGGACTCTCGCAATTTTTATTGCTGTTCGCTTCTCGCACCGCACCGAGGGCCTCCATCAGACAAGGCTTGCGAGGGCCCCGTAGGAGCACCTCACTAGGGTGGGCGAGCCAGACAGGGAAGCCGTCGATGGGTGTGGAGGCGGAGTTGATGGTGGCCAAGTGATGGTCATGGATGGATGGAGAACGGGATGGGGATGGAGCACCTTGTGGAGGTGGACTGGCGAGTGGAGATGCTGGGGTGCAGTGATGCGCTCACAATTGGTGCGTCTCGCTAGGGCCATTGCTCTTGTGTAGATGGCCAAAGGGAATTTCGGAGATACTCGTACTAGTAGCATCATGGCACTTGGTGCTTGCGAGCAGGTGTTTCCGTCTTGCGGTCCAGTTCGTGCTCCTCCTCCTCCTTCTCCTCCTACTCCTCCTTCTCCTCCTACTCCTCCTCCTCCTCATGGTTCCCCGGCTGCCACATCACGATCGAGAAAGGAGGGGGGGAGGCAAGTCGCAGAGGCGTGCCATCCCAACGTGGCCATGACGCCCATGAGAGTGGCAGCTGGGTCCCTTACCCCAGACAGGACGGAGAGGGAACGGACAAAAGAAGAACGGGAAGAAAAGGGGGCGAACCTGGCAGGCAGATAGACAGGGCGCGCTACCAGCCCGCACGCCATCATACATGTACAGTACATACATACATGCACAGGGACGAGTGCAGGCGGGTATGAAGCAACACCGGGACGAGAAACGGAGTGGTCCTCACGCAGCGTCCCTTGTCGGCGAATCGACATACCGTTTCAAAGTGATAGAGCCGCGTTCCTCCATCGTATCTTCCGATGCTCATCTCTCGGGCAACTTGCGGTGCCTGTCAGTTCCCTCAAGGTATTGCGTGCGGCAGCAGGTCGTCTGGCAACTCGACGCCACGCACATCGAACGGTTTATTGCCGTAGTAAGAACCGGCTCCAGCAGCGAGCCTTTATGCGGGGTCAGTCGTCGGCCATGTGCCTGTAGCTTGGACGTGAAGCTGGCGGTATTATTACTTCGTCCTTGGCCAAGGTACACGGTGCCTCGTAGTAGGACCTCGGCGGCATCCTGACGGTCATTCTGGCTTCTAGGCTGGCTCTCGTGCCAGACCACGGCGCCTCTCTGCGGGCAGTGGCTGCTGGTGCCGCCGTCAACCAACCGCGGCCTCGGACCTGAGCTCAGCAAGATGGGCAAGTCGGAGGCGTTTCCCAATGGGTCAAGCCACTCTAAGCGTTTGTGGAAAGGCGTACAGGGGGGCCATGCGATGAGATATGGGGTCGTCGAGTGGCGCCACGGTTTTGGGCTCTGCTGCCCCAACCAGACGAACGAAGAACTGGGCGTGCCGGGAAATGACAACCGGACAAGGGGAGGCCACAGAGGGAGTCGGCGCTCGGAAATGGTCTCCGTTGGGCTAAGCGAGGAAAATTTTTGGCATTCCCCTCATCTGACTGCATGTGGTTTGATTATCATAGGTACTTCGTACTGCGGCGACAATGGCGATCGAGACGAGACGAGCAAGAAGAGGAGAAGGATTGAACAAGAGCTGAGAAGACGCACTGCATCTGTGCGAGGCACGATAGACGAGGACCCCAGTTAGCTCAGAAGATGAGGAGACAACCGAGTCAGAGTCGCTGCAGCAGCTGAAGAAGCAAGGCGGAGAAGCACAAGATGGAAAAGCTGGAGGACGGTTAGGTAAGCACGGATACGAAGCAGGTCAGACTCAAGTCTGAGGTCTGTTGCGCGGAGAAGGAAGCCGCTTGCCGCCAGAGCAGGAACGCTCACGGGAGTAACCAAGCACCATGGGAGCAATGCACCTGCCTGTCGCCGTTGGGAGACGAGCACGGGCCAACCAGATCGCACGGCAGACAGCTCTGATCCCGTGTCAGAGGCATGTAATTGGACGGCCATTTAGCGTCAGGTCCACCGCCGCTTTCAGAGGATATCGAGAAAAAATCTCAATAGGAAATGGCAGCGGCTTGCACAGGTACCTAGACTACGTGCCTGCCGCTCTGCTCTGTTCCGCTGCTTTGGCAAGTACGAGTACGGGAGCAGGAAGCACAAGCAGAAAGCGGCAAGCAGCAAGCAGAGTGGAGGTTGGAAGGCGCCAAGAACTGCTGCTGGCTCGTGTCATCGCCCCACCTGCCCTTGTTCGGCACCGTTTCTTCATCGCTGCTGTTAGTCTGCGTCGGCGTGCACTTTTCTGTACCTTGGTAGGACTGGCGCCAGGGGGTCAAATGCTAGGGCAGCGGAGGATGGTGCAAGTACCCCGTGGTAGCATCGCCAGGATTATTTCCGGTGTTCGTGTCGATTTAGGTGTATTGGCGGATTGATGTTCTGTTTCTGTTTCTTCTTTCTCTTTAACAAGGTAGCATCAATCAATTTGTGGTGGCGCGCCAACTAGCAACCAGCCGCTCTTGGGGAGGCGAATCCTCAACACCCATTGGATGCTCAACCAGACCGTCTTGAGTCTTGTCTGATGGGCCACCGAGTTGCCAGAGAAAAGTGCCCGTAAACAGACATGAGGGTGGGAGTAACAACGAGAAAGGGACTAAGAAGCCGCTTCAGCGCTTCTATCGAGGTTGCCAAAGAATGCCATTGCCTGTACCGAACAAGTCACAAGACGGCTATGTGGTATACATGACGGATCGCAAATATACATGCATGAACAAAAGATCCCCGTCCCGTCCGCCGATCCCCACAACCTTGCTCTGTACAAGTTTGTTCCTGTGTTTCCCCGTCATGTCTCGACTTGTGCCGCCTTGGCTTCGTCTGCGTTGCCATGCGTCGTCCGATGAGCCGTCTCTGAGCGGAGCTTGATGCGGTCGCTACCGCCGGCCGCCGTTCTTTGGATCGTAGTAGACGGAGTCGGGGCAGCTGCTCTTGGCGCCATCAGGCTCCGCGGCGACAAATTGGCCGTCTTGCAGAGAGCCCTTGACGTTGAAGTGGTACCAGACTTCATTCAGGTTCTTGCCGTCGCATCCCAGAGTCACCTCGGCGCCGTGTTGCTGGGAGAGTGCTGACTGGATGTCGTCCAGGGCATAGGATTTGGAGCCGTCAGGGGTGATGCCAGCATCGGCCAGCCACTGGTAAGTAGGCAGCGTCTTGAACAAGGACACCGTCCTGGAGAAGAAATCCGCTGCCTCCTCTGTCGGTACATAGTCGTCGTAGCAGCCAGGATCCAGGGTCGAGATACATGTGCCATGCTTGCCCCATTCGTGCTCCCAGAAGCTCTCGTCATTGCCTTGATAGTCTTTCCAATAGGTCTGCATGTACTGGAGGGTGTCATCGGCACCCATGGCTGTCAGGATGTCGGTAATATTGGTGTATGCTCGGCTGGCATCGCACGTCTGGGGAAATGAACCATCGCAATTGTCCGGCCACAGCCCATGGATAGTCCAGGAGTCTAGTAATAGCACAACAAGCGTTAAGCATTCATCCCCACTTGCGAGGGCATATTGAGTTGCATCGCGCAAGGCGGCGAGAACTACTTACCGGAAGGGCCAGTGGAGGGGTCGGTATCCCAGAACTGCGTCTGAAGCAGCTGACCAGACGGAATAAAGCAGCAAGTGTCTTCAACGACGGTGGTGTTGTGGCATGAGAGTGGAGTGTTGCTGGGACAAGTCTTGGACGCTGCGGCAGCAACGGAAGCCAAAGCAGCCAAGACAGGAATGAAGTTGCAAAGATGCATTGTGACGGCTCTCTAGTTGAAGAAACGATGCCAGATTTTCCGCCCCGATGGGTTTTTTTCCGCCGCTTCCTCTCGCTTTCGGTTTCCTGAGCTTCTCTGTTTGATGAGCTGCTTGGGGAGCGGACTGTTTTCCGCTGCCAGCGTCCAGACACTGTTGGACACTCCTGTTTAATGTCAGAGAACAATAAAGGATCGGCAAGCAACAAGAGAAGCAAAGAAGGTACCTTGAAATTCCAGGAGCGCCGCTGAGGCTCCCATTGATCGGGGGCTTGTGACGAAAACGGTAGGTGAGATGGTTGTTGCCAATCATTGGCGGGTGATCGGGAGATCTACCGGGGTAGGCGCCGATTCACATGATAGAACATCATGAAGCGCTGGCGATTGGGCCATCTATTGACCAGAGAATGCGAGCAATTGGCGTCTTGGGGTCTCGGTGAAACCGACTCTGGCTGCGACACGCTACGTATTGGCTTGGTTCATGAATCAGTGAGCATAAACCTGTCGCCTAGCGGCCCGGAAGAAGCTCCCATTTCAGAAGGTTATTGGGCAACTCTAACAAGATCTGCGGATCGACAATGCTCCTCTCGACAAACGGTCGCCTGTTCTCCGAATAGCTGCCGGAGAGTCGGCGGCGGTGGTGCTTCATTCGCCGGTTGCGTCCTGAGACTTTTCATCGTGATGCAGCCAATGGCGGTGCATGATAGCAAAGGGGTTTCAGCTCTCTGGCTGCCCTAGACGCGCCGCATTCGCATTGGTAGATGTTGAAATTGACAGTGTTTGACGGAGAATATGGTGGGTTCGAGAGCTGAGGTGCCGTGACATCGCTTCATGTGGGCAAAGTGTCCTAAAGCAACCCATATTGAGTCGTCTGGTGGGCTGATGCCTCCTCAAACTGCGACAGACTCCGGTAGAAAGGCACACTTTGATCAGACTGTGATTGAGCCATCTAAGCTCTTTTGAGATGCGGAGAAGCAGGCATCGGAGAAAGAGGGATTCGAGTAGTTGACATTAAGGCGCTTCGTAGAGACACCTTGTCTTTCGTTATTCACTCGATTTAGTAGTACGCGAGGTGGGATATTAATCAGTAGGTAGTACCCTGTCTAGAACCCAGAAGGTAGAAGAGAAGCCTGAAGAGAGTTTTTCTCTACGAAGCAAAGAAATGGATGCCCAGTCAGCACGGCAATCACGTGTTGATGTCGCTATCCGGTACGTAGCTTCCATGGCATGAAATGCACATGCAAGCTTTGGGCAGGAAGCATCCTCTATCATCACTATCGTATCAGAGGCAAGTAAAAAATACGAAGCAGGTACCTACTACCTCTTCGTAGGAGGTAGGTCTAGTAGGTCGCATCATGTTGGAGCTTGTTGGAGCTTATTCGGCAGCGGGCATTTGTTGGGTTACATAAGCGCCCTGTTGGTTCACCTTATTTTCCGTCTGTCACTCGGCGAATCTCCTCAACCGTATTCCAGTCTCGATCCCTTCTCCAGATAACCTCCATCACCGTCAAAGCCGAAGGCCTCGTTAGCAATTAGCGCTGGCCGCACGGAGCTACAGCCAAAGCGGCAGAATGACCATCGACGCACGAGAGTAACGGCAACGAGACAAGCTCATGTCAAAACTCCGAGTGCTCTCTCTTTGGTGCTGGATGCTCCCCCTCATCAAGCTCAAGTCGGGGTTGGAGTACTGTATCACTATGTTGAGGTTGTTACACCATCAAGTCTCGGGACCTGATTGAGATGTGCCGCAGGCATCGAGCGGCATTACACTTGCTTGTCACGTCTGCGAGCGGGGAAAGAAGGTTAATACAGATGACATTACCGTTGCAGCGCCAAGTACCTACCCTGGTGGTAGCCGGGCACTTGGACACATAGAGCAGGTTCTGACGCATAAACCTATCTAGGGAACGCATGGCGTCGACTATACTTGAACATGTGAGTACCCCAGGAAGAGCCGGCAGAGCTTGGGATGGAGACGAACAGTACCTATCAGTATCAGTTTGCACTAACATTAGTGGCAGACTATTGGACTGCCAGATTCTTGCAGAAACTCGAACATGAGTCCAATATCTTGCCGCTCCATCTTGAAAAGATGAACTTTCAACAACACGAGCAAAGCCAAATTGAGTAGTATCATTGCCCCTGCGGCAGACATATAGTACTTGGCCGACAGTTGTATGACCGATTGATACTACTTTCGGGTAGCATGCCTCTCCATGATGACGGCCATCAAGCAGGTATGTACTTGGCAGCTCCCCGAGCTGTAGGTGTGATCAGTTCTGTGTTTTGGCCTGCGAATGCCGGTGACGGTGCCCGCTTCCCCACCACTGACACCTCGATACTATCAGGACGGGGAGTTAAGCGTGGTGGAGGGGTGAAGCACGCTTGGAGGCCATGTCAAGGCGGACTCCCATGGTAGGTGAAAGCCCGATGGGCGCACGAAGATATCACGAGTACTCACGCACTTGGTAGCCGCTGCACGGTGACACCCGGACTCGCGGTCAAACCAACACATACCCCATGGCAGCAAGGAGATGGGCAAAGGTCACTTCAGGGCCGGGGGGCCAGGGCATCAAGATGGTGTAGTCGACAATAACCCTGCTGCAAATAGCGCCGAAACGGGATGCTGAAGCCCCTGTTTTCAAGCTCGTTGGAGGCGTGCTGCATGTGGCCAGACGGTACTCGGGCCGAACCCCGGAGTTTTGCAGCCAGTGACGACGAGGGTCCGCAACCCACGCCGATGCTAAGCAAGCGGCCTGGGATTGCATTGATCCGCTGCCTAATGAATTGAGCCTGGAGGTGAAGCGGTTCGAGTCTATGCGTCTGCTGTGATGCTCGAGGCGATGCGACGATGCGGCAATGCTAAGAATGCTGCGATGCTACGGCCGAGGGGCCTTCACACTGCGCTCTGTCGAATCGCCAGGCCGTGATGCGACCCTGTCCCTCCTCCCAGCCTTGTCCGCGACCAGATCTGCCACAGCTGTCACCCCGGAGTATAGTCCATCTCCAGGTTTTCCCCAATTCCCCATTTCGCCGTTTCCCCGCCAAATGCTCAAAACCCGGTTCACGTCCTGTCCAAGACCACGACAGGCGGGCCATCGTCTGATATTTCTGGGAAATTGAACAAAGAGAGGCTTGGTGACGCGCGAATTAGAAACGCCGATGTGTGATTTTGATGGCCACGACATGTCATGGCAATTTGCCGCTTCAGCCCAAGTCAACAGACGAGCCGCTTTTCCCTTCTTCAACGCCACCGCGGGGGAGGAGCTTGGATCGACAAGTCCAGGATCCCGAGGGCCAAAGCTGGAGACGGGCATGGGCCGATCCTCGACGATGGAGCTCCAGCTCCACGCTCATGTATCGCTCCTATGGGGAGGAGAATCGGTCGACGGCGAAACAACTCGAGCTTCTCGTCGAGGCTCCTCTCTACGCCTCGTTCAGATGGTTCTAGACTCGGGCCCGGCATTGTCAAAAGGTTAAAACCAGAATCAGCCAAAAACTCCGATCACGAACCGAGGCGGCAGTTCTGGGTCTTGGCCAACAAAAGATGGGGAGATGGATACTATTAAACTTGTTACCCCGACGCTGGTACCCCGTAGAGCTCACGCACCTCCCACGAGAGTATCATTTCCAGAGCTGAGAAATTCTTGTTTCTACAAAGTACTTGGGAATCAGGCCATGCATACCGCGAGCTGAGAGCTATTGGCTCAGCTGCTTGATTGCAATCAAGGGTAAGTGACGTCTGAAGGGGGAAAAGGCCTCAAGTCAATCATCGCCCCATTCCTTCTGACTGCCAATGCGTGCTGGGTCTATCTGCATGGCAAGAAAAGACGGAATGAGAGGCAAGGACAAGAAACAAGAGACAAAACACACAAGAAAGAAGATCAGGAGGGTGCACGCTTGAATGATGGACGGTTTAACTGATCAACCTCGTTTCTTCACCAGTCATCCTTGGGTCTCTCATCGGCAGACGGAGAGAGTCCACGAAGCGCAGCGTGGACGTGGTGAAAGGGTACGGCAAAGAAGACGACGAAGCTGAAGCCGAAGCTGAAGTTGAACCTCTCCCTCCCCACCGTTCACTCCATCTTTTTCGCTCATACGGAATGCCTACACACACCTCAAGCACAGAGTACGGAGAATAGCAGCACCAGTACGTACAGGTGTCGTCGACGAGCACAATTGTTCAAGCACCACCTCTATCACTGGTTACTCCGGGGCAATGCAGCAAGGCCACCCATTTCCCCAGCCGTCAAACAAGATTTGCGGCTGGGGGTGTGTGCCATGATTTTCCCCTGCCCATGCCCAGGTCCATGTCGACGGCCCCTCTTGTCGCGAGGGAGCGTCCCCATAATCTCACCCGTTGACGAGTCTAATCCACGCCAATCTCTGCTGCAGCTCAACCCGTTGGGGCATCTTCTCTAGCCTGCGATTTGCTTCTTTTGTGCCTCTGGCTGCGGTGGAGAAGCATCGCCCGCGCTCGCCTGGCAAAGCGACTGCTTGCAGCAGCACGTTGAGGCCGGTATATGACATATGACATGCTACAAGGTATGTGATCATTCCCGCCCCGTCTCGCTGCTCCATACGACTCTCTATTCTGGCCTCAAGATGCACGCTAACCGCCGCGGCGCTCCGCTTCTCTCGCAAGGCATGGCGATACTAATACTAGTGGCTTTCTCTGCCTCGACGTCAGGCTTTGTTCTCCTGCTTGGGAGCTCTCGGCGGAATTGATGGCATTACTCTGCCCAATCTCCTGGAGTGTAAATGACCAGCAAGAACGGCCAACAACACTTGAGCACCAGTCGACGGCTTCAATGAATGGTCCTGACTTTGCTGCTGCGGTATGTCATCTCTCGAGCCTCCTAATTACGAACCCTTGACCCAGCCCAAGTTTCTCTCTTTCCTCTGCCGCCTTTAATAAAAATTGCGAGATTCCGATGCAACTTCGTACCAAATACGACGGGGACACTGCCGGGGAAATCCCCAACACCGCAACGATGACCATGCTCCTTCTGTCCGGACATGCCTCGCACCAGACTGAAGGGGGGGAAGCAGAAAATAGAGTAGAAGCGACCTACTGACACCAATTCTTCCTCCAGTGCCTAGCCAAAAGAGACCGAGAGGGAAGGGGAAATTCTGCCTCCTCACGTCCGCGCCCACCCCTGCTTGTTCACGTGTGTCGGTGGCTTTCGGCATGGCCCGCTCAGAGACGACTCTCTCCTCTTTTCGACTAGCAGTACGACCCCAATCGAGACCATTTCGGTCGTCTGGACCGATTACCTACAGCACGACAGAACAGAGAAGAAGAGGAGGAAGAAAAAAAAAAGGAATTGAAGGGGTTGAAGAAAGAGGGGAAGAGCGGGATGGGCGGGCAGGGGGGGAGGAGGATATTCGGGCAATTCGAGCTCGTTAGCAACGAAGTGCCATGTCTGGTGTCCGAGAGGGACTGGAGCCGGCCACTGGAGAGTGAGCCGCTTCAATCTCGATGAAGTGAGTCACTCTTTTTCCCTCCTTCTATTCTAACGTCTAGCGAGGGTTTCTTTGTGTGCACGCGGGACTTGGAGCTGGTCCCTCTTTCATATGACGTGACCAAGGAAACCAAGGTGAGACGACATGAGAGTGCTTTGAAAAGGTACGTAGGTGACTTGTCGTACCGTTCACGTGTTGTCCTTTGTAGATGCAGCTGTCAGAGAGGAGAACTGAAGCCCACGATCAGAGAGAACGTGCAATTGACCACTATCTCTTTCTTGTCCTTTTTTTCTTCTTCTTCCTTTTTCGCCCTTGATGCCCAGGCACCATTGTTTTATACGGAGTACCTAGTAATACTCCAGCGAACAGACCGCCTTATAATTCGTACGGACTTTCCAAGGTCCTGCTTCTGTCAACATTGGGTAATACGTTACATGGACAAGTAGACCAGCCAACAAATGCAATCAAGATGAGGTGACGTAGTCTTGATTGAGATGAGGAAAACTATGGCTTTAAGTTTGCATTGCGTCGGTTTGACGGTTTAATCATGACTGCCAAAGCGAAATTTCTGAGCACGTCAACCAGAGTGGGAAAATCCTACAGGGCAAGATAAAAAAGAACATCCATGCCCCCTCTCCACGAGATTATCCAACAAGTGTTCTCGCAATCCATATCCAGAGACCAACTCCAGCCCCGAATTCCCATGCATATGCGACGACTTTTTGACTACTCAGCGCGCAGTTTATCTGGTCCAAAATCTCTCATCTCTCTCCTTCTACTCCATCCCAGAAGGCATCCACGCATTGAGCGCCGTCAAAGATGCCGCAAGCGAATCAAACGAGCTCAAATCGCCATACTGCTCACCACCCCCGTCTGCGCTCCCATTGGCACCAAAAATGAAGATTGAGTTCGCCCCGAGGTCGGCCTGTTGGTGTTGCCGAACGTTATAGGGGCCAAAGCTCTGGTGCAGCCGCGCCGAGTCGCTGAGCAGCCATTCGCGGCTGTCCATGCCCAGGTTCTGGACCTGGCTCTGGTGATGGTTCTGGTTGGGATGTTGTTGGCGGAGGCCCATGTTTGGAGAAAGGTGACTTTGCGTTCCCGAAGATAGGCCCGAGGAGGGGGAGTTCATCGGGATGCTCATTTGCTGTGGCCATGGGCCGAGTATGCTCTGATAGTCCATCTGCGTGGGGTCCATGGCCATGCCTCGCTGGTCCGGATGGGGAATGCCGTTGCCAATGGACATTGGCGAGTCCATGGACAACCGTTCCTCTATCGACGTCTGTATTGTCGGTTGAGCCATCGGCTCGGAAGTCGGATGCCTCGCAAGGCCAAAATCGTGCCTTGCAGCTTGCGCCGCCCCTTCCTCCGATGTCCCTGGCGAGATGGGGGCCATGCTGCTCGATCCAGGAGAGGGCACTTCCGACGTGCTGTAGTACTCGAATCTCTCGTCTGTTCGTTTGAGTATAATCTCGGCGTCTTCTGGTAGTTCGCATTTCCATTTCCGAGCCAAAACACTAAGGATGCTCAGCGTCCGCCTGGCACAGAGCCAGTCTTCAGCAATCTCTTCCAGATTCTTGAGCCCATGGGTCAGGTCTCGCTTCGCCGACTTTTCTGGCAAGTTGAGCAGATGGATGGTGCACGCGCTGTGAATCATGTAGACTGCAATGTTGCAGATCTGGCGGAGATTCCAGGATTTCTTGTACAACCTCATCAGTTTTGATATGGCACCCGCGTTTGCAGTGCAGATCCGCCTTGGAGATATATGCGGGGGCAGTGGCGAGTTGGGTTGAACGTATTTCAGGAATGGCCTGAAGAGATGAATGTATTGGAGATGGTAGAATGTGCTACAGAAAAAGAAAAGAGTTAGTAATCTTTCAAGCCTTGCATGGTGGGTGCATGAGACTTGAACATGGCAAGCTTACAGCATCAGGATCACGTTCGGCAGCAAGCCGTCCTTTGGTTCAAACTCCATGGGCACATTCTTGCGCCATTTCTCAAGCCGTTGGTGTAACTCGCCGAGCCTCTTCAGCTCAAGAGCTCTGCTGCTGGCCCCCTTTATATGGCTGGGGTGGTAAAAGAAGACGAGTATATCACTGCTGATTTCGCACAGACTGGACAGGAGGAGAGCAACCGCCCGCGTCCTCGACGGCTGGGCAAGTGTCTCGTCGAAGCCCTTGTCGGTAAAGGGCGACCACAGCGCCGCGTCTTCGTCCGGGAACACGTCAATTTTGGACACGGTAAAGGAGTGTCTCGGGAGCTGGGGCAGGCGGCCCATGTAGTTGGACCAGGTCTTGTCGAACAGGAAGCAGCCCCAGAAGGTGATGCGCCGGGCGTCAATCTCCTCGTCCGTCATGTGCTCCCTGTCTAGGCCCTCGATCTCAAGGTTGAGCCCGATGTCGAGAGCCATGCGAAAGCTCATGCCGCTGTAGACCCAGCCTTTGGCCTCTCTTGCGCAACCGGCCTCTCTGACAGACATGAGTGCCAGAGCTTGCACGGTCACAAGCCGGGGCTTCTCGTATTCGTCATTCTCGACAATGAGCCGCTTGGCCTCGGCAAAGAAGTGATCCCCCTTTGTTCTGCTGTCGCCGGGGATGCCAAAGGCCCCGGGAATGTCGGTGAAGTGGCAGCCAAGCGCCAACATTGCGTTGACAAGCAGCGAAGAGCAGTACGTTGGGCCCGGCCGCAATCCCGCCCTGCCCCTCATGAAGTCACGCCAAAACAGCTTGCGTGAGAGCGTGGTAAAGTATGGATAGTGGTAGTTGAAGTACATGTTCATAAGGTGCATGATGAGGCGCGGGTCGGTGGTCACGCGGGTCCAGGACGTGACGGGGTTTCCGCACACGCCTGGCTCATAAGGCGACTCGTGGTCGACGGCATCGTGGTGCGGATCTCCCAGATAAATGAGGTGAGAGGTGCCGCCGATGAAGCGCACCGAGCCATTTTCGAGCCGCAGCTCTCCCATCTTGCGCGCAAACTCTTGTTCTCCTTGTACGGGCAACAAAGACAAGGGTTCCTCCTCCGGGGACTGGTTGATCTCCTCTTCCTTGGTTTCCGAGCCCATCCTCGAGAGCTCCTGGGCAACTGTGTCGAGGTTGTCGCATGTCCGGATCTTATAGACGACGTCGGGCACTTCTTCGTCGGTGGCATTCAAGATGGCCTCGACGATGATCTGCAGCGTCGAGCTCTGGGCCTTCATGCTGTCGACCTTTTCCCGGTAGACGCCTTTGCGGCGGTGGTCCGAGTTGGGGTTGTAGATGCACTCAGTGCCGTAGACGCTGGCACAGGCGGCGCAGCTGGGCATAGCGCCATCGCACTTGGACTTTCGTCGGCGGCAGGCAATGCAGGCCGTGCTGATGCATCTGCGCTTCTGGGTGGCCGGGTTGGCGCCTCGCCGAGACTTTTTCTTGGGTTGGGTGGCGGGCGTCGAGGCGTTGGACGACGAGGCAACAGTCAGATCGACGGCGGTGTCCATGGCGAGAAGCAGTAGAGGAAGAAGAGGCTGGTGGTACAGAGGCCGGAGATGCGTAGCGCAGCGAGAACCGCGGAGAAGCTGTAGGTGAGGCCGTGACTGGGAGTCGAAAGGAGGTCGTTGGTGAGCAGGAGAGAGCAATCGCCAGACCGAGCGCTAGCATCGAGGAGCGCCGGCACGCCGTGTCACCATCGACTCTGGGGTATTCGGGAGGCTGCAGGGATTCGAGATGAGACCGGCGAGGAGCTGAGACAGGGCGGGAATGAATGTCTTGGAGCAGACAGACGTCTTGCCTCCCTTGGGCTGTGGTTGCGGAGCTTTACTCCCGTTGTGCCTCTCGACTACTGGCGGATGATGCCGCGATGGCGAGCCTCTCGGCGGCGATGCGGTGGAAGTGCCGGCTAGCGATTGGTCATGTCACGCCCTGCAGCCGCACTATTGAGACAATCCAGCAGTCGGTTGGTTGGTCGCGACGGACCTAGAAGTCGGAGGCTGATCTTGTATGCAGGTAAGGTATGTGGTTGTTGAATGAGACGAGAATGCGGGGAGCGTATAGCTTTTACGCAGCTTGTCGAGAGACAGATGGAGGGCCGGGGAGCTGCAAGGCGTGCGCTGGCCGGTGGTAGTAGTAAGCGCTTTGAATGGCAGATGTCGCAATCAGGCTGATGTTGAGGGAGGAGATGAGGAGTCGAGGTAGCAGCTGAAGCGAGAGGCGAGAGTCTGGTGATGATGAGAGGGAGAAAGATGAGCAGCACCTCAAAGATACCTCTAACCTGGTGAGTAATACCAGGTAGAGCTGATATGGGAAGGGGAAGAAACGGGCAAGAAGCCGCAGATGCGCTTTCCGGGAATGCGTGGCCGACTGACGACATGCGCCTCTCAGCTCAGCAGCAGCAGCAGCAGCAGCAGATGAGAAACTCAGTCTCCTTCATACCTCATACTACTAGTACGAAATCCCAATTTGCTGCTTCCAGCTGCTCCAATGCCGGGTCTCGGTGGCCCAAAAATGCCCTGAAGCCTTACGCCTTGTGCCCGCCAAGTTTCAGCTCCTCAAGGGCAAATCCGGCGCCTGCGATTGGCCCTGATGGCTCTCTGGAGCCCGCGTCCCCATCTGATGCCGTGGGCCTCCTTGAAGCCGCTGAGGCTCGCCGAACCGGTCACTATTGCAGTTAGTCGTGGCGAGTGCCGCTAGGGCCGGAGTCGCGGGAGCTGGCACTCAATCCTAGTTGTTACTACTGTGGCGGGACGAGGTTGTAGCGAGGGGACGCTGTGTCTTGCTTGATTCAGCTGTGGACGGGAGAATGAATCACGACGATTCATGGAAAACCGGTTTCGGATAGGGAGCACATGTTGGGTATTGAGTGTCCAACTGAGACTCTGTTTGACAGCTATCTAGTATCACAGCTGTCACATACTCAAGCCTGTAGGGTTATGGACCGGTCACATAAGCAACATTCACAAAGAATGAGAAACTCGGAGCGGTAGTCGGGAGTGCTTAGCATCAGCAGGTCCCCTAATCCGTCGATTCTCCCGTAATACCCGTTCGAGAAAAAGTGGACAACATCACCGAAACTCGGGATTGGTCAGGAACGCTCGGGAGAAGACGAGAGGAATAAGCTGTGAAATGTGCCTCAGAGGCACGAGGACGAGGGATTATGAATGCGTCGCTCCGTTTCCCCGTATTTGGGATGCGGAGAAATTCCAGGATTGCTGTTAAAAAAGGTACCAAGTGCGTTGTACCATTGGGAAGGCAAGATGTCATTGTCCGTTCCGTTCCGTGTGAGACAACGAGACAAGGCGTAACCGATGCCATGCGATGCAGTGCGGAAACGAAGCGGAATTGTGTCACTTGGACGGACCTGTCATATTGATACCTAAGGTAACTCATATGTGATACTCTTCTCTCGACTTAGAGACTTGCTTTGTTGTTTACGTTGCATACTCATTGGCTTCAGAGAACCAGTTACATAAACAGGGGACTGTGACTCTTCGAGTCAAGGTTGGTCAACTCCGGCCTCAAGGCCTCAAATGGCTATTCGTTGCCAACTTCACACTAATGGACGCAGCGAAATACTACCTCAACAATGAACACGACCTTACGCGGAACAAGAAAAACCAGGAGTATAACAATATTGCAATCAAGCAATTAGATGACATTACGAATCACACCTTGGCTTATAACGAAGGTCGAGCACTATCATGGTATATTGCCCACTTGATCAAGACACTCCGCATTCCGCACTGACCGTCAAGAGCCAAGCAACTCTCCGTCCCTCCATTGCGAGACATTGCTGACTCTTGACCCCGAACAATGGATTGCAAGACATGGCCTACCAGTAACATGGGATTGATTTAGAATCGTACGATTCTTTGCTCATGTGTCTCAAGGAGGAGGAAGTACGCCGATGGTTGTCTCGGCCAACTACACTCGTGCAGCGCTGTGATATATGCGAGTTCTGAACGACTATTGCGGAGTAATTGCCCCCTGAACCCCGATAATGAGGGCGTATTAAGCAAGAGAGCAATTTCTTGAGCCTTTGACGCGCCATTCACTATTATACGAACAAGACAGAATCAACGGATTGCATGCAATATCATAGTTTCTTTGTATATACTATTACATAGTCGAGGCATGAGAAAACGTCCAACCCTGCCTCGACCTTTTATCATCATACATAGTCCACATAGACTGTCCTCTTTTTTCCCAACCCATTCGTGCCCTCCAACCTATGGACACCACTCTTGCGTCAGAGCTGTACAGTCATGATACACACCCAACTCTCTCCCCATGCCTTGTTTTCAACACACACTCAGCCTCGCTCAAGGTACCAGTTGTGGGTAAGTTGACTCGTCAAGTAGCTAAACGGCGTCGGCACCTCCGCCATGCCCTTTCGCGCAACCGGGTGTCGCAGGTAGACGGCGGCGCAAATGTTGGGGTTGACCTCGAGATACCGGGGGATAAAGGCAAACGCCGACATGTACGGCCGGGGCCTCCACGGGGTAGCGTACGGCTTCGAGTCGTCAATGGGGTTCTCCTCGTCGTAGCGGAGCATCTGCGCCAGCTTCCGCATCTCTTCCCGCGACAGCGAGGCGTCGCCCATTATCCGCTTGGCCTTGGTCTTCTGCTCCTCCGACAGGCCCTCGAGACCCTTTTCAATCTGTCGCTCTCTGTTGACTTCGGGCTGCTTGTGCTGTGCTTTGGTCTCCTCCTTGGCGGCGGCTTGCGCGCCCTCAGCCTCGGCCTCGGCTGCGGCTTCGGCCTGGTCGTGCTCCTGACTCTCCTTGAGATCGAGTTTCTCAAAGCTTTCCCGCAGCAGTTCGTGGCTCTTCATCTGCAGCTGCAGCTCATCAATCAGCTCCGCGGGATCCGCCTCGCTCTTCTCGGGGTGCGAGAGGAAGCGCTTGGCATCTGCTCGGAAGAGACGGAGCTGCTTCTTCTCCTTGGCAGTGAGGTCCTTGGGGTTGTTCTTCAGAAGCTTCTTGACGTCCTTCAGCAGGGCCTTGAGAGCCTTGTTCTTCAACTGCCACTCAGCCTCGGGAGTCAATGACGCGGCGGTTTCGCCCTCTGCAGCCTCAGCGTTGGCTTCGGGCTTGTCCCCCTCGGCCTCAGCCTCAGCAGCGCTCTCAGCGGGTTTCTCGGCGCTACTGGCCGCCTTCTTGATTGCGTTTTGGTATGCTTGCTCTGCCTTCTTCTGTCTGGCCTCGAGATTCTCACGGAGTCGCTGGTGTGCCTGTGCTGGTTTCTGCACACCCGTGCCGTACATGACCTTTTCAACGTCCACCTGGAACATGTCGCCAGGGTTCAATTGGTAAGAGGGATGAACCATCTGCGTAGACACATGTTAGTCCAACCACAGCCAAACAGATTGAGCATGAAGACTGCTGATGAAACAAAAACTATGACGCACCTTCTTTCCATTGACCGTGACGGCGCCGTGAATAACAAACTGACGCGCTTGCCGAACGCTGCTGGCAAACAGAGCCCGGAACACGGCGGTATCCAGCCTCCGCTCCAACGGCGCAAACGTCATCTGCATATAGGGCGTCATGTTGTTGAACTGATCCGACAGCAGCTTGTTGACGTCGCCAAAGACGGGCGTCCTCCGCCTTGAGCGCTCCTGGGTGCTGAGTCTGGGGACTTTGGAGAAGGATTCGGCCGAGACGGTCGACGTCGTCAGGCCGGAGCCACGGCCGGCGGCCTGCTCGGAGCCGTCATGCGCGGCCAGATACTCGGGCGGCATGTCCACGGCGGACAGCAGCCGGCGGGAGAAGAGGCGCACCCATTTCTTCTCGGGGATGTGCTCGCCGTGGTACGACCGGGTCTTGGCCTTGGCGGCCCATTTCTGCTGGAAGAAGGTGGGCGTGCCTCGGATCTGGGGCTCGCGGCCGGTCTGGCGGTACAGGTTATACAGGTTGTACTTGTTCCATGATTGTCGCAGTTTCTGTAGGCGGTTTCGAGGTCAGTAGGTGGGATCCTTCCTCCCCGCCATCACAACTGAGCTCAAGTCTTTGCGCTGCGCTTGGGCTTGTTGTCATTGGATGACAGCGATTTGTCAGAGTAGCGATAGACTCACAGGACGACTTAAACTGTAGAAACGGTACGGCTTTCTCATCTTGGCGAGCCGACCGGCGACAATTGCTGCTTGACGGGTTCACTGAAAGGCCGTTCTTTAGAGCTCAACATGTGGGTGACATTTTTTCTTGGTGGTGCCACGCAGCCGGGGTTTTGCCGCTCGGTGTGACGCTCCTCGTACCTTCCTCACCGACTTCACCGAAAGCGGGGCCACTCAACGCGTCTCAATAGAGAGAGAGAGTGGGCTGAGACGCGTCGAGAGATTTCTACTTGTGCTGCAGGCCAAATTGTTGATGCAAACTGTGTATATCGACGTCGGAATTGTTTTTCTTCTTTTTGCGCGATTTGAGCGTTTCCCTCTTTGAAGTCTCTGTCTTTGAGGGAATATTATCAAAATGCTGTCTGCATCCTCACCTATTGCCTACCCAAGCGATCCCCCTTCTCCTCCGCCAAAGCGCGCCAAACCGCACGATGTTCAATATCCCACACAGAAGCCTCGCATCCGTGGGCCGTTTGTCGACTCGGACTCCGAGTCAGATGTCGAGAATCATCCGAGGGGGAGATCAACGTCTCCCTCCAAGAGGCGAAGAATAGACGACAGACCCGTCCTTGCTGCTCGAGATGCGAACCAAGACAACAGTGACGGCACTCTCCCCGAGAGGAGCGCAGCTGTCGACCTCGACGAAACGCAGACGTCAACCACTGAGGGCACCCAGACAATCACACCAATTACTCCCCATTGGGGCAGACTCAACCCTCTACTGACCACGCCCATCTTCGGCAGCCGCTCAAAGACCACTTACAAGCTCAAGACATGCGGAGGCAAGGAAATTACCATCAAGCAGCGCCAGGAGACCGTTGCTCAGTCCTACGAGTCCATGGTGGCGGCGAGGTCAAAGACCAAGGAAGGGCGGGCAAAGCGAGACTACTATGGCGTCGACATCCACAACCTCATAAACGCAGCGACGAGCGAAATGGCTGCTGCAAACCGGCAGCCCCCATCATCCCCAGACACCAACCAAGCCGTTCGATCCATGGAGGCCACATCGATATCAGACAAGAAGCCCAAGAAGACTATGCTGTGGACCGAGAAATACCGTGCACGGAACTTTATGGACTTGTGCGGAGATGACGGCACAAACAGACTCGTGCTCCGCTGGCTGAAGAGGTGGGATCCGCTGGTGTTTCCAGGAACGGCCAAAGCAAAGCCCAAGGCGGCGAGGCGCAACGGCGCTCATCCCCAGCCGGAAGAAGAGAAGCCTCATCGCAAGATCCTGATGCTGACGGGGCCGCCTGGCCTGGGAAAGACGACGCTGGCTCACGTCTGCGCCAAACAGGCGGGCTACGAGGTGATTGAAGTCAACGCCAGCGACGACCGCAGCCGCGACGTTGTCAAGAACCGGATCCGCACCAGTCTCGGAACAGAAAGCGTCAAGAATGTGAGCAATCTGAAGGCGGCAAACGGGCCGCAGAAGGTTGCCAAGCCTGCCTGCGTGGTGGTGGACGAGGTCGACGGCGTGGTGACGGGCTCTGGAGCTTCGGGGGAGGGCGGCTTCATCAAGGCCCTGATTGACCTGGTGCTCATCGACCAAAAGAACTCTTCAGGGGTAGAAAAGTCGTATGATGGCATTAAGAAGAAGAAGGGAGACGACTTTCGCCTGATGCGGCCGTTGATTCTGATATGCAATGACGTCTACCATCCTTCGCTGAGGCCCCTGAGGCAGTCGAATCTGGCCGAGATCATCCACGTTGGTCGACCGACTCTGGACACTGTAGTTGGCCGATTGAAGACGGTGTTTGAAAAGGAGGGCATCCCTTGCGACAAGGACGCAGCACGCAAGCTGTGCGAGACGGCATGGGGCATGGCCAGCGGCATCGACGCCAAACGGGGACAGGAAAGCACCGTGCAGGGCGATCTCCGCGGCGTCATGGTGGTGGGCGAATGGGCGGCCTCCCGCTTCAGGGCTTCGGGTCGGAGCGACACGCAGCGTCTCACCAGAGAATGGATCGAGAAGAATATCCTGCAGGAGCTTGCCAGCGGCGCGGCGGGCGCTCGGGGACTCGGACGAGGCAGCGTCAAGGACATCATCTCCCGGCTATTCCAAGAGGGAGGCGGCTTCCCCAAGCAAGCGCTCAACCTCTCCCGGTCCAAGACGCATCACGAGCAGCCCAAGACGGAGCTGGGCTTTGGCGAGCACCAGAAGAAGTACGCCATGGAGTGTCTCCGGCAGATGGTGGACGCCAGCGGCGAAATCAGTCACATTGTGACGGAGATTTTCGCAGAGTACCCGAACCGCGAGTTCAACGACGACTCGTACCTGTCGAAGCCGAACCAGGCGTACGACTGGCTGTACTTTCACGACGCCTGCCAGTCGCGGCTGTACGCGAGCCAGGAATGGGAGCTCGCGCCGTATCTCTCGCAGCCCGTGCTCGCCTGCCACCACCTGTTTGCCTCGCCCATCAGACACTTTGCCGGCGGCATGTCGTCAGCGAACAACCAGCAGCGTCCCGGCCTCGCGGGCGAGGAAGAGGCCGCCGGCCCTACGATTCCCTTTTCCGGCCCGCGCGCCGACTTCCAGGCCTACGAAGCCGAGAAGCAGACCCGCGCGCAGCTGCAGACGCTGCAGGGCCAGCTGAGCCCGACGATGATGCGGCTGTTCCGCAGCGCAGAGGACGTGTCCACCGAGTTCCTGCCGTATCTCGCGCGCATGCTGTCGCCGGACGTGAAGCCCGTTGTCGTGGGTGGAAGCCAGGGGACGACGGCGAGCGTGCGCAAGGAGAGCGAGCGGCGAATGGTCAAGAGGGCGTCGGAGGTGCTCGCCGAGGTGGGCATCACGCTGCAGAAGGGCAAGATTGAGAGCGATGTGCTGTCTAGTCGCGGGCCGCAGTTTGTCTACCGCATGGAGCCGTAAGTTTGAAACCCCCCAATTTTGTCTCTCTCTCGCCGTAACAAAGTATGAGAGTTTATCATGGATTGAAAGGGAAAGCTAACGCCGTGGGGATAGAGACATTGATTCCCTGGCCACGTACGAGACAGCGTCTTCCATTCTCACGTCCCAGCCACCAGCCCGCTACGCGATCCGCCAGGTCCTCGACCAGGAACTCCGCCGCACGCTGGCCCTCCGCGAGACAAACGCCCGTCAGGCGCGGTTCCAAGCCGGTCGCTCCCTGGGCGAAGGCGAGCAAGCGCAGCAACCCCTATCTTCACTGGGCCAGAAGAAGAAGAAGAAGGATGACGACAGCAGCAGCATGGCCGTTGTAGAGGACGGCTTGGTGGTGAAGAAGGACTTTTTCGGGAGAATCATTGAGGCGCAGCCGCTGGCGGACGTCAAGGGGGGACTGATGGAGAAGAAGGCGGCGGCTGGACAGGAGAAAGTGTGGGTTACGTTTCATGAAGGGTTGAATAATGCCGTGAGGAAGCCGATGACGCTGCGGGAGTTTCTGAGTGGTCTCTGAGGATACCTACCTACCTACCTTAAGCCAAGGAAGAGCTGTTGCTTGAGAGAGCCATTGTATCATAGATGGAATGGAAAAGGGTTTGGATGCAATGAGATGATGCTTGTGTTTATGCAAATATATATAATTGCTCGTTTATATATATCCTACACCATCTACCTCTTTTCTTCCTTCCCCAACTATTCCAAGTTCAAAAACCCGCCAACTACCTACAGCTTCGCCTTGATCCGCTGCGAAGGCACAATCAACGGATCATACGTGACATTCGAGAGCGAATCCACGGGCGTCGCATTGCTGTGCACAAACAGCCCCCTCGTGTCCAGCAGCCCCGGATGCAGGTCCTCGATCCTGTTGCACCCAATGAGGCGCATGTCCATCTCCATCTCGTCCTTGAGCAGCTGCATGGCCCTCTCGACGCCGGCCTGCCCGTAGGTGCTCATGGCGTACAAGAAGGGGCGTCCGATGCCGACGCCCTTTGCGCCGAGACACATGGCCTTGAGGATGTCTGTCCCGCGGCGCACGCCGCCATCAACAAAGACGTCAATCTTGTCGTCCAGCCCTTGCTCGCGCAGGACAGGCATCGTCTCGGCGAGAATCTCAATGCCCGAGCGCGCGAAATCGAGCTGGCGCCCGCCGTGGTTGGACAGCACCACGCCCTGCACGCCGGCGTCGACGGCCTTCAAGACGTCCTCGACGCGCTGCACGCCCTTGAGGATAATGGGCATCTTGGTGATGCTCTTGAACCAGGGGATGTCGGCCCAGCTGAGCGAGGGGTCGATGAAAGTCGAGATGGCGCGCGCCGCGCCCTGGCTGGTGTCCGTCTTGGTGCCCTTTTGCACGTTGCTCCCCGGGTCGACAAACTTGAGGCGCATGTCCTTTTCGCGACGGCCCAGCTGCGGCGCGTCGACGGTGATGAAGAGCCCCTTGCAGCCGCGCCGCTCGGCGTTCTGCACGATGCGCTGCGTGATGGCGCGGTCCTTGTTGACGTAGAGCTGCAGCCACTGCACCTGGTCGCCCTGCTGCGCGGCGTCGACGAGCTCGTCAAAGGAGCACGACGCCAGGGTCGGGATCATCTGGATGACGTTGTGCGTGGCGGCGGCGCGCGTGAGCACGACTTCGCCCTCCGGGTGGCCGAGCTTGCCCAGGGCGGTGGCGGTGACGTAGAAGGGCGCTGAGACTTTGGTGCCGAGCATGGTGGTGGAGAGGTCGATGTGGTGGACGTCGACGAGGATCTGGGGGCGGAACCAGATGCGGTGGTACGCGCTGTGGTTCTCGCGCATGGTCTTGATGGCAGAGCATCAGTATGAGTGAAGCTGGAGCCCCGGGGAGGGGGGGGGGGCATCATCAGGGGAGAGGAGGAACTCACAATCTCGTCGTCGGCGGCGCTGGAGTAGTACCCCCACGCCGTCTTCTTCATGGTCCGCCGCGCAACGGCCTCAAAGTCGTGCAGGTTGAAGCACTCGGACAGCAGCGGCATCTCGGCGATGCTCCTCTGCCGCGCCACCTCCTCGGGGTCGTTCTCCTCCCGCTTGGCCTCGCGGGCGACGGTGGACATGTCGACGTCGCCCAGGTGCAGCGACTTGTCGAGGTACTTGTCGAGCGTGTCCCGGGGGTGGATCGGGTCAAACTCTTCCGTTGCGTCTTTGCCCTGGGGGGGTAACATGTCAGTGACGATGATGGTGATGGATGAGGGGATGAGAGCGTACGGCATATTTGAGAATGATTTCTTCGCCGCCGGGGTGTTCTGGAGAAAAGACTTCGTGTTAGTATTTGTCGTCTTTGGAGAATCATTGAATGGCCTCTTTCATCGGAAAAATGCCATGGTACATACCGGGTAGAAACTCTGTGACATCGTATGCTTTGCCCTGGTGAGAGAGAAAGAGAGAGTCAGCGTCCTGTCCATCACTTGATGCCTCCTCAGCTTCATCCCACGAATTCCCCCAAGTCTCCCAAGAGAATGAATGAATGAATGAACGCACATGGATAATCACCCAGCACGACTTTTCGCTGTTGTGCTTGGCCACTTCCTCTCCCGTGAGCACCATCTTGTCCCTTTTTTTTCTATTTGCTTCGTCTGTTTTTCCTCTTCAGATCCCCCCCGGTTCTCGTGGGTTGAGCGGGTGGTGATGGCGATGACGTCTCACCAACAGCCGGCGCTCTAAATCCGTACGCCCGAACCCTCTTCAATTGAGAGACACCAAGAACTCGATAAGCACGTCAATCAATCAAATCGTGTGCCAATGTCTCGCTTCTCTTCACGTTGGCCCTCAAGAACAATGTCAAGAACTATTCAAAGTAACAAGAATTGACGATGATTGAAGAAGGTGTAGAAAAGAAACGCGTCGGTACTTCGGCTCGTTTTGTTCGTCGTCGTTGAACGGCCACGATTACAAGGGCAACTTGAAGCCAGATCCAAAGGGGGACAAATTGCGCGCCTCTCATTGGGCCGTCGGCTAATATTATAGCCTCCCATGTGCTTGCAGCTGCTGCTGGGGGGCCGCCTTGGAATTTGGGGGTGAGGAGGGGGAGAGAAACAAGAAGCATGTGCGGATTAACTCTCCCCTTTTCCGACGGATATTACTATGCCGTTTTACAACAATCTTTAAACACGTCTTATCAACTCAATTATATCATGTTTTCATGTAGATTTACAATTATAATCATTCTGTCGATAGGATCTCCTCAGCACTCAAGCACCCGTGAAGCTTCACACCCCAAACAAGAGCGGAGGACAAACCCCGTCTCTCTAGGTAGTCAACGCCTCTATCCATACAAAATGCGCTATACAATCGCCTCCCCCCCCCAAATCTCAACCCCGTCGAACTAGTAATTATTAGAGCCTCTCCCCCAAACGGCTCTTGATATTCCGGGGCACCGAGATTCTGCGGGGAGGGCAAGAAATAGCTTCTTCATACCAAGAGCCGCTTCTCCTCACACCTTGGCCCCAGCTCCACAACTGGGCGTCCTCCAGTTTTCACACACACTTGTCTCGAGTCATGGAAAAAGCTGATCTTGTTCATGGGGGGCGCTTCAGAAGGGGAACCTTTAGCCGCAATACAGTATTCGGATTTACAGCATATCGTTTATTGTCCTTTGTCAACTACGTGACCAATTGCTTCGAGCAAGGCCGGGAATGCGCTGCATTTGTATGCTCGTACAACGACCCGACAAAACCATCTGATAACAACCTGAACCTTATCAGAACCCTCAAAGGCCACCACTCGCAGCATGTCTATGCAACCACAGTTCGCATCCAAACAAAAAGAAAGGATGGACATCATCGTTGCATTTGCTATACATACTTCTATCCCAATGTCCATCTCGTTCATACTCCAATTCCAACCTCGCAATTACCTGCAATGGCAAGCCAAAGAGGCCCAGCTCTCCCCAGCATGCCAAATGCATCCCCTTCCACCGTCCCCCCCTCTGTACTTCACCTCGGGTATTCGTGTCATCATCCAAACTACCTCAAGACCTAATCAATAAGCAAGCTGGCTTTTTCTCTTCATTTCCACGCATTCAACCCGGCCCAAGGATCGTGCGCCTGCTGCGGTTGGGCTGACCGAGGCTGCGCGCTTGACGGGTGGCTAACCGCAGGATCAAAGTCCTGCTGCCCAAAATGAATCGTCTGCTGAGGCCCCAGCGGAGGAGGACCTGGAGGAGGCGGAGGAGGCACGAAGCCGGGCGGCACATATCCTCCAGGTGCGTGCTGTTGTTGCTGCTGCTGCGTTTGCTGCTGTTGCTGCTGCTGGGGTAATGCCCCGTACATGGTATATGGCTGGTGCTGTCCGAACGATGTCTGCGTGGGTGGCGGCGATTGGGGGCCTCTCATGACATTCATGCTAAAAGATGTCTGGTTTGGAGGCGGCGATGTCGGCCCGGGGTTCCTACCGTACGTGCTCGGATTGTAGACGGGTTGCGAAAAGGTGCTTTGCGGAGGAGGGCTGGCGTATCCGGTAAAGCTCTGCTGGTTGGGCGGCGGCGATGTAGGCATCTGAAACTGCCCCTGATAGCCGTTGTTGTTGTTGTTGCTGCTGCTGCTGCTGCCGCCCTGACCGTATCGAGAGGCCTGGTTCTGCTGCTGCATCAGGGGCGCTGGCGTTGGTCTTCCCGACGGTGGTCTGGCGGGCGGTGCCGGCTGCGCGGGCTCCATCGACATGCGCTCCATGAGGCCTCGCAGCCGCTCCCTCTCCAGCTCTGCCTGCTGGCTCTTGTTGGACGCGCGCTCCTGTTCGATCTGGTTGAGCAGCTGGGCGCCCTCCGACCTCCGGTTGTTTACAAAAGTCTCCACGTTCTTCTCGAGGCTCTCCACCGTCTCCCTCATCTCCGAGTACCAGTTCTTGGCGCTCTGCAAGCCCGCCTCTAGGTCCAAGAACTCCTGATAGGCGCGCTTGTACTTGCCAATCGCCGATAGCCTCTGCCGCTGGATCGATTCGTACTTGCTCTGCTCCGCGCGCACGCGCTTGTCCTGCAGCAGAGTGTTGAACGTCGCCGTGAGCTCCTTCATCAAGGCCGACTGTTTGTGGTTTGCCTGTAGCAAGCGATTCTGATGCGGCCGAAACTTTTCCAATTCCTGCTTGAAAAGTTGCTGCTCATAGTTTGCTATCGTCTTTTTGTTGAGAATGAGGACCTGAGAGATGTCGTCGTTGTGGACCTACAATCCGTGTTAATGTCGCCCTCTTCGAGATAAAGCCTGCAGATTCAGTAGCAGAAGCTTACCTTCTCCTTGAGGTCCTTGAGGACCTGATTCCGCTCTCTCTTGATGAGGTTGAGCTTCTTGAGAATCTCTTCGACCTTTGCAATCTGCTCCACCACCGTAGGCCCAGATTCGTCAAAGTCTGCATCGAGCAGGTTCGGCTCGTTTCCAGACGGGCTGACGGCATTGCTGCTTCGCCCCTTGGCCTGGGAGACCGCCCTTGAAAAGAGCTGGTCCACCTGTCCGTTTGCGACGGCGTTCCGCATCTCGTCGAACCACGTCTCGTTCTGGCGCAGCTTCGCCGCCAGCTGGCCGTCGCTCCTGCTGGCCTCCTCCAGGGCCTCCCGGTAGTTGCGAATGTCTCCCCGCAAGGTCGTCGTGAGGCGCGCGCTGGGCTGCTGGCTCCATTCGTTTTCGTACTTGGACCGCATCTTTTCGCACACGCTCTCCTCCATGTCCAGCTGCTTGGAGGCCTTGTCCAGAGTCGACACTATCGACTCCTTCTCGCTCCGCAAAAAGTCAAAGATGCTCACGGGATTCTCGTGGTTGGCCACGTCTTCACACCATTGCCGGAAATCCTCGTCGGGAAGAATGTCCTGGTCGAACCCGCCCTTGAGCACCTGCAGCGCCCCCGGAAGCCGCAGGTAGTCCAGGCTGGCCGCCATCTCGCCGTTTGCCGTATCCACCTTTTCCGTCTCGGCTCTAACAAGCTTGGCCTTTTCCTCGTCATATAAGCTGGCGGACTCGGTAACGGCCATGGGCACAATCTTGGAGAACAAATCGGGCCCCGTGATGCGCTGGATGTCTTGGCCTGCGTAGAGCTCCGATACGGGAATGGGCTTTGCGGCCGGGAGCTTGGCGATTTGGGGGAGGGTCGCCTCCGCGGGGACGGTTTGATGGTAGATGTAGTCATTGTCCTTGATGGCCTCTCGTAGCCGTTCCTGCACCGTCGAGCACTGTCGTTTTGTAATCTCCTGCAGATGCGTACTGCAGTCGGCACCAAGATTGGCGTTGGACGGTAGGGTGCTGGGGAAGCTCTTTGCTAATCGGTCGGCGTCCTTGGCGAGGGTATCGGCCACCTGGAGTCGAGATAGGGCCACGCCATGCTGGCCCGCTTCGTCGTCTGCCATTGCCTGATAATATTGCGCCATGGAGTTGAGAAGACTTGCTTTGATCTGGCGTTTCAATCGGCCCAATTAGCAATCTCGCTGCTGCAGCATCTCAAGCACGCGAACATCCATCCCCTCATTAGACACCCAAGCTTACCTGGACCATTGTCAGCCAGACCTTCTCAAAGATGGCCTTTGTGACATTCTCCTGGACACCCTCCACAGCCTGTCCATAGAGGTACCCAGACTGCGACGCCAGCTTGGCCAGCAACCCGGCCTTTTTCTGGTCCTTGACCTGCTTCTCCAGAAAGATTTCCTGTGCCTGGGCGAGCATGATGTGTATCAAGGTCTTGACGGTCTCTCGGCTCAAGTCGAATGAGGGAGCATGCAAGAAGTTCTCGTTGATGTACGTAAACATGCCGGCCGAGGCCTGGAACGAGTGGTAGGCGACCTTGAGTGCGGAATCATCCTCTCGGTTCTGGATGGCAGCATGGCCGGAAAGGACGGCGGAGATGTTGAAGATGACAGAGGCCTTTTCGAACGCGAGCGAGTACTGCGTGGTTGGTTTGTGGGTGAATGCGTCAAACCTAGCACAAGATCCCAAGTCAGCGTCTACCACAACTCCAAGCAAAGCATTGACGACAGAAAGGCTGCGGGCCACAACGTGTCTCCGTCACGCACCATGTAAAGGGAATCTTAATGTGCTGCTCATCGACCGGGAAGCGCAGGTCCAGCAGCTCCAGCTGCCCGTAGTAGCGGTAGAGCATGTCCCTCCCCGTGACGCTCTCCTTGCCGGCGCCGCGCATGTCCTGCCGCAGGCGGTTGAGCGTGGCGCACTCTTCGGCATAGCGCTCGGGGTCGTCGCCGTAGGTGTCGCGGATGTAGGCCTTGAGCGGCGAGACCCAGTCGATCTCGTTGGTGGCCTTGGGCGGCGCGGCGATCATGGGAGACTGCGTCATCCTTTTTGTGCGACTTTGGGGCCGCGCGGGTATGGCGGACCCGGGGATCTTGGAGGAGGGGGCGGGTTAGGGTGGTCCTGTTGTTGTTCAGACGCAAGAGAAGACGCAACGACTTCAATGGCCACGGTCGAGACGGCCGGCAGTGTGTCGCATGCGCGTCGCCTGCGCGGAGGGACGGGGGGGAACGCTCGGCGGGTGTGCGGTGCGATGGCAAAGCTGTGCGAGGCGGGAGCTGGCGGCTTGATGAGAGAGTGCGGAGGATGGGGGGGCCCCGTTTGCTGGGATGATCGAGTCTGATCGATGAAGAGACAGAGGGAGAGAGAGAGAGAGACGATATCGAGGAGGGGGGGAGATGAGAGACTGAGCTCGAAAGAGGGAGAGAGCGATGGAGGCGAAGCAAGGCTTGCTTGCGTATTGGCCTTGCGTGTGCTCAAGCTGTCTCTGTGTAGGTCGGTAGAGGTAACGCAAGCAGGTAAGGTAAGGTAAGATTAGAGTC